TCCAAGGAATTTCCCCACCTCTTGGAAGGATGCAGCTAATTATCTAAAGTCGTCGACTACACTTAAACTTCTTTTTTTCCCCCCTAAGTCTAAGTACATTTTTCCGCAGCAAATCACCCAGCTTCTGGTTTTTTTTTTCCAAAACAGAGAGTGGAGAACATCTTAGCAGGAAGAAATATTAATAGGGAGGCATCGAGAGCTCGACATCTGCCTTGTTCGTGCTTGTTTATTTATTAGGTTTTTATCCCAACTTCATTATTATATAAGTAACTAAAACTCCCTGTCTCCTGGTGATGGACCCAAAATCACCCAGCCAAGTTTCTTGCCTAAAGTGGAACTAGAATTCACTGTCTCCTGGTGATTGGTCCAAATTTACCCAGCTAGCTTTCTTACCTAAAGCAGGACTATAACTCATGGACTCCTGGCAATTGGGCTAAAGTTACTCAGCCGGCTTTCTTGCCTAAGGCGAGACTAGAACTCGGAGTCTCCTTGAGATTGGCCCAAAGTCAGACAATTTAAGCTTTCGTGCTTAAGGCAGGACTAGAAGTCACCATTCTCTTCCTCCTGCTCCCTCTTTCCCCTTCCTTCTCCTCTTTCCTTTCCTCTTCTTCTCTTCCTCCTCTCCACATATCCTGTTCCCTTCAAGCACTGATGTTGTTTCCTAGCTGGGTCATGAAACGTCTGTAAGAAACATTTCTTCTTTCTCCTAGTTACTCCCCCTCATCCTCCTTTTCCTCTTCCTCTTCCTCCTCCTCTTCTTCTTCCTTTCCTCCTCCTCTTCTTCATATTCCTCTCCTCCTCTTCTCCTCCTTCTTCCTCTCCTCCTTCTCGTCCTCCTCTTCTTCTTCCTCTCCTCCTCCTCGTCCACCTTCTTCCTCTTCTTCTTTCTTCCTCTGCTCCTTCCTCCTCTCCTCCTCCTCTTCCTCTCCTCCTCCTCGTCCACCTTCTTCCTCTTCTTCTTTCCCTCCTCCTCCTTTTCTTCTTCCTCTCCTCCTCCTCGTCCACCTTTTTTTTCCCTCTCCTCCTCCTCTTCTTCCTCTCCTCTTCTTCTTCCTCTCCTCTTCTTCCTCTCCTCGTCCTCGTCTTCTTCTTCCTCTCCTCCTCGTCTTCTTCCTCTCCTCTTCTTCCTCTCCTCCTCTTCTTCCTCTCTTCTTCTCTCTCCTCTCCTCCTCATCCTCCTTCCGCTCCTTCTCCTTCTCTTCTTCTTCTTCCTCTCCTCCTCCTCCTTGTCCACCTTCTTCCTCTTCTTCTTCCTCTCCTCCTCCTTCCTCTCCTCTTCTTCTTCCTCTCCTCCTCCTCCACCTTTTTCTTTTTTCCTCTCCTCCTCCTCCTCGTCCACCTTCTTCCTCTTCTTCTTCCTCTGCTCCTCCTTCTTCCTCTTCTCTTCTTCTTCTTCCTCTCCTCTTCCTCGTCCACCTTCTTCCTTTTTCCTCTCCTCCTCCTCCTTCCTCTCCTCCTTCTCCTCCTTTTCTTCTTCTTCTTCTTCTCCTCCTCCTCCCCCTCGTCCAACTTCTTCTCTTCTTCTTCTCCTTCTTCTTCTTCCTCTCCTCCTCCCCCTTGTCCACCTTCTTCTTCCTCTTCTTCCTCTTCCTCTCCTCCTTCCCTTCTTTCTCCCTCACTTTCCTACAATATATACTGCATGTATGCATGCCTGTCTCAGCTCAAGACAGCAAACAAACTTAAGTGTTCCTGCCCGAATTGAATTTGAATCGAATTAAACAAATAAAGCCAACAAGGAAATAAATTTGTCTGGACATGTATGCCCACGGGACTTGTAGGACTGGCCTGGCGTGACCAAAGAGACATGGCTTGGAAGCCTTGCAAACTGATTTATGCAACCTGATTTGCCAGTTAGGGAAATAACAACAGTTCGACTTTTCAAACAGGACAGATCAGAAAAGGTTGGCCCATTTTGGGACATCGTTTACCACCCTCCCCTAAGACATCTTTTATACATGCCTTGGTTTGCACAGGTGGAGCAAAGGTAAATAAATCACATTATCTTTAGTGAAGCTCAGCAAGATAGGAGTTCCTGTTCATTCATCGGGTATGTTAAGGTGACTTGCCACGAAGAGTGCAGAGAAGAGCAACAGAGATGGTTAGGGGACTGAAAGCTAAAACAAATGAATGAATTTGCAGGAATTGGCTATGTCTAGTTTAATGAAAAGAAAGACTGAATGGAATAGAACAGTATAACAGTGTTGGAAGGGACCTTGGAGGTCTTATTTATTTATTTATTTATTTATTTATTTATTTATTTATTTATTTAATTTATTTATTTATTATTTATTTATTTATTATTTATTTATTTATTTATTTATTTATTTATTTATTTATTTATTTATTATATTTCTATACCGCCTTTCTCACGTAGGACTCAAGGCGTCAAGAAAAATATAGATACACAAAACATCATAAAATTGCTAATTAAAATTATTATTATAACATAGTTTGGCCCAATTAAATAGAACCTAAAATTAGATAACATTTTAAAAACATTCACATGTTCATATGTTTAGCCCCGCTTGTTGGACCATCAGGGTTTTGAGGGCACGGTGGAAAGCACGGAGATCAGGGATATTCCGTATCTCCGGAGGCAGTTCATTCCAAAGGGTTGGAGCCCCCACAGAGAAGGCCCTCCCCCTGGGAGTCGCCAGTCGGCATAATTTGACTGATGGTACCCTGAGTAGTCCCTCCCTGTGAGAACGAACTGGTCGGTGGGAGGCTATTGGTGGCAAAAGACGGTCTCGTAGGTACCCAGGTCCTAAGCCATGGAGCGCTTTAAAGGTGATAACTAACACCTTGAATCGCACCCGGAAGACCACCGGGAGCCAGTGCAGCTCGCGTAGGAGAGGTGTTATATGGGCGTAACGAGCTGCACCCATAATCACCCGCGCGGCTACGTTCTGGACCAGTTGGAGCCTCCGGGTGCTTTTCAAGGGGAGCCCATGTAGAGAGCATTACAGTAGTCCATACGGGAGGTAACTAGGGCATGAGTGACCATGCGCAAGGCGTCCCGATCCAGAAAGGGACGCAACTGGCGGATCAGGCGAACCTGATAAAAGGCCCCCTGGCCACGGCCATCAAATGGTCTTCTAAAGATAGCCGTGAGTCCAGGAGGACGCCCCCTCTGTGGGGAGCAAGATCTCATCCCCAATTGTCAGTGATGGTACCAGCTGACTATACCGGGACGCCGGAAGCCACAGCCACTAGTCTTCTAGTCCAACCCCCTACTTAAGCAGGAGACTCTTTAGACACATGGTTGTCCAATCTCTTCTTAAAACTCTCCAATGTTGGAGCATTCACAACTTCTGGAGGAAAGCTATTACACTGATTAATAGTTTCCGGAGAAGGGCGGCATATAAATCAAATAATAATAATAATAAAAAAAATAGTTCTCACTGTCAGGAAATTCCTCCTTAGTTCTAGGTTGCTTCTCTCCTTGATTGGTTTCCATCCATCGCTTCTTGTTCTCCCTTCTGATGCCTATTAGAGAATAAGTCAATCTCCTCTATAAAGCCTTAGTAAGGCTACACCTAGAGTACTGCATCCAGTTTTGGTCACCACACTATAAACAAGATATTGAGACTCTAGAAAGAGTGCAGAGAAGAGCAACCAGGATGATTAGGGGACCGGAGGCTAAAACATACGACGAATGGTTGCAGGAACTGGGCCTGGCTAGTCTAGGGAAGAGAAGGACCAGGGGAGACAGGAGAGCATCTTCCAATATTTGAGGGGCTGCCGCAGAGAGGAGGAAGGGGGTCAAGCTATTTTGCAAGGCACCTCTGAAGGCCAGACAAGGAATAATGGATGGAAACGGATCAAGGAGAGATTCGACCTGGAAATAAGGAGAAATTTTCTGACAGTGAGAGCAATCACCAAGGAGCCTTGGTGGCGCAGCAGACTAAAGTGCTGTTAAGTAGCACTTAGCTGCCAGCTGCCTGCAATTACTGCGAGTTCAAATCTCACCAGGCTCAAGGTTGACTCAGCCTTCCATCCTTCCGAGGTAGGTAAAACGAGGACCCGGATTGTGGGGGCAATAAGCTGACTTTGTATTAAAAAAAGAACACCGCTTAGGGGGGCCCGAAAGCCCTACTAAGCAGGTATATACAAAAGTATGAAGGCTATTGTTAATGCATTGTAAGCAGCCCTGAGTCTCCGGAGAAGGCCGGCATATAAATCGAACCAATAAATAAATAAATAAAATCAACCCATGGAACAGAAGTTGCCTTCGGAAGTTGTGGGAGCTTCATCACTGGAGGTTTTCAAGAAGAGATTAGACTGCTGTTTGTTGGAAATGGTGCAGGGTCTCCTGCTTGGGCGGGGGGTTGGACTAGATGACCTACAAGGTCCCTTCCAACTCTGTTAATTTATTTCTAATTATTTCTTCTTTGTGGCAGCCCTTTGGATATTGGAACATTGTTATCATATCACCCTTCGTCTTTCTTTTCTTTTCATTAAACTAGACATACCTGCAACCGTTCTTTGTTATGTTTTACTCTCCAGTCTCCTAACCATCCTTGTTGCTCTTCTCTGCACTCTTTCTAGATTCGACTGTGCTTTTAATTTATTTTAAATTTATTTTTATTAAATACCGGTAGTTATTAATTGATTGATTAATTCAATGTTTATGCTAACTGTCTGTCACTATGCAAAGTAACTCTGGTCCGCTTACAATACAGTACTTTGCTTTTTTTTTTTTTCCCCTGCACTCCTTAAGCAGAAAGCCCTCTGTACTTGCTCAGAGGCACTGGGGCCAGAGACTTTAAAAGTTTTAATCAATTTTTTTAAAAAAAACCTCAAAACTCAACAACAAAACCAGAACGCGGCGTCAGCGCCACCTAGCGGCTCCCCCTTTCTCCAGACAGGAACCTTGAGAGAGGGCGTGGCCCTCCGCCGCGCGCGGCGCTCATTGGCTGCGCTCCGTTCCGCGAGCCGCGCGTGCGCCGTGGGCCGGGTCCTCCAGCATCCCAGAATGCCGCTCTACCCGGAAGCCGCGCCTCCTCCTTCTCCTTCGCCGCCGCCGCCGCCGCCGCTGTGCGGGGAAAGGAAGCCGGGATGGAGGACGAGGAGCTGGATTTGGCCGACGAGCTGGAAGCCGCCTTGCAGCTGGCTCCGGAGGTGCAGCTGGCCATCGAGCAGGTGAAAGGGGGGCGAGGGGCGTGGCCGGGAGGGCGAGAGGGGCGTGGCTTGGGTGAGGGCGGAGCCTTAATATGCTAATTTAAACCGTTGGAAGAGGGAAGGGTGGGGGGGTGACTGAGGGGGGGTCAGGGGACTGCTTAGAGGGTCCATATTTAAGGGGGGGCTTATTGGGGGGGCATTCTCTTTAGGCAAGGGACCCATAATAAGGGGACAGGGACCCCATGGGATTTGGGGGCTGCTCAGGAGCTTTGGACTCCAGGTCCCAGCAGCCACAGCCAGATGGAGTTGGGTTGGGGGTCCCTTTGGAGGTGGGATTGTATCAGTCCAGGGGAAGGCTGGGGTATCCATAGGGGTCCTCCAGATGAGATAAAATGGGTGGGTGGGTGGTCTGGATGCCTGTAGGGGGACAAAATGGGGGGGGCAGCACCCCAAAAAGCTTAATGGATTAGGTATCATTTTCCATCCCTACTGAGCAAGATATATATGTAGGTCTTTGGTTATTCGGGTCTTCTCCCACGTAAAATTGGAAGTGTCTTGGCGACGTTTCGACGAAGTCTCATTCGTCATCTTCAGGCTGGTGTTCTCGGCTTCGTGCTTCTAGGAGCAATGTGTGTGATCGCAGCTGTTTCTTGCTCACACAGTTTCTGATCACAGATCGCAGCTGTTTCTGATCACACACAAAACTGGCAGTTAAAAGGAAGAAACAGCTGCGATCACACACATTGCTCCTAGAAGCACGAAGCCGAGAACACCAGCCTGAAGATGATGAATGAGACGAATGAGACTTCGTCGAAACGTTGCCAAGACACCTCCAATTTTACGTGGGAGAAAACCCAAATAACCAAAGACATACATACATACATACATACATACATACATACATACATACAGAGAGAGAGAGGGAGAGAGAGAGAGAGAGAGATTTCTTCTCTTTTCGTAGGTTTTTTTTGGTATGTATTTTTCTTCAACCGGGTTTTTCCTACATTAAACCACGTTTCTCAAATTGCAGCCATAGCTCAGTGAAATCACATCCACTATCCTAGGCTTCTTCAGACAGCAAGCATGCATTTTGCTGCCTATTGGGAGACTAATATAGCTCTATTTCGGACTGATTGGTCCTCATCAAGAGAAGAAAGCAAATACTTCGCCTCTACGGGGAGGGAACATACGGTAAGCATGTGGCTAACTGATGAGGACCAATCAGCCCGAAATATTTTATTTATTTATTTATTGCATGTATTTATATGCCGCCCTTCTGCAGAAGGACTCAGGGCGGCGAACACAAGTTAAAAACATGGACAACAAAATCCCATTTTTAAACCAAATTAACTAATAAATAATAAATAATAAAACCCAAATCAGAGTCAGCCTATTTGCTTGAACAGCCAAGTCTTAAGGTCCCGACGGAAGGAAATAGATCTATATTAGTCTCCCAATAGGCAGGAAAATGCATGCTTGCTGTCTGAAGAAGCCTAGGATAGTGGATGTGATTTCACGGAGCTATGGCTGCAATTTGAGAAACGTGGTTTACGTAGGAAAAACCTGGTTGAAGAAAAATACATATATATGCTTGAGCAGAGGTCTGGACTAGAAGACCTCAAAGGTCCCTTCCAGCTCTATTCTGATTGATATATATATCAATCAGAATAGAGCTGGAAGGGACCTTTGAGGTCTTCTAGTCCAGACCTCTGCTCAAGCAGGAGACTCTATATCATTTCAGACGAATGGCAATCCAGTCTCTTCTTAAAAACTTCCATGGATGAAGCACCCATAACTTCCGGTGGCAAGCAGTTCCACTGGTTAATTGTTCTCACTGTTAGGAAGTTTCTCCTTAATTCCAGGTTGCTTCTCTCCTTGATTAGTTTCCATCCTTGGTTTCTTGTCCTGCCCTCAGGTGCTTTGGAGAATAGCTTGACTCCCTCTTCTTTGGGGCAGCCCCTGAGATATTGGAACACTGCTATCATGTCTCCCCTAGTCCTTCTTTTCTCTAGGCTGGCCAAATTCAAATCCTGCAACTGTTCTTCATCTGTCTTAGTCTCCAGGCCTTTAATCATCTTAGTTGCTGCTCTTTGCACTTTTTCCAAAGTCTCAACATCTTTTTTGTAATGTGGTGACCAAAACTGGATGCAGGATTCCAGGTGTGGCCTTACTAAGGCTTTATAAAGCGGTGCTAATACTTCAAATGATTTTGATTCTGTGCTTCTGTTTATAGGATTGTATTAGCTGATCGATCGATATAACAACAACAACAACAACAACAATAATAATAACAACTTTATTGTCATTGTACATGTATACACAGTATACCCATACAACAAAATTCACTTAACACCCAAAGACCAGGTCCAACACACATAACAATCCCCAAACACACTCCCACCCACCACAATTTCCCACCCCTAAACCACCCAAACATCCACACAACAGACCAGGGTGGATAAAAATCAATGATTTTTTTAAAAAAATCAAAAAAATCAGATTTTTTTATTTTTATCGAATTTATTTTAATAAAAAACTTTTGGGGTAAAAATCTATCGTAAGATAGTTTTCTATTTAAGATACATAAATAATTTAGTTTATTCAGCATGAAATGGAGCTCAGTTATGTAGCAGGAGGCTGTATATTCTGCAACATTGGGACTATCGGTGCGTCAACAGTGGGTCAAAGGAGTAGCAGAGATGAGAGTTGCTCTTTAAAAATTATGATTTAAATCGAGTTGATTTAAATCAAGCCTTTTTACTAGGGATTTAAATCATGATTGAAATTGTGATTTAAATCAACTCGATTTAAATCAAATCCACCCTGCAACAGACCAAGTAATGCTGTCCAACAGCTCACTGACGGTGGCCCTTTAGTTCATTGTTGAGTGCAATTATAGCTGTGGGATAAAAACTTCAGAAACGTGTGATCCGAGTTTTAATCGTTCTGTATCTTCTGCCAGAAGGCAACAGTCCAAAAAGATTGTAAGGAGGATGGGAAGACTCTCTGAGAATGTTGTGCAACTTCCTCAAACAGCGAGATTCGAAGATGTCATCCAGGGCTGGTAGCTGGAGCCCGATGATATTCTGGGCAGTTTTAATGATTCTCTGTAGAGCTTTTTTGTCTGCTACAGAGCTGCTCCCATACCATGCAAGAATGCCGTATGTCAGGACACTCTCAATGGTGCTGTGGTAGTAGGATAGAAGTAGATGCTGAGATAGATTTATCTTCCTGAGCATTCTCAGGAAGTACAGCCTCTTCTGTGCCTTCTTCACAAGCATGTTAGCATTCATCGTCCATGAGAGGTCCTTCGAGATATAAATGCCCCAAAATTTAAAACTACGCACCCTCTCCACCTCCTCACCATTTATGTACAATGGTAAATGTACATCTCTCTTCCTCCTGAAGTCAATTATAAGTTCTTTAGTTTTTGTAGATCGATAGAGATGATAGATAGATGATAGATAGATGATAATGATAACGTTAGTTCAATTCACACCGTTCCATTTTTATGGAAAGCAGGTCGCGGGTTCAGGAACTCAAAGGAACTTAGGCAAGGAAACTTTGAAATGTAAAATGTTGATATGTTTGTCAGATATAGCAGTAAACAATTTAAAAAACACAGTGACAACTTAAATTTACTTTTAACCAAGTCACAGAGGAGTTATATAAAGCAAAACAAAAAAAGAAAATCCGTATGTGATCTCTTATCAGTCTTATGTACGTGTTTCTTAATCTTGGCCATTTGAAATCATGTGGACTACAACTCCCAGAATTCCCCAACCTGGCATGCTGTCTCTGTATACTAGTAGCTTGCCTTGTCAGCCCCCTCTAGCACTGATGATGTTAGTTAGTTGGGTCATGAAATGTCTGCAAGAAAACAATGAAGCTCAGAGAGCACAAAGCGCCCCCATATCAGTGGTGGGTTGTTCCCGGTTCGCAAGAACCGGTAGTAAAAATTTGTAGTAGTTCCAAGAACTGGTAATAACATTGGCTGGCCACATCCCCGAACCGGTCCCCGGCCCGGTCGCCGCTCGCTTATTCCGCCCACCTCATCAGAGGCTTTTTTTCTTTTTTTTAAACTTTTAAAAGCATTTTTTTCTGCAACTTCTTCGGCCGAAAAAATGCTTTTAAAAGTAAAAAAAAAAAAGAGCGTCTCATGATCCCGCGGCTCAGCTGGGATCGTCAGAGGCTTTTCAAAGCATTGTTTTCTGCAACCTCTTCAGCCGAAGAGGTGGTAAAAAAATGCTTTGAAAAGCCTCTGATGATCCGAGCTGAGTTGCCTGATCGGCAGAGAGGCTTTTCAAAGCATTTTTTTCTGCGCCCTCTTAAGGTTGTAGAAAAAATGCTTTTAAAAGTAAAAAAAAAAGCCTCTGATGATCCCGCAGCTCAGCTGGGATCGTCGGAGGCTTTTCAAAGCATTTTTTTCTGCAACTTCTTCGGCCGAAGAGGTGGTTAAAAAAATGCCTTTAAAAGACTCTGGAAATCACCGCTGAGTTGCCTGATCGGCAGAGAGGCTTTTCAAAGCATTTTTTTCTGCAACCTCTTAAGGTTGTAGAAAAAATGCTTTTAAAAGTAAAAAAAAAAAAAAAAAAAAGTTGACCACGCCCACCCAGTCACATTATCCCCCCACCAAGCCACGCCCACAAAATAAGCCATGCCCACAGAAGCGGTAGTAAAAAAAATTTAGAACCCACCCCTGCCCCATATTTATTAGATTTTAACAAACAATACCAAGCAACTACATTAACATAAATCCAAGATACATGCACGAAAAAAATTACAATATTCAAAATATAATGATGCTAAACGTCTTAAATTGTAGAATCTGTGTGATTTAATGTTTGCAATGGCGGTACCCGCCATTCATTTAGTAACTTTTCTTCTTTCCTTGATTGTTAGGTATTTCCCAGCCAAGATCCGCTGGACAGGGCCGATTTTAATGCAGTGGAATACATCAATACTCTTTTTCCAACCGAGCAAGTGAGTTGAATCTACGCTGCTGTATGATATTCATGTGATTTTGATTCATTTTCATATTTATTTATTTATTATATTTCTATACCGCCTTTCTCCCGTAGGACTCAAGGTGGTGTACAGTCAAGAAAAATATAGATACACAAAACATCATAACATTGCTAATTAAAATTATTATTATAACATAGTTTGGCCCAATTAAATAGAACCTAAAATTAGATAACATTTTAAAATCATTCACATGTTCATATGTTTAGCCCCGCCTGTTGGAACATCAGGGTCTTGAGGGCACGGCGGAAAGCACGGAGATCAGGGATATTTTGTATCTCGGGGCAGTTCATTCCAAAGGGTTGGAGCCCCCACAGAGAAGGCCCTCCCCCTGGGAGTCGCCAGTCGGCATCATTTGACTGACGGTACCCTGAGTAGTCCCTCCCTGTGAGAACGAACTGGTCGGTGGGAGGCTATTGGTGGCAAAAGACGGTCTCGTAGGTACCCAGGTCCTAAGCCATGGAGCGCTTTAAAGGTGATAACTAACACCTTGAATCGCACCCGGAAGACCACCGGGAGCCAGTGCAGCTCGCGTAGGAGAGGTGTTACATGGGCGCAATGAGCTGCGCCCACAATCACCCGTGCGGCTATGTTCTGGACCAATTGGAGCCTCCGGGTGCTTTTCAAGGGAGCCCCATGTAGAGCCCCATATTCTTTTGTCTATGGAGATTCTCAGTCACCCAGGACATGGTTGTCCCAAAGGTGCTTTTCTCAAGAGGCAACTGGACTTTCCTGGTTTTTCTTTGAAGACGTTTCGCTTCTCATCCAAGCAGCTTCTTCAGCTCTGACCGGATGGTGGGGAATGGAAGGATTTATACTCCTTGCAAGACAGCTGGTCATTTGCATCCTTTTAGCAAGTCATGAAGGCTAACGTAGGAGAACAAACCCATCAGGACAATATTCAGCACTCCGTTTAAAAGACAAAGGCCACTCTTTTGAAGACAGCAAAGTCCACATTTTGGACAGAGAGTGTTGAGGATATTCTTGGCTCATAACCGATGTTGTGGGTTATTGAGCAGAGTATCCTTTGAGTATACGCATGAAAGCGACTAGGAGTGGTTGTGAACAATCACAGTTAACATACAAACACACTGAGTTGTGGTAATCTTTTACTTTTAGGAAAAAGTAAAGCAAAGTCCAAAAACAATCCAAGTCATACACAGATAAGACAAGAGTTAAAAGATCAATCCAGGGATATATATATATATATATATATTTAATTTGATTTATATGCCGCCCTTCTACGGAGACTCAGGGCGGCTTACAATGCGTTAAGCAATATTTAAAGTACAAAGTCTTCTTACCAGTTGTAGTCATACACAATAAAACAGTTCTTCTTGAGTTTCAAAACAGAAACAAGTTCAATATCAAAACATTCAATAAATAGTAGAGAGCAACATGTAGCTATGATCAAACAGTGATCATGAGGTAGAGAGTTACAGCAAATAAGCAGGGAAAATGGTGTAGTGTCCACACAAGCCATGATTCAGACTTCCCTTAAGTACATTGGCTACAGAGCTTAGCCAATCAGGATACAGGATGATGCAATACAGTCTTAAAGCAATATAATACCTTTTTGACTGCAAACATGCATTGTTGGTTGGTTTATATATTGCCTGACCAACTAGTTAGACAAATAGCCATTTCCTAACAGAGAAGACTGCTGGTTTGAAAGAGGGGTCAAAGAGGCCATCTATGTCCAAATTGAACAGCCCTCTTTCAACAAAAGGGGAGGGATACCACATCATCTATCTCCAGTCTCCAACACAGTGGAGTACAGTGTGGAGTACAGAGATAGTACAGTGGTCTAAGCACCCTGTTATTAACACAGCTGCCTGCAATTACTGCTGGTTCGAATCTCTCCAAGGCTCAAGGTCGACTCAGCCTTCCATCCTTTCTAAGGTAGGTGAAATGAGGACCCAGTTTGTGGGGGCAATAAGCTGACTTTGTATAAATATATACAAAAGTATGAAGGCTATTGCTTAGCGCATTGTAAGCCGCCCTGAGTCTCCGAGAAGGACGGTATATAAATCAAAATTAAAAAAAAAAAAAAAAAACACAATCCTTTCAGCACTTCCAAGAAGGCTCCACACCCATTTGCACCACTCAGGTGTCCCTGAAGACACAGACAAACCTTCAATGACTCTCTGAAAGGATGCAAATGACCAGCTGCCTGCAAGGAGTATAAACCCTTCACTTCCTCTCCAGCCAGTCAGAGCTGAAGAAGCTTCTTGGATGAGAAGCTAAACGTTGTCAAAGAAAAACCAGAAAGTCGGGTTGCCTTTATTAGTGCAATTCGGAGACTGCAAATGACGCCCATCAGAAAGTACAAATAGTCCTTGGCTAATTAGTGTTTGTTTAGTAGCAATAGCACTTACTTTTATTTTACTTTTACTTTTATTTAATTTGTATACCGCCCTTCTCCCGAAGGACTCAGGGCGGTGAACAGCCAACAATAAAATACATACGTACAAAATTTAAAAAACATCGAATTAAATAATTTGGCCCAGACAGATTAAAACCTCAATCAATTTAACACAGATTTAAACTTTGAAAATTAAAAGATATTGAAAATATTAAAATATTAAAATTGTTTAAAAATTGTTTAGAAAGAGGGAGAAAGTTAGGCCAGGCCCGCCTGGTGAAATAAAAAGGTCTTTAGAGCTCGGCGGAAGGTGCGCAGATCCGGGATCCTCTGTATCTCCGGGGGAGCTCGTTCCAGATCGTAGGTGCCCCCACAGAGAAGGCCCTCCCCCTGGGGGCCGCCAGTCGACATTGTTTGGCCGACGGCACCTGGAGGAGCCCCTCTCTATGGGAGCGTACCGGCCAGTGGGAGGCTATTGGTGGTAGTAGGCGGTCCCGCAAGTACCCAGGTACTGAGCCATGGAGCGCTTTAAAGGTGGTAACCAAAACCTTGAAGCGCACCCGGAAGACCACCAGGAGCCAGTGCAGGTCGCGCAGGAGGGGTGTTACATGGGAACGCCACGACGCTCCCATTACCACCCGCACGGCCACACTCTGCGCCAGTTGGAGCCTCCGGATGCTCCTCAAGGGGAGCCCCATGTAGAGAGCGTTACAATAGTCCAGGTGGGAGGCGATGAGGGCATGAGTGCGTAAGGAGTCCCGATCCAGAAAGGGACGCAACTGGCGAATCAGGCGAACCTGATGAAAAATCCTCCCCGGTCATTTAAACTCACATACCGCCCCATAGTGCTTTACAGCACTCACTGAGTAAATTAAAGCGTCAGTCTCTTTCCCCCAACAAACTGGGTCCTTATTTTACCGACCTCAGAAGGATGGAAGGCTGAGTGAACCAGTCAGGATCGAACTGCTGGCAGTGGGCAGAGTTAGCCTGCAAAGCTGCATTTCAACCACCAGGGCACCTAAAGGCCCAATGCTGGAACTGTCACTTCTTGTAGAAGGAGCGGAGTCAAGAGAGGGATTAGCCTGGAGTTGTTACGTTCCCACAAATGGTCCAAGTTCAACCCCTCTTCAACTCTGTTGACCCAATTTGGTGCTGATCGTTAGTTGACTAGATTCCTGTGTGGAGATAGTCCATGACCTACAGCCATTTTATTGATCATTCGAACCAGTGGTGGGTTTGGCCCGGTTTCCGCTGCTGACCCGGTAGCGGTGACGATATGATGTCACCGAACCGGTTCTCTTTGTTTGGGAGCTGGGCCTGCCCCGCCCCCCCATGTTATTCTTACCTTTTATTTGTCCCCCCCCAATCTATTGCTGCCTCCTGAGTCCCAGCTGATTGGCTAGAAGGAAAAAAACTGTTTAAATTCTTGCCGCGGGGCTTCAAAGAGCCGCCGTACAGCTGATCAGTGGTAAAAGGCAGTTTGGTGGTAGACCGGTGCCTGCAAAAATAAATGGGTAGACCGGTACAGCTCTGCAAGCAGTGAAAAGCCTGGTAGACCAGTACCTCTGCTAAATCCTAAAGAATTGTCACATGACCATCAAGCCATGCCCACAATATAAGCCACGCCCACAGAACCGGTGGTAAAAAAACCCTTAGAACCCACCCCTGATTCGAACAGCATTTAGACTTATATACCGCTTCACAGTGCTTTTACAGCCCTCTCTAATCAGTTTACAGAGTCAGCCTCTTGCCCCCCCAACAATCTGGCTCCTCATTTTACCTCACTTCGGAAGGACGGAAGGCTGAGTCAACCTTGAGCCTGTCAGGATCGAACTTCCTGGCTGTGGGCAGAGTTTAGCCTGCAATACTGCATTCTAACCATTGCACCACCACAGCTTCATTCTTTCCTTCTCCTCCCTTCCTTCCTTCCTTCCCTCCCTCCTCCCTCCTTCCTTCCTTTCCTTCCTCCCCCCTTCTCCTTCCTTCCCTCCCTCCCTCCCTCCTTCCTTCCTTCCTCCCTCCCCTCCCTCCCTCCTTTCTTCCTTCCTTCCTTCCTCCCGTCTTCCTTCCTTCCTTCCTTCCCTCCCTCCTTCCTTCTTTCCTTCCTTCCTTCCCCCCTCCCCCCTCCCTCCCTCCCTCCCTCCCTCCCTCCTCCTTCCTTCCTCCTTCCTTCCTTCCTTCCTTCCTTCCCTTCCAAGCATAGCACTTATACCTGTAAAGTCAATCGGGAAGCCAATTCATTGAATAACCCTGTGGCTAACTGCAGTGATTTACTTAACAACCGTGGCAAGAAAGGTTGTAAAATGGGGGCAAAATTCACTTGTCTTGCTTAGCAACAGAAATGTTGGGCTAACCCCCAATAAAGAAAGCAAAAGTTATTTTTAAAAGCCCAGCTGGCTTATACAGGCAATCCTTGACTTTCCGACCATTTGAACTTACAACAGCCTTGAAAAAAAAACACAACTTATGACCGGTTCTCACACTTATGACCATTGCACATAATCATGTGATCAATGTTCAACACTTGGCAACTGACTGGTTTTTATGACGGTTGCAGTGTCCCTGGAGTCACATTATCCACTTTTGCGACCTTCTGACAAGCCAAGTCAGTGTGGAAATCAGATTCACTTAACAGCCTGGTTACTGACATAACAATTGCAGTGATTTCTTTAACAACGGTGGCAAGAAGGGTCGTAGAATGGGGCAAAACTCGCTTAGCAACCGAAATTTGAGCCTAAATTGGGGTTGTAAGTCAAGGACTACCTTACTTTTCTGAGAATTTTTTTTTATTTTAAAACAAAAACAAAACATAAAACCATCATCATTCCAAACAATTACAGACAATGAGTCGAACGGTTCATATTCTCTTGTGCATAAATCCATTTCTAAAATACCAAGTTTATATCTTTTATAGAAAAAAAAAAACATCAGATGTTTTATCTTTACATCAACCCCATAATTTCATACTTCAATTCCATGATTTATTATCTATCCATTGATAAAACAAATCCCATATCAAATAATATTGTTTATCTTCCTGTTCTCTAATTTCAAATGTCAATTTACTCATTTCAGCACATTCCACAATTTTCTTAATAAACTCATCAGTAGGTAACTCCTCTCCTTTCCAATTTTTAGCAAATACGATTCTAGTCGCCGTTAAAACGTTCACAATTAAATATTGCACTTCTCTGTTAATGTTTTCTGGTAAAATCCCCAATACAAATATCCTACCTTACTTTTCATTGTTCATCTAGTTTTGAACCCAAGAATGATTTGGGGGATAGAAGGCTGCTTGGAGTTGGTTAATTGGAGCTGCTTCCAAGCTCTGTAAGAATAGAATAGAATAACAGAGTTGAAGGGACCTTGGAGTCTTCTAGTCCAACCCCCTGCTTAGGCAGGAAACCCTATATCAGATATTATCCAACATCATCTTAAAAACTTCCAGTTTTGGAGCATTTATAACTTCTAGAGGCAAGGAGTTCCACTGATGAATTGTTCTCACTGTCAGGAAATTTCTCCTTAGTTCTAAGTTGCTTCTCTCCTTGATTAGTTTCTACCCGTTGCTTCTTGTCCTGCCCTGTAAAATGTAAAATGGATTAGTAAATATTTCAGAGTAACAGAATAACAGAGTTGGAAGGGACCTTGGAGGTCTTCTAGTCCAACCCCCTGCTTCGGCAGGAAACCCTACACCACTTCAGACAAATGGCTATCCAATCTCCTCTTAAAAACTTCCAGTGTTGGCGCATTCACAACTTCTGGTGGCAAGCTGTTCCACTGGTTAATTGTCCTCACTGTCAGGAAATTTCTCCTTAGTTCCAGGTTGCTTCTCCTCTTGATCAGTTTCCATCCGTTGCTTCTTGGAAAATAATCAAGGAGAGAAGCAACCTAGAACTAAGGTGAAATTTTCTGTCAGTTAGAACAATTATGTGAATATGTTTGAGGAATGTCGATTGGGGATCTGATTCAGCCGATGGTGCATAATGAAAAGATGACGTCCTGATTTTTCTCTTAACAGTCTTTGGCCAACATTGATGACGTAGTGAACAAAATCAGATTGAAAATAAGGTAAGCGAAGTGGGTTTGCTTTCTCTTCTAAGAGAGACGGCAACAATTTTTTTTATTCCTTAAAAAGGAACATTTGTACAAGGGATTCTCAACCTTGGCAACCATGCAGATGTATGGACTTCAATTCCCAGCATTCCCTAGCCAGCTGCTTGCCTGGGGAATTCTGGGATTTGAATTCCAGCCACCTTAAAACATGCTAGCTATGGAATTCTGGTAGTAGAAGTCTGCTCATATTTAAAGAATACTGGCTGGGGAATTATGGGTGTTGAAACCTTCAAGCATGCTGACAAGGAATTCTGGAATCGGAGTTCACCCCTCTTAAAGATTGCTGGCTGGGGAATTCTGGGAGTGGAAGTCCACCCTCTTAAAGCATGCTGGCTGGGGAATTCTGGGAGTGGAAGTCCAACCCTCAAAAGCATGCTGGCTGGGGAATTCTGGGAGTCTAACTCTACCTATCTTAAAGATTGCTGGCTGGGGAATTCTGGGAGTGGAAGTCCACCCTCTTAAAGCATGCAGGCTGGGGAATTCTGGGTGTTGGTCCACACATTTTAAAGTTGACAAACACTGGTTTATTGCCTCTGGTGATTTCACCAACGGAGTATGATTACTTGACATCGTCAAGAGATTATTCCAATTTTCCTTTTCTAATTAACTCAGGCTTCTGGAGGTAAACCTCCAATCATAAAAGTGGATTGCCAAGGACTATATTTATCTCAAAGCTTGAAATGTCTCGGCGTCTTTATTAGATTTGAGAATATCTCAGCAATCTCTTTTGCCAAAAAAAAAAAAATTGATTTGTTTGAATTATTTTTAGTCTTTTTATATATATATTTTTCCCCTTCCAGACGATTGGATGATAATATTCGGACAGTGGTGAGAGCTCAGACCAACGTGGGGCAAGATGGCCGTGAGGTATGCTCCCATCTCTGCGTGAAATAAAAGATATAATGATGATTTGTCTCTTTTGATCTACTCTGTCCACAATCCTTAGTCACAGCAAGGTCTTCGGGTATATCTTTCCTGTACATCATCTCTGAACCCTCAAATTGTAGTTGAAGCAGATAAAATATTACTTAATAAGAAAATGTGACAATGCAATTCAGAGTTCCACCCACCATGTACAGTTAGTCCTCGACTTATGCCCACAACCGAGCCCAAATTCTTTGTTGCCAAGCGAGACAGTTGTCAAGTGAATTTTGCCCCCATTTTACGACCTTTCTTGCCACAGCTGTTAAGTGGACCACCAGGGTTGTTAACAACACGATTGTTATGTGAATCCGGCTTCCCCATTGATTTTGCTTGTCAGAAGGTCGCAAAAGGGGATCACGTGACCCCGGGGCAGTGTTCTGCAACCGTCATAAATACGAGTCAGTTGCCAAGCATCTGACTTTTGATCATGTGACCGCCGGGGATGCTGCAAAAGGTTTTCCGCGTGAAAAACTTTTTTCCAATACCGTTGAAACGTCAAATTCACTCTTTTCAGTGCTGTTATCATTTAGAACGGTCGCTAAATGAATTGTTATAAGTTGAGGACTACCTGTAAGTCCGAATAGTTTCTCCTTCTTGCTGCTTTCAATGTGTTTCTTTCCCCCCCCCCTTTTTTTTTGCATTCGCTATTTTATTCCGGGACGCGGTGGTTCAGCAGCTAAGACGCTAAGCTTGTCGATCGAAAGGTCGGCAGTTCAGCGGTTCGAATCCCTAGTGCCGCATAACGGGGTGAGCTCCCGTTCCTTGTCCCAACTTCTGCCAACCTAGAGGTTCGAAAGCACGGAAAAAAATGCAAGGAGGAAAATAGGGACCACCTTTAGTGGGAAGGGAAGAGCGTTCCGTGCGCCTTTGGCGTTGAGTCATGCCGGCCACATGACCACGGAGACGTCTTCTTCGGACAGCGCTGGCTCTTCGGCTTTGAAACGGAGATGAGCACCGCCCCCTAGAGTCGGGAACGGCTAGCACATATGTGCGAGGGGAACCTTTACCTATTATTTTATTCTGTTTTTGGGGGGGGTCAGGGCGGACTCTGTCTCAGCTTGCACAAAATTTGCAGACGACACTGGGAGAGGGGGGGGGAAAAAAAAAGAGAATTTCCCCAACCTGCGTGTCTCATGGCCCCTTCCCAGCGAGGAGATATTAGCGGAATAGCATTCCAGAACGGGGCGTCATGTCGGCTTTCCTCCGCCGTTCCAGACGGCGGCCGCGTCTGACGCCTTGGCAGGAGCTGGGGAAACGGATCCCCTTACAGCTGCGGTTGGCTGGGCCAGCATTTGTAGCTTGTGCAGCTGAGGGTGTTTCTCCCCCCCCACCCTTCAAAAAACCCTCCCCGGTTAGCATTTCACTTCCATTCAGAGGGAAAATTATCCCTCCGTACGTTGTGATGGCATGCTGGCAGCTGGTTCCAAGCCCTGGCCTCTTTATCTCCCACGATACCCTGCAGCTGTGATGGAGTGGAGGAATTCTGGGAAAGGGATCCGGGGTGGGGGTGGGGGGGCACTCGGATTTATGTTGACGGAGCCTTGAGGGAATTGAGCGAGAAGTACCAGGTTTTTTGCTCGGAATATAGGTTGGCTCTTGGTTTCTCGGTGAATTATTTGAATACCGTAATCCGGTGTTTCTCAAAACCTGGGCTGTTTTAAGATGGGTGGACTTCAACTCCCAGAATTCCCAGGCCAGCATGCTTTAAGCTGGGTGGACTTCCACATTCCTTAAAGCAGGCTGGCTGGGGAATTCTGGGAGGTGGAGTCCACCCATCTTAAAGCATGCTGGCTGGGGGATTCTGGGAGTTGGAGTCCATCCATCTTAAAGCAGGCTGGCTGGGGAATTCGGGAGTTGGAGTCCATCCATCTTAAAGCAGGCTGGCTGGGGAATTCTGGGAGTTGGAGTCCATCCATTTTAAAGCATGCTGGCTGGGGAATTCGGGAGTTGGAGTCCACCCATCTTAAAGCAGGCTGGCTGGGAATTCTGGGAGTTGGAGTCCATCCTTAAAGCAGGCTGGCTGGGGAATTCTGGGAGTTGGAGTCCATCCATTTTAAAGCATGCTGGCTGGGGAATTCTGGGAGTTGGAGTCCACCCATCTTAAAGCAGGCTGGCTGGGGAATTCTGGGAGTTGGAGTCCATCCATCCTAAAGCAGGCTGGCTGGGGAATTCTGGGAGTTGGAGTCCATCCATTTTAAAGCAGGCTGGCTGGGGAATTCTGGGAGTTGGAGTCCATCCATTTTAAAGCAGGCTGGCTGGGGAATTCTGGGAGTTGGAGTCCATCCATCCTAAAGCAGGCTGGCTGGGGAATTCTGGGAGTTGGAGTCCACCCATCTTAAAGCATGCTGGCTGGGGAATTCTGGGAGTGGAAGTCCACCCCTCTTAAAGCAAGCTGGCTGGGGGATTCTGGGAGGAGAAGTCCACCCATCTTAAAGCAGGCTGGCTGGGGAATTCTGGGAGTGGAAGTCCACCCCTCTTAAAGCAAGCTGGCTGGGGGATTCTGGGAGGAAGAAGTCCACCCATCTTAAAGCAGGCTGGCTGGGGGATTCTGGAGGAGAAGTCCACCCTCTTAAAGCAAGCTGGCTGGGGGATTCTGGGAGGAGAAGTCCACCCCTCTTAAAGCAGGCTGGCTGGGGAATTCTGGGAGTTGGAGTTCACCCATCTTAAAGCAGGTTGGCTGGGGAATTCTGGGAGTTGAAGTCCACAAATCATAAAAGGGCCCAGATTCTCCACTCCTGTGATAAAGGAAGAATGCAAAGATGCAAACACGCCCCCTCCCCCTCCTAAATTCCCATTCCTTGACTCAGGAAATTCCTTACATGGCCCATCCTGGCCTGACCACCTTGAATTCTTGGTACCCATCAAGAGGATGAGCTGGTCGTGTGGATTGAATTGGTGGGGTCCTCGGTGTTTCAATATGTTTCTCTCCTCTTCCCCCCCCCCCAATCTTTCTCCAGGCTCTTGAGGAGGCCCAAAAAGCCATCCAGCAGCTCTTTGGCAAGATTAAAGACATTAAGGATAAAGCAGAAAAATCAGAGCAGATGGTGAGTCCTTTATTGTTTCTTCTTGATACTTACAGAGTGAGACTCTTGGCTGCTGTATGAATGTTTTTTGTTGCTTAGGAATCTGTGCAAGCAAGCGAGTGAGTGAAGGAAGGAAGGAAGGAAGGAGGGAAAGAAGGAAGGAAGGGAAGGAAGGAAATGATAGAAAGAAGGAAGGTAGAATGGTGAAAGGAGGGAAGGATAGAAGGAAAGAGAATGGAGGGAGGAGAGAAGAAAAAAAGGAAAGGAGGAAGGGATAGGAAAAGGAAAAGAAAAAATTGAGAGAGGCAGGAAGTGAGGGAAGGAGAGGGAGGGAGGGGAAGGAAGGAAGAGGAAAGAAGAAAGGAAAAAAGAGAAGAAGGAAGGAAAGAAGGAGATGAGAGAAGTGAGGAAGGGAGAATGTGAAAACAGGGAAAGAGGGAGGGATAGGAGAAGGAAGGAAGGGGTAACAGAATGAAGGGAGGGAAGGAGGAAGGAAGGAAAAAAGAGGAAAGGAGGAAGGGGCAGGAGAAGAAAGGAAGAGAAAATTGAGAGAGGCAAGGAGGGAGCGGAAGGAAGAGAAGAAGAGAAGGGGAAAAGGAAAAGAAGGGAGGAAGGAAAGAAGGAGATGAGAGAAAGGAGGAAGGGAGAATGGTGAAAACAGGAGGGAAGGAGGGAGGGATAGGAGAATGGAGGGAGGGAGGGAGGAAGGAAGGAAAAGAAGGGAAGGATGAAGGGTTAAGAGAAGGAAGGAAAATTGAGAGAAAAAGGGAGGAAGGAAGGAAAAAAGGAAGGGAGAGGGAAGGACAGGACAAGGAATGAAGGGAAAGGGAGTTGGGGAAGGGTAGGGAAAGAAAGAGGAAAAAAGGAAGGAAGGAAAGGAGGAAGATGAGATAAAGGAAAAAAGGGATAATGGAGGGGAGGGAGGGAGGAAAGAAGGAGTAAAGGAATAACAAACCGTAGGCAGTGTTTCATGCTCATATGATTTATTTCACTGAAGTCCAGGGTGAGTTTGATGGCGCTCAGATTTCTCGGAACATCAACACTTCTGAGAAAACAGGAGCTAAATGCCTCTTCTACTGTACTTCCACCCCAGCATATAACTTGGGGAGGGGGGGTTGGGCTAGCTAGATGATCTCTGAAGTCCCCCTTCCCTTATTTTGGGGATTGCCAGAGGCTGTTCCTGTCTCTTGAATCCTCTGCTTCCATCTTCTCCTAGGTTAAAGAGATCACCCGGGACATCAAGCAGCTGGACCACGCCAAACGCCACCTGACCACCTCCATCACAACGCTGAATCACCTCCACATGTTAGCCGGGGGAGTGGATTCCCTGGAGTAAGTGGATCTGGGATCCGTCGTCACTTTTTAAGGGTGGCGAAGTGATCCGTCGTAAGTCGAGGACTACCTGTAGAATAGTCTTGCTGCACTTAACCATACGCGAAAAAGCAATCGTCCAGTCTTTTCTAATAGTCGGTCCATTATCCCAGCAAAGAAAAAAACCCCAGTTTCAATTGAATATTGTACAGCTAGTCCTCGATTTACAACGGTTCATTTAGTGACCGTTCAAAGTTACAACGGCACTGGGGAAAAAGGGAGCCGCGACCATTTTTTTTTTCACGCTTAACAACCTTTGCAGCATCCCCAAGGTCATGCGATTTACATACAAATGTTTGACAGCTGATTCATATTTATGACGGTCGGCGTGTCCCGGGATCACGTGATCCCCTTTTTACGACCTTCTGACTAGCAAAGTCCCAATGGGGAAGCCGGATTCACTTAACAACCAGGATACTAACTTAACAACGGCAGTGATTCTCTTAAAAAAAATGTGGCAAAAAAAACCGTCGTAAAATGGGGCAAAACTCACTTAATGTAGCAACATAAATTCTGGGCTCAGTTGTGGTCGTAGGTCGAGGACTACCTGAATTTTAAAATTCTTTATATTCCCCATGTATAAAAGTGGTCCTTGACTTACAACCTTTCAAAGATACCACAGCACTGGAAAAAAGTGACTTATGACTGTTTTTCACACTTACAACCATTGCAGTATCCCCATGGTCACGGGATCAAAATTCTGACACTGGGGAACTGACTTATATTTATGACGGATGCTTTGATCCCGGAATCAGATTATTGCTTTTTTGCAATGTCCTGGCAAACAAAGTCAATGGGAAAGCCAGATTTATTTAACAACGGTGGTAAGCAATGTCAGAGAGATAGATATGGGGTAAAGTTCACTTAACAACTGTCTCGCTTAGCAGCAACTTCAGGCTTAGTTGTGGTCATAAGTCGAAGACTACTTGCATTTGAACCCAGATTTTTTAAGGGTTTTTTTTTTTTACAAAGTCTATCAAGTGTGATAAAACAGCCCTCGTTTTCCGTATTTCCAAAATAAATTTCAAAATAATTTCACACAGGTATTCTTTGACTTGCAACCATTCATTTAGTGACTGTCGAAAGTTACAATAAAACAATGCTTATGATGGGAGCAAAAATCAGATGTTTGACAACTGGTATGCACAATAGTTATGACAGTTGCAGGGTCCCGGGATCATTTGATCACCTTTTGTGACTTTCCCAGCTGGCTTCCGACAAGCAAAATCAATGGGGGAAGCCAGATTCGCTTAGTGACCTCAGGGTTCACTTAACAACGGGAGTTGGTTTGCTAAACAACTGTGGCCAAAAAAGATCCTTAAAGTAGGGCAAAACTCAAGTCAAAAACCCACTTCTGCCTTGCTTAGCAAGATCATAGAATCCTAGGACAGGAAGCAACCTTGGAGGTCATCTAGTCCAGCCCCCTAACCAAAGCAGGAATCCTTATACCATTGTATAGGAAGAGTTCAAACGGAGTGGTGCGGTGGCCTAGTGGTGGAGCTCTCACCTCACAACGCGGAGGTTCTGAGTTCGATCCTAGGTAGAGGCAGATATTTCTCTCTCTCTGGGCACAATGAGAATATATCTGCCGAACAAAACTCCGCATTGGCAACAGGGAAGGGCATCCGGCCATGAAAACACTCTGCCGGCTCCGTTCAGTTGCCCAGAACTCCACCCAGCAAGGGATTATGGAGTCGTTAAATGAAGATGATAGGAAGAGTTCAAATAACAAGAAATTTTGAGGAGTACCTGTATATTTTTTTTTGAAAGTTTTCTTGGGAGTCATACCGACGGTACAGGACTCTGGAGTTTCACGGGGTTAGGTTGTTAGTGATTTTGTCTCTTGCGGGGACCCTGTGCGTGATTTGAGCACAGTGAAAGAACGAAGCTCCACGGGAAAATCATTGGCACCAGCCTCACTCGTGTCTCTTTTCTTCTTTTTCTGCCATCTTAGGGCTATGACCAGGAGAAGGCAGTATGGAGAGCTTGCTAACCTTCTACAAGGTGTTGTCAACGTGCTGGAACATTTCAACAAATATATGGGGATCCCGCAGATCCGTCAGCTTTCCGAAAGGTAAGTACAGTCTCCCAGGTGCAGCCAGGGGAGTAAGGCGGACTCTTGCACGAGCTGAATTTTATGGTGGGCTCCTTGGTGCTCTTGGAGCTTGGTTGTTTTCTTCCTCCTCCTCCTCCTCCTCCTCCTCCTCCTCCTCCTCCTCCTCCTCCTCCTCCTCCTCCTCCTCATTCCACAAGCTCCACTCCTTTCCAGACTTGATGATGTTACCTAGTTGGGTCACAAAACAACCAAGCTCGGAGAGCACCAAGAACCTCTCAGTCCTCCTCTTTCTCCTTCTCCTTCTCCTCCTCCTCCTTCTCTTCCTCCTCCTCCTCACTTTTCATTCCACAAGCTCCATTCCTTTACAGACTTGATGATGTTACCTAGTTGGGTCATGAAACGTCTGCAAGAAAACAACCAAGCTCGGAGAGCACCAAGGACCTCTCAGTCTTCCTCTTTAGATCTAAAGTTCTACTGCTTGAGCTTTCTTCAATACTTCGTCAAGACCTAGCATTGATATCTATAGTACGGTGACAGGACATGGTGGTATCTGCTAATGGTTATGGTTTGGAAAGGAAATTGGAAGAAGTTATGGAGGACAGATCTATTAAGGGCTGCGTCTTTGAAGTGTTGGGGTTGTTACCTGGCTCAGGAATAGCAACTGTTAAAAAGGGAGCGGTGCCGGGGTGGGGGAGTAAGTCTGTATCTCAAGCACGGGACCCTCCCAAGAGCATCTGGTGAACCACAAGACAATAGACCAAGATAGACCTTGGCAGGGCTGTCCTGACATGCTTCCATAAAGACAATTATCAAATGCATGGAGAAAGGCAGGGAGCTACATCAATGGTATTTAATTAACCGACCTAAATTTCAGTGGAGTTAAATTTAGCGTTTGTCCCAGCTCCAGTAATTTTTTTTTTTGAGTGCAACGGGACAAAAACAGCCCTTCTTAGTCTAACAGCCAGTTTCTTTAGTTTTTTTAATCCATACAGGTAGTCCTCCACTTACAGCCACTCATTGAGAAACCGTTAGAAGTTATGATGGCACTGAAAAAGGTGACTTCCAATTGGTTCTCACCCTTATGACGCTGGGGCACTGCAACTGTCGTAAAGGTGAATCAGCTGTCAAGCATCCAAATGTAAATCACGTGACCATGGGGATGCCGCAACGGTCATAAGTGTGAAAAATGGTTATAAGTCACTTTTTTCAGTGCCGTTGTAACTTCAAATCGTCACTGACTAAACTGTTGTAAGTAGGGGACTACCAGTGTACACCAAACTAAATAGTCAAGTGTTTAGTGCAGGGGTCAGCAACCCATGGCTCTGGAGCCACATGTGGCTCTTTCATCCCTCTGCTGTGGCTCCCTGTTGCTGGTCGGCTCCACAATTGATAGGGCTTTCGGTTAGGACAGGTAGAGGAAAAAGACGTCGCACTAGGAGGAGACTCTATGGTGGGGGAACCGGACTTCCGGTCGGCTCCAGAATTGAATGGGGGCTTCCGGTTAGGACCTTTGTGGCTCTTTGAGTGTTTAAGGTTGCCGACCCCTGGTTTAGTGGATAGTCAGGTGTTTACCTCAGGATGCTCCTGCTGTCTGGATTTACCTCAGGATGCTCCTGCCTTATTGATTTTAAATAGTCAGGCAAGCATCCTGAGGTAAATCCACACAGCAGGAGCATCCTGAGGTAAATCCACCCAGCAGGAGCATGGATGGGCCTGGTGGCTCAGCAGACTAAAAGCATTGTGATTAACACCAGCTGTCTGCAATTACTGTAAGTTCGAATCTCACCAGGCTCAAGGTTGACTCAGCCTTCCATCCTTTCTAAGGTGGGTAAAATGAGGACCCAGTTTGTGGGGGCAATAAGCTGACTTTGTATAAATATACAAAAGTATGAAGGCTATTGCTTAATGCATGGTAAGCCGCCCTGAGTCTCCGGAGAAGGGCGGCATATAAATCAAATTAAAAAAAAAAAAAATCCACCCAGTAGGAGCATCCTGAGCTGAGGTAAATCTACCCAGCAGGAGCATCCTGAGGTAAAACACACAGCAGGAGCATTCTGAGGTAAATCACAGAGCAAACAGGTGTCACACAGAAGAAAAAGGTGGGGAGAAGGGAAACGCCCCCTCCACACCCACAGCAACCAATCACAGCACAGATTGCCTCACGCAGGAGCCAGCGCTCTTCAATCAGTCAGCTATAACTGTGTGTTCTGACTCATTGTACAACCCCACTGCTCCAGATAGTCCTTGACGTACAACAATTCGTTCAGTGACTGTTCAAAATTACAACAGCACAGAAAAAAGTGACTAACATTTTTCACACGACCGTTGCAATATCCCTATGGTCACGTGATCAAAATTCGGGTGCTTGGCAACTGGTTCATATTTATGACCATTGCTGTGTCCTAAGGTCACGTGATCCCCTTTTGCAACATTCCCACAAGCAAAGTCAATGGGGAATCCAGATTCACTTAACAAACATGTTACTAACTTAAAAACTGCAGTGATTCACTTAACAACTTGGGCAAGAAAGTTCACAAAATGGGGCAAATCTCACTTAACAAACATCTTGCTTAACAGCACAAATTTGGGGCTCAAATGTCATAAATCGAGGATTAACTGTACTAAATTTAAATATGTTAACAGATGAGAACACCTCCAAGTGGTCTTTCAGCCCTATGATTCTAAGTAATTTTGGGTTTAATGTAAAATATAGCATAAATGGTATTACAGGTAGTCCTCGACTTATAACAGTTCATTTAGTGACCGTTCAAAGTAACCACAGCACTGAAAAATGTGACTTATGACCATTCTTCACACTTACGACTGTTGGCACATCCCTGTGATCATGTGATCAAAATTCAGATGCTTTCAAACTGACTCACATTTATGACAGTTGCAGTGTTCCGGGGTCGTGTGATCCCCTTTTACAACTTTCTGATAAGCAAAATCAATGGAGAAGCCAGATTCACTTAACAGCCATGCAACTCATTTAACAACTCATTTAAATTGATTTTAAATTGGGTTGTTTTAATTTAGGGCCAAAATATTTAATTATTTTAATACTGTTTTTTAAATTTTGTATGCTCTGTTTTTACTTAGGCTGTGCACCGCCTTGAGTCCTATTTGGAGAAGGGCGGTATAGAAATTTAATTAATAATAATAATAATAATAACAACTGCAGCAATTCACCTAACAGCCGTGGCAAGAAAGGTTGTAAAAAATAGGCAATTTAAAGCTCATTTAACCACTGTCTTGCTTAGCAACAGACATTTTGGGCTCCCTTGTGGTCGTAAGTCGAGGACTCTCTGTACTCCCTGTTTGCAAACAGGGCTCTGATATTCTTTTAGCTTTCAGTTATCGCTCTGGATGAAAGGACATCAGATCCGCGCCGTGATTCCTCGCTTGTCAAGCACCATCTTTTGGCTGAAGGCCAGTCCCATATTTTCTTCCGCAGCCCAAGGTTAACAGGAGTTTTCATGTTTTCTCCTTGACAGGGTAAAAGCAGCCCAGAACGAGCTGGGACAACAGATCTTGGCTGATTTTGAAGAGGCCTTTCCTTCCCAAGGCACAAAGGTGTTTATTTTTTTTTTTTTTAAAAATACCTTGATCTTTTCTGTTTGCAAAATTATTGCTAATGGCAGGAAGCTGCTTGCAAGGAAATCTGAGGTGCTGCAAAGGTTTAATGAGGTCTACACCAAGGTCTAGACCAGGCATCTCCAAATTGGCAACTTGGCAATAAGGAGCCTTGGTGGCGCAGCGGACTAAAGTGCTGTTAAGTAGCACTTAGCTGCCAGCTGCCTGCAATTACTGCGAGTTCAAATCTCACCAGGCTCAAGGTTGACTCAGCCTTCCATCCTTCCGAGGTAGGTAAAATGAGGACCCGGTTTGTGGGGGCAATAAGCTGACTTTGTATAAAAAAAGAACACCGCTTAGGGGGGACCGAAAGCCCTACTAAGCAGGTATATACAAAAGTATGAAGGCTATTGCTTAACGCATTGTAAGCCGCCCTGCGTCTCTGGAGAAGGGCGGCATATAAATCGAACCAATAAATAAATAAATAAATAAATAAACTTTAAGAATGGTGGACTTGAACTCCCAGAATTCCCCCAGCCAGCATGGCTGCCTAGGGAATTCTGGGAATTGAAGTCCACCCATTTTAAAGTTACTGAGGTTAAGAAACAGTGCAGTAGATTCTCCAATGGAAAAGAGGCCTGCAGCTTTTGAGCACTACCCAGGTTTTTATCCCACCCATTTATTTCCTAAATAACTCAAGGCATACCTAATACTCCTTCCTGTAAGGTGGGGTTTGCCGAGAGAGAGTCACTGGCCCAAAGTCTCCCAGGTAACTTTTGTGCCTAGAACTCACAGTCTCCTGGTGATTAGCCGAAAATCACCCAGCTGGCTTTCTTACCTACCGTGTTTCTCCGAAAATAAGATCCTTTCTTATATTTTCTTTGAACCCTGAAATAAGCGCTTGGCCTTATTGCCATGCGCTCAAAAGCCTGATTGGGCTTATTATCAGGGGATGTCTCATTTTGGGGAAAACAGGGTAAGGCAGGACTAGAATTCACCATCTCCTGGCGATTGGCCCAAAGTTACCCAGCCATTTTCATACCTCAGGCAGGACTAGAATTCACCATCTCCTGGTGTTTCGCCCAAAGTGACCCAGCCACCTTCATATCTAAGGACTAGAACTCACCGTCTCCTGGTTTTTTTGCCAAAGTCAGCTGAGGCTGGCTTTCATGCTTAAGGCAGAACTAGAACTCCGATGGCAGCAAAAGACCTGGCCAGCTTAACCCGCTGGGTTTCTTCGTTCTCAGCAGAGATCAGCTGGTCCCAGCAACGTTCTCCGTGATGCCTGTTTGGTCGCCAACGTCTTAGATCCCCGGATCAAGCAGGAAATCATCAAGAAGTTTATTAAGCAGCACCTCTCGGAGTATCTGGTGCTTTTTCAGGAAAACCAAGACGTGAGTTGGGCTCTTAACGATCCTTCAAGCCTGGACAAACATTTTGGAAAAAATCCTTTGGGTCTTGCAGAAGCCCTGTGTTTTCCCGCTGTTCACGAAATCTCATTTTGATTGATGCCAGTGGTGGCATTTAGGCAGTTCGGATTGGTTCAGGTGAACCGGTAGTGGTGACCTGCGGGTGGGCCCCCCCTTGCCCTGGCGCTATGCCATCCTATGTTTTCTAAGCCATGTGCACAGGGGGTGGCTTCAAAAATTTTAGCAAGGGCTTCTCTGCCCTGTTGCTGGGTGGGTGTGGCCATGGTGGGCGTGGCTAGTTGGTCTTTATTCTCCCCGGGCTCTGGAGGCTTTACTTGAGCCTCTGGGAGGGCGAAAACGGCCTCCCCAGGCTCCGGAGGCCCTTCCTGAACTTCCAGTAGGCCCGTTTTTCGTCTTCCCCGAACCTCCGCGCATCCCCTGCACTTAAATGCATCCAAACTGGGCCGTGTGGGGATAGCGGGGAGGGGAGGGGAGAGGTGGGTGGGGCCAGCCACGAGTTGGGTTTGGGACAGGGGTGAAATACTACCGGTTCAGTCCAGTTTGCCCGAACTGGTAGTAACAAATGTGACTGGTTTGCCGAACCAGTAGTAAAAATGCTTTAAAAAGTAAAAAAAAAAGTTCCGAAGATGGTGCGGCACAGCTGATCGTCTGAACTTTTTTTTTTTTACTTTTTTAAAGCATTTTTTTGCTACCCATTCGGGCAATAGGTAGTAAAAAAAGGCTTAAAAAAGTAAAAAAAAAAAAAAAAAGATTCCGACAATCAGTTGTGCCGCACAATCGTCAGAACTTTTTATTTTACTTTTAAAAGCATTTTTTACTACCTATTGGGGGTCCGTGTTTGCTCCCAGGAGGCTTCCCTGAGGCCTGCTAGGCCAAAAACTGGGGGCGGGAGGGTGCTGTGAAAGAAAGAAAGAAAGAAAGAAAGAAAGAAAGAAAGAAAGAAAGAAATTTAAAACTTGTGGACTTCAGCTCCCAGAATTCCCCAGCCAGCACTTGGCAAATTTAAGACTCGTGGACTTCAACTCCCAGAATTCCCCAGCCGGCTGGCTGGGGAATTCTGGGTGTTGAAGTCCACAAACCTTAAAGATCCCTGCAATTCTGGGAGTTGAAGTCCACAAACCTTAAAGATCCCTGCAATAGAGCTACAGAGGTAGTCCTCAGCTTACAACCACAGTCGGGAGCCAAATTTATATCCTTTTTTTCCTCATGGTTCTTAAGTGAATCATGCAGTTGTTAAATGAATTTGGCTTCCCCCTTTGACTCCTCAGAAACTGGATTGGGATTTTTATATCTATGGAAATGATGTTCCTTCAGTTACGGAGATTTTCAGTCATCCAAGTTATGGTTGTCCCGAAGGTGCTTTTTCAAGAGACAACTGAATTTTCTTTGTTTTTCTTTGAAGACTTTTCGCTTCTCATCCAAGAAGCTTCTTCAGTTCTTCGGTCAGAAGCTTCCTCAGTCAGAACTGAAGAATCTTATTGGATGAGAAGCGAAACATCTTCAAGAAAAAAAAAACAACCAAGAAAGTCCAGCTGCGTTTTGAAAAAGCACCCTTGGGATGTGTTCCTTCAGGGATTTGAGTGATTCACATCCCTTTAAAAAACACTTCACGGTGTGCATTGTACATCTTGGTATCAACACGGAGGAGAAAAGATGGCCGGGCACTCTTGTGTTCTTTCCTCAGGTGGCTTGGCTAGACAAGATCGACCGCCGTTACGCCTGGATCAAACGTCAGCTGGTAGACTACGAGGAAAAATACGGCCGGATGTTCCCAGGAGAGTGGTGCATGACGGAACGGATCGCGGTGGATTTCTGTCATATTACAAGGTGGGATTCTAAAACGCGTTGCTTGCTCAATTATAGTAACAGTGAGAGGATCTTGGGAGTCCTAGTGGACAATCATTTAGATATGAGCCAGCTGTGTCCAGCAGCTGCCAAAAAAGCCAACGCAATCCTAGACTGCATCAACAGAGGGATGGAATCAAGATCACGTGAAGTGTTTAATACCACTTTGTAAGTACCACCTTGGTAAAACCACACTTGGAATCCTGCACCCAGTTTTGGTCGCCACGATGTAAAAAAGACGTTGAGACACTAGAAAGAGTGCAGAGAAGAGCAACAAAGATAGAGTGGAGTGGAATAGAGTGAATAGAATAGAATAGAATAGAATAGAATAGAATAGAATAGAAAAGAATAGAATAGAATAGAATAGAATAGAATTTTTTATTGGCCAAGTGTAATTGGACATACAAGGAATTTGTCTTGGTGCATACGCTCTCAGTGTACATAAAAGAAAAGATACATTCGTCAAGAATCATAAGGTACAACACTTAATGATAGTCATAGGGTACAAATAAGCAATCGAAGAATAGAATAGAATAGATAGAATAGAATAGAATAGAATAGAATAGAATAGAATAGAATAGAATAGAATAGAATAGAATAGAATTCTTTATTGGCCAAGTGTAATTGGACACACAAGGAATTTGTCTTGGTGCATATGCTCTCAGTGTACATAAAAGATATATTCGTCAAGAATCATAACGTACAACACTTAATGATAGTCATAAGGTACAAATAAGCAATCAAATCATACAAGGAAACAGTCAATATAAATCGTAAGGATACCAGCAACAAGGTTACAGTCACACAGTCATAAGTGGGAGGAGATGGGTGATAGGAATGTGAGAAGATTAATAGTAATACGATCTGGAACGAGCTCCTCCCGGAGATACGGAGGATCCCGGATCTGCGCACCTTCCGTCGCGCTCTCAAGATTTTCTTATTTCATCAAGCTGGCCTGGCCTAAATCTTTTCCCCTTTTAAATGTAAATTTTAATTTGTTTTTAAATTATTGGGTATTTTAAATTTGTCTCAGCCAAATTATTTAATTCGTTTTTATTCTATTTTAAATTTTTGTATTTATGTGTTTTATTCTGTGGCTGTTCGGGAGTAGGGCAGTATATAAATCCAATAAAAACAAAACAAAAAACAAAACCAGTAATAGAAATGTAGACTTAGTGAATAGTTTGACAGTGTTGAGGGAATTATTTGTTTAGCGGAGTGATGGCGTTCGGGAAAAAACTGTCCTTGTGTCTAGTTGTTCTGGTGTGCAGTACTCTATAGCGTCGTTTTGAGGGTAGGAGTTGAAACAATTTATGTCCAGGATGCGAGGGGTCTGTAGATATTTTCACAGCCCTCTTTTTGACTCGTGGAGTAGACAGGTCCTCCATGGAAGGCAGGTAGGTAGTAATGGATTAGTAATTGATGATTAGGGGACTGGAGGTTAAAATATGAATGATTGCAGGAATTGGGTATGTCTAGTTTAATGAAAAGAAGGACTAGGGGAGACATGATAGCAGCCTTCCAATATCTCAGGGGCTGCCCCAAAGAAGAGGGAGTCAAGCTATTCTCCAAAGCACCGGAAGGCAGGAGAAGAAGCAACGGGTGGAAACTAATCAAGGAGAGAAGCAACTTAGAACTAAGGAGGAATTTCCTGAAAGAACAATTAACCAGATTGTTAACCAGATTCATTTAATGTCTTTGCTTGTCAGACAGTTGCAAATCACTTTATGACCTTTCTTGCCGCAGTTGTTAAATGAATCACAGCAGTTGTTCAGTTAGTTGCATTGTTAATTCGAGGACTACCTATACTCCATCATCCTGCAATGACGCTGGGAACCATTTTCTGGGCTTGAATTTCCTGCAGCCATGCCGCGTGACTCCAGCATAAAAATATACTGACGGCTGAAATAATCACGAGAGAAATAAGTTGGCTTTGGGGCTGCCCTTTCTGAGATCTTTGCCAAAAGCATGCCAGCAGATCAGCCACGAAAAAGAGTGGCTCGTGATTGTGCCCATCGCAGCCAGCGGGGAGAAATTCCTGCCAGCGTTCCTGGGGAAGCAGCAATTAACATTTGGCATCTGGAAGGAACACGCCCCGAAAGTTAAAATTACCCTAAAAGAAGTAACATAAATGCCAAAGTGCAGCGCAAGTGGCTGAGAAAATGGGAATAATATAGGCAGTCCTCGACATATGACCACAATTGAGCTCAACATTTCTGTTGCTAAGTGAGACATTTGTTAAGTGAGTCTCACGGTTGTTAAGCGAATCTGGCTTCCCCATTGACTTTGCTTGTCTGAAGGTCGCAAAAGGGGATCACATGACTCCGGGACACAGCGACCGTGATAAATACAGGTAGTCCTCGACTTAAAACAGTTCATTTAGTGACTGTTCAAAGTTACAACGGCACAGGAAAAGTGACTTAACGACCGTTTTTCACACTTACAACTGTTGCAGCCTCCCTGTGGTCACACGCTCAAACTTCAGACACTTGGCAACTGATTCATACTTATGACGGTCGCAGCATCCCGGGGTCATTCGATCCCCTTTTGCGACCTTCTGACAAGGAAAGCCAATAGAGAAACCTGATTCCCTTAACAACCATGTGACTCACTTAACAAATGCAATGATTCACTTAACAACTGTGGCAAAAAAAAGTCGTAAAATGAGGCCAAACTCACTTAACAAATGTTTCATTTAGCAACATGCATTTCAGGCTGAATTGTGGTTGTAATTCAAGGACTACCTGTATGAGCCAGTTGCCAAGCATCCAAATTTTGATCACGTGACTGTGGGGATGCTGCCACGGTCGTAAGTGTAAAAAATGATCATACTCGCTTTTTTCAGTGCCGTCGTAACTTTGAACAGTCACTAAATGAACTGTTGTAAGTTGAGGACTACCTGTAAAACCCAAGCAATGGGATGATAAAAAAAAAAAGGCTATGGGGTTTTGCGTCATTTCGGTTGCAGATGCCACGTGTTGGAACAAGTACAGGTAGTCCTCGATTTACAACAGTTCATTTAGTGACCATTCCAAGATACAAAAGCACTGAAAAAATGACTTTTGACGATTTTCACACTTACGACCATTGCAGCATCCCTGTGTTCATGTGATTTACATTCAGATCCCTGACAACAGACTCACATTTATGACGGTTGCGGCATCGTGGTGTTATGTAATCCCCTTTTGCGACCTTATTCCAAAGCAAAGTCAAGAGGGAAGCCCGATTCACTTAACAACCATGTGACTAACTTAGCAACTGCAATGATTCGTTTAACAGCCATGTGACTAATTTAGCAACTGCAATGATTCGCTTAACAACCGGGGCAAGAAAGGTCGTAAAATGGGACAAAACTCACTTAACAAATTTCTCACTTAGCAACATAAATTGTGGTCATAATTCGAGGACTACCTGTCCTGACGTGAGAGATTTTGCCTCCTTCTCCTTGCAGGACAGAGCTGGGGAAAATCATGCGCACCCGGGCAAGAGAGATCGAAGTCAAGCTTCTGCTTTTCGCCATCCAAAGGACTACCAACTTCGAAGGACTGCTGGCCAAACGCTTCTCGGGCTCCACGTTGTCAGAGACCGTGACGGTAAAAAAAGGACCCCACGTTTTTATAGGTTCCCCCCCTCCTGCGGCTAGAGAGGGAGATCGCTGCGTACCTTGCCCCCCGTTTGCCAGTTTGTGCCCTCCAGTCCCGGAGCCAAGCGGGCCTGCGGGAAAAAGAAGGATTTTCTTCTCTCGACCGCTCGTTCTTCACGTCTGATCGACGTTAACGATGGAGCCCCCAAAAGTTCAGCGTGCGACAACTCGCCGCAGCACCACGGCAATTTGCCGCGGCCAACTTGACATGGCCACCTTGCGGCGGGACAATTCAGCAATTCACTTTAAATACCGTGTTTCTCCAAAAATAAGACCCTGTCTTATATTTTTATGAACCCCCAAATAAGCGCTTGGTCTTATTATTTTGGGGCGCATGGAGCGAGACGGGGCTCCTCTTGCCATCTTACCTGATTTCCAGCTCTGTCTCCCTAACCCTAACCAGAGGAAATGGCGAGGACCGGCTGTGCATGAGGTTAAATATTTTCGGGTAAAGGCTTATTTTCAGGGAAGGGCTTTTTTTCGGGGAAACACGGTATTTAAAAATAATTTTAAAATGATTTTAATTTGTATCATGCACATTTCAGTTTGTCTCTCCTTTGGCATCCTTTCTTTACTAATTCTGCTCCACTATTTCTTCGATATTAGTGTAATTCTTCTTCCGTGGCAAGTTGGCCGTGTCGAGTTGTCATGGATCCCCAAGAGTTACTTACGACCCTGTTTCAAAGTTATGACATATGTCTGCCTGCCCCCATCTGCAGTCCATAGAGCTATTTGCAGCATCTCCGGATCACATGACCACAATTTACATTTCCTCCCCCCCCAAACTAGCATTTACTTCCGGCTTTTGGAAGAAAATGCTGTGTAGGAACGATGGGTTTGCTCTGGTGTCTCAGCAGACTAATTAACATCCACTTACATCTGCTGCCTGCAATTACTGCAAGTTCGAATCTCACCAGGCTCAAGGTTGACTCAGCCTTCCATCCTTTCTAAGGTAGGTAAAATGAGGACCCAGTTGTGGGGGCAATAAGCTGACTTTGTATAAATATACAAAAGTATGAAGGCTATTGCTTAATGCATTGTAAGCCGTCCTGAGTCTCTGGAGAAGAGCGGCATATAAATCAATTTTTTTTAAAAAAAAAATGACTGTGGGGTCTGCTTAATGACTGCTGTAAAAAAGGTCATAGCATCGACTCTGTCCTGCATTACAACTGTCACGACTTATGACTGTAACAGCCTGGCTCTATTGGGGTTTTAAAGTCTACTTATAGGTAGTCCTTGACTTACGACCACAGTTGAGCCTCAGGTATCTGTTGCTAAGCAAGGCAGTTCTTAAGTGGGTTTTGCCCCCGTTTTACAACCTTTTTTGCCTCAGTTGTTAAGTGAATCGCTGCAGTTAAGTTGGTAACATGGTTGTTAAGTGAATCTGACTTCCTCATTGACTTTGCTCGTCGGAAGGTCGCAAAACGGGATCACATGATCACGGGACTCTGCAACCGTCATAAGTACATGCCAGTTGCCAAGTGTCCGAATTTTGATCACATGATCATGGGGGTGCGGCAATGGGGGTAAAAACGGTCATAACTCCCTTTTTTCAGTGCCGTAGTAACTTTGAGCAGTCACTAAACGAATGTTTGTAAGTTGTACGTGGATGCAATAATCCTGGGCTACTTTATGCACAAATTCGAGTTAAGGACAGACTTTGGGAACTGAACTTGTTCTTAAACTGGGGATTACCTGTGCTTCTTATCCAAGAGGAACCAGAAACAGAATAGACCTGGAGGGAACCTTAGAGGTCTTCTAGTCCAACCCCCTACTCACAGGAGACACTATAAAATTTCAGACAAGTAGTTGTCCAATCTCTTCTTAAAAACCTCCAGGGATGAAGCACCCACAACTTCTGGTGGCAAGCGGTTCCACCAGTGGTGGGTTCCTCCTGGTTCGGCCCGGTTCTCCCGAGCCGGTAGCGGTGACAATATGATGTCACCGAATCAGTTCTGCTCCCCCCCCACGCCCCACGCATTATTCTTACCTTTTATTTGGCCCTACCCCAAATCTATTGCTGCCTCCTGAGTCCCAGCTGATGGCTAGAGGGAAAAAAACTGTTTAAACTCTTTCCCAGGGGCTTCAAAGGGCCACCCTACAGCTGATCAGTGTTAAAAGAAAACAAATGAGTAGACCAGTGCCTACAAAAATACATGAGTAGATCAGTGCCTGCAAAAATACATGAGTAGATCAGTGCCTGCAAAAATAAATGGGTAGACCAGTGCCTGCAAAAATACATGAGTAGATCAGTGCCTGCAAAAATACACATGAGTAGATCAGTGCCTGCAAAACTACATGAGTAGATCAGTGCCTGCAAAAATACATGATAGATCAGTGCCTGCAAAAATACATGAGTAGATCAGTGCCTGCAAAAAATAAATGGATAGATCGGTACAGCTCTGCAAGCAGTGAAAAGCCTGGTAGACCAGTACCTCTGCTAAATCCTAAATAGTTGTCACATGACCATCAAGCCACGCCCACAAAAAAAGCCACGCCCGCAGAACCGGTAGTAAAAAAAATTAGAACCCACCCCTGGGTTCCACTGGTTAACTGTCCTCTGTCAAGTTTCCGAAAGATGCCCTAATTAATTCATGAGCCATGATCCAAACTTCAAAGGAAATATATTCATTTATTAGGAGCAACATTCCGGCAATACTCGGATGCAGTTAGGACTGATCCTACGTAGATTTACGTTCCCCTCTGACCCTGTCTCTCCCCTCCTCCCCGGCCATGTCATAAATCACATTCTCCAATTCATCACTTTGGCTGGCTGTGAAACCCAACACCCTCCGACTGATTGCGGTAAAAAAGCATCTACGGAATGCAGCTTCAGTTAGGGAAATCAATCAGCTCTATCAGTTCTCCCTCCCTCCTGCTTATGGCAACTTGAAAGCTTTGCAAGTTGACATCCTCACTGTTAGGAAGTTCCACCTTAATTCCAGGTTGCATCTCTCCTTGATTGGTTTCCATCCATTGTTTCTTGTCCTGCCCTCGGGTGCTTTGGAGAATAGGTTGACCCCCACTTCTTTGTGGCAGCCCCTTAAGTACTGGAATACTGCTATTATGTACCCCCCTAGTCCTTCTTTTCTGCAGACTAGCCATACCCAGTTCCTGCAACCGTTCTTCATATGTTTTAGTCTCCAGCCCTTTAATCAACTTAGTTGCTCTTTTCTGCACTCTTTCTAGAGTCTCAACATCTTTTTTTGTAATGTGGGGACCGAAACTGGATGCAATCCAGGTGTAGCCTTACTAAGATTTTATAAATTGGTACTAATATTTTGTGCGATTTTGATTCTGTGCCTCTGTTTACACAACCAAGGATTGTATTAGATTTTTTGGCTGCCGCCGCACCTGGCTGGCTCATGTTTAAGTGATTCCCTCAAACTTCCCATCTTTCTCCCGACAGAAAAAGCCGGATCCTCCCCCAGTCTCCACCAACCCTTTTCTCGAGGAAGAATCTGTGATGGATGAGGATGAAAGTCCATCAGAAAAGATCGACATTGACAAGGTAAATGTCTTTGTTTTCGAGATTTCACGTCTCTTCCCCCACAAACATGGGGGCCTTTTCGCTTCTCTCTTCCTTACATTGATATGCATTTGGACTACAATCTCCATTGTTCCCAGCTGGGCTGGAGACCCTTCGGTGGAGGGTGCTACAGCTCTCTCCTTCCCCTTTCGGGCTGTAGTCTTTTTTTTTTTAATTGCAATTTTCTTAGCTAGTGCAGGATATACCGTATTTTTCAGAGTATAAGACGCACCTTAGTTTTTGGGGAGGAAAACGAGAAAAAAAAAATTCTGCCTCTGCCTACCAGCATCCATCGGTATTTCATCTGGCTAGCGTCCTTGCAGCAAATAGCAAACAGCCTGGTCAGCTTCAGTACATTATCACAGCCTGATTTAGCACCAGCAGCTGATTGGAATATCCCCAATCAGCTGTTCCAGGCTGCAGGGATTGCCACAGACCATCGACGCCTCTGTGCCTCACATTTTTGGCCTCCACACGTCCCGTTTTTGGCCTCCATGTGTCATGTTTTTGGGTGGTTCCAGGTGGCGGGGGTCGGCAGTGGCAGGGATCCCCGCTGCCTGGAACCGTCTGAAAACGTGACGTGCGGAGGCCAAAAACGCAGCCTGGAACAGGTCTAAAATGGAGTGTTCAGAGGCCAAATGCTCGAGGCACAGAGGGGGCAATGTGCTGTGACGATCCCTGCAGCCTGGAACAGGTCTAAAACAGCGTGCAGAGGCCAAAAACGCCACGCGTGGAGGCCGAAAACAGCTGATGGGTGGGGGCTGGCGGGTGGGCGGGTGGGCGGGGCTACATTAGATGTTTAAGACGCAGCCAAATTTTCACCCTCTTTTGGGGGGGGGGGGAGGGCATTTTTTATCCTAAAAAAGGGCTTTAAAAAAGAAGGTCCTTACTGTCAGACTGCGGTGCTATCTCAAAATTAAATGAATTTCCAAACTGCCAATCTTTAAGGAAATCTTTCTTTAATTGAGCTCAGCCACCGGATCATGACTCTGCACGGACAAGACTGACCTTTTGCCTCCCAATCCCTCCCTTTCCGATCCCCAACTCTCTGCTTCTCATTGGCTGTCTTCCAAGTCATTCTTCAGACTTCTCTTCCTCGTCATTTCTCAAGAATGTGCCCCCTCCCCTGATTTCCACGACAACCAAGCTTCAAAGGGATTTTGCAGTTTCAGAGTTTATCTTTCGCTCTCCTCTGCTCTCTCTATGTCAGTGTTGCAACGCTGACACTTACCTTACTTGTAAGCACCTTCGATGTTTTCTTCAGGTAAGTCCTCAGTTTATAACCGTTTTTTTAAGCGACCAGTTATAAACATCTTGAATATTATCTTCAGTTAGCCCTCGACTTATAACCATTTGTTTAGCGGCTAGTTATAACTACCTTCAGTGCTTATATGGTCCTCGATTTATATCCATTCGTTTAGCGACCATTCGAAGTTAAAACGGTGCTGAAAAAAGCGACCACCGGTCCTCGCATTTAAGACCCTCACAGCATCTCCATGGTCGTGTGATCATTACACACCCATTAAGACTGCATGTTAATATTGCATGTCTTAACAGCAGCAAGAATTGTATTTGCACAGCACTGGAAAAATGAGGAAATACCTGCAGAAGAGAGTATAATACTAGAATGTGCAGAAATGGATAGGTTGACATTAAGGATAAAGAAGATACAGAATACTTTTTAACATGGGATTTGTTTAATCAATGGTTAGACAATAGAAGTAGAAATTAGAAATTGAAAATTATGATTATGTACCCTGTTTCCCCAAAAATAAGACATCCCCTGATAATAAGCCCAATCAGGCTTTTGAGTGCATGCGCTAAAATAAGCCTCCCCCTCCCAAAAAATAAGCCCTCCCCAAAAATATTTAAACACAGAGCTGGAAATCAGGTAAGACAACAAGAGGAGCCCCATCTTGGTCCACGCACCCCAGAATAATAAGACCTCCCTGAAAATAAGGCCAAACGCTTATTTCCGGGTTCAAAAAAATATAAGACAGGGTCTTATTTTTGGGGAAACACAGTATAAGTAAATGCATCCAGATAATATATTGTTTACTAAGCACTCATGTATATAAAAGAAAAATGGATAAATACTATTATGTGTAAATAACTTGACCCAGAAAAAAGTATAAACTATAAAAAAAAAAAGAAAGAAATGAGAGACTGCAAAAAAACTCATTTGTAGGAGAAAATCCATTAGGAACTGCAAATACAATATCAAAGCCAAAACGTAGGAGAGAAAGAAAATAAAATTCCTTTAGAACTATTCAATAGTGTTTAATGCTGGTTTTATTGGGTCGCCCCCCCCCCCACAATCAAGCACACGTAAAGAACAAAATTCTTTAGTATTTCATTAAAATGCACTGAGTTGCTCAAAAACAGTAGGCACTAACTCTTAGCCAGACCCTAACTCTTTATGAAATTACAGAATAAGTGTAGCTAGTTTTATATAAATGATTAGCCCAGGAGGGAACTGATAAAAAGCGAGATACAGGTAAGCCTCGACTTACGACCACAATGGACCCCAGAATTTATGTTGCTAAGTGAAAAATCTGTTCAGTGAGTTTTGCCTCATTTTACGACCTTTCTGGCCACAGTTATTAAATGAATCTGGCTTCCCCCATCAGCTTTGCTTGTCAGAAGGTTGCAAAAGGGGAACTCTGCAACTGTCATAAATATGAACCAGTTGTCAAATATCTGTATTTTGATCGTGTGACCATAGGGGATGCTGCAACGGTTGTAAGTGTGGAAAACGGTCATAACTCCCCTTTTTAGTAACTTCGAATGGTCACTAAATAAGCTGTTGTAAGTCGAGGACTACCTGTAGTGGCATTCTTTTCCTTGGGACTTTGTAAAGGTAAAGGTTCCCCTCGCACATATGTTCTAGTCGTTCCCAACTCTGGGGGGCGGTGCTCATCTCCATTTCAAAGCTGAAGAGCCAGCGCTGTCCGAAGACCCCTCCGTGGTCATGTGGCCGGCACGACTCAACGCCAAAGGCGCACGGAACGCTGTTCCCTTCCCACCAAAGGTGGCCCCTATTTTTCTACTTGCATTTTTTACGTGCTTTCGAACTGCTAGGTTGGCAGAAGCTGGGACAAGGAACGGGAGCTCACTCCATTACGCAGCGCTAGGGATTCGAACCGCCGAACTGCCGACCTTTCGATCGACAAGCTCAGCGTCTTAGCCACTGAGCCACCACATCCCGTTTGAGACTCTGTACTGGGTTTTATAATCTCTCTCTCTCTTTTATTTTCCTTAGCCACAAAAGCCCAAAATTCCAAATAATCCGTTCCATGGAATTGTTTCTAAGTGCTTTGAACCCCATCTGTATGTCTACATTGAATCTCAGGACAGGTGAGTGACAAGCAGGTGGGGGGACGGACAGACACAGAGAGCGGGATCGGAAAGCATGGCTCACTTGCAAAAGAAAAAAAATAAACCTAGACCTAGAGTTCAAGAAGTAGTGATAAAATACTTCAGGTAGTCCTCTACTTACAACAGTTCATTTAGGGACCGTTCAAAGTTACAGCAGCACTGAAAGAAAGTGACTCATGACCACTTTCACACTTAACGACCATTGCAGCATCCATCCCCCTGGTCATGTGATCAAAATTCAGACCCTCGGCAACTGGCTCATAGTTATGACCGTTGCAGTGTCCCAGGGTCATATGATCCCCTTTTGCGACCTTCCCAACGAGCCGGATTCACTTTACAACTGTGTTAGTAAACGAACAACTGCACTGGTTCGCTTAACAGCGGTGGCAAGATAGGTCGTAAAATGGGGCAAAGCTCACTTTAACAAATGTCTCGCTTAGCGACAGACTTCCCTCCAGAAGGTTTGGGCGTTCCACCACTGGAGTTTTTAAGAATAGATTGGACAACCGTTTGTCTGAAATGGTACAGGGTTTCCTGCTTGAGTACGGGGTTGGACTAAATGATCTCTAAGGCCCCTTCCAACTCTGTTGTTGTTACTGATTACTTATAACTGAACTATAACATATAATTAAGAGTTAAGGATGCAATTGACATAATATTACATATCATCTATCTGTGTCTTATATATGAATCATCTATCGATCATCTATTAAATTTATAAGCTGCCCATGTCACTGTCAAGTCACTTTGGGTAGCGTACAACATTATAGAAGCACAATATAAAACAATCAGAACATTAAAAACATTGGGCAGTCAAACATTAAAAGTTAACAAAAATAACAAGGATAAAAAGAGACTAATAGGTAAATGGGATAGGGGTGGGGTTTTTTTCCTAAACATATATTGCGTCAGTTCCGATGGATGCCCTCATTAAATCATGAGCCTCCAGCTGTGCTTCAAAAGAAATCCAGTCATCCATTAGGAGCTTCATGTCCACACGTTCCAAGTGCAGCCAGCTCTGACCCCATGTAATTTACGACCCAATCTTGACCCTATTTCCCTCCTTCCCCCCAGGGTGTGTCATCAGTCACATTCGCCAACGGAGCAATTTTGCTGGTTGTAGAGATCACTCCCCTCCGGCCGCTGTGGGTAACCCTGGGAGACAGCCTTGAGAGAGATATGTCTGGAATGTGCTGCTTCGCTGTTTTCCCATCCCCCTTGCCTATGGCAACTCGAGAGCAGGCCAGGGATGCTTTGCGAATTGACATATTGTATATTTCTTAAACAAATTGTGTTTCTGCTTTTGTGGGTCATCAGAAACCTCGGAGAGCTCATTGACCGCTTCGTGGGGGACTTCAAAGCCCAGGGACCCCCCAAGCCGAACATGGATGAGGGCGGGGCCGTTCTGCCCAGCTGTGCCGACCTCTTTGTCTATTACAAGAAGTGCATGGTCCAATGCTCGCAGCTCAGCACCGGGGAGCCCATGATCGCCTTAACTACCATATTCCAGAAATATCTGCGGGAATACGCCTTGAAGATCCTCTCCGGAAATTTACCCAAGTGAGTTTTGAATTGAATTGAATTGAATACAAGTAGTCCTTGACTTACAACAGTTCATTTAGTGACTTTTCAAATTACAACAGCACTGAAAAGGGTGACTTAAGACCTATTTTTCATACTTACGACTGTTGTAGCATCCCCATCCCCATCAAATTTACATTCGGATGCTTGACTGGTTCATATTTATGACGGTCACAGTGTCCCGGGGAGGGGGGGGTCAGGTGATCCCCTTTTGCGACCCTCTAACAAGCAAAGTCAATGGAGAAGCCAGATTCATTTAAGAGCCACGTTCTTAACTGAACAACTGTTGTGATTCTCTTAACAACCATGGCAAGAAAGGTCGTAAAATGGGGCAAAATTCATTTCCAAAATTTCTCACTTAGCAACAGAAATGTTGGGCTCAGTTGTGGTTGTAAGCCGAGGACTACCTGTACTTTATTTGGCCAAATGTAATTAGACACACAAGGAATTTGTTCCCGATGTAGGAGCTCTCAGCGTACACGTAAAGCGACACAATAAAATAATAATAATACCAATAAAAGGGGGAATAAAGAAGATAACAAGTAGGATAAATAATATCACTTCAGCCACACTACCTGGATAACTACACATAGCCATTAGACAGCACTGTGAGAACTAGGTGTTCAACAGAGTGTTAAGCGAATACGACCGTCGTAAGATCGTAATTCGAGGACGATGTTTTTGATGTTGTGACTCCCATCCAGAGTGATCGGGAGTCGTGTGGCTGTCAAGGTTCCAAGTAATGCATCCATTGCAAGCAAGACTCCGAGGCAATTGAATTCCTTAAAGGTTACTTTTATTGGAAATATCATATTGGCACATATCTGGTGAAAAACCGACTCTGAAAACTCCCGCGGTTTTCACCATATTAAAAGTAAAAAAGATTTTCCACTTTCTCAAAACAATCAGTCGCATGGTCCAATCACCGTGCTGTCCGTCAACCGGGTGGCATCACTCCGCCTTCTTTCGACCAGGTGTGAGAATGTCCTTGGTTCTCAAGAGAAAATATTTTGTTTTGGCTACAAAAATCCTTCTATCTCAAAGCCCCCTTCCCTATCCCTCAGTGTGGCAGCACTGAAGCGGACCAAAATGGCTTCGGTCAGGTCAGCTTCAGGGTTGACAGCGGCATGGAAGTTGGATAAATCATTATTCTCGTTTGCGACCACAACAGGACCACGAACACCAGCGGCGGCGGCCTGACTATTACCAGCTTGCTAAAAGAGAAGGACGGTTCGGAGGTGGCCAAATTCACCTTAGAGGAGCTTTGCCTGATCTGTAGCATTCTGAGCACGGCCGAATATTGTTTGGCGACCACCCAGCAGGTAAGGGGACCTCAGCTGTCCTCCGAGCAGATCTCTGAGGCTTCGCGACATGCAAATTGGCGGGAAAACGGGGATACCATCCCACCTTTGAAGCTGGTATCACAGCTTTGTATAAGAGCTTTGGTGGCGCAGTGGTTAGTACTGCAGGCTACTTCTGCTGACTGCCGGCTGCCTGCAATTTGGCAGTTCAAATCCCACCAGGCTCAAGGTTGACTCAGCCTTCCATCCTTCCGAGGTGGGTAAAATGAGGACCTAAATTGTTGGGGGCAATAGGCTGACTCTGTAAACTGCTTAGAGAAGGCTGTAAAGCACTGTGAAGCAGTATATACCATATTTTTCGATGTATAAGATGCGTTTCCCCCCCCTAAAGTGGGTGGAAATGTCTGTGCGTCTTATACAGTGAATGTTGCCGAAGCCCGCCCACCCGCCGGCCCACAACCTTTGGCCTCTGCCTCCCAGCAATTTACCTCCTTGCAGCAAACAGCAAATGATCTGCTCAACTTCAGCACAGCCTGATTTAGCACAAGCAGCTGATTGTCAGTTGGATCGGCCTCCCGGAATCAGCTGTTCCAGGTTGCAGGGATTGCTGCTGCCGTCGCTGCCCATCGCTGCTGCCGCCTCCGCGCACCCCATTTTCGGCCTCTGCGCGTCCTGTTTTTCGCCCGTTCCAAGCAGCGGGGATAGGCAGCAGCAGCGATGGGGGTGATGGGCGGTGGCAATCCCCACAGCCTGGAACAGCTGATAGGCAGAATTCTGGGAGGCCGATCCAACCGCCAATCAGCTGCTTGTTCTAAATCAGGCTGTGCTGAAGCTGACCAGGCTGTTAGCTGTTTGCTGCAAGAAGGCAAATTGCTGGGAGGCAGAGGCAGATTTTCTTCCCCTTGTTTTCCTCCCCAAAAGCTAGGTGCATCTTATACTTCGGAGCGTCTTATACTCTGAAAAATATGGTAAGTCTCAGTGCTATTGCTATTGTTATCCAGTCTTGTTCCAGGCCTCACTTCCTAAAGTCAAAAAGAGTGCTGAAATACCATCTCATCTGCAAAAGGAAACCATTGAGTTTCAAGCACTTTTTTTTAAAATTGCTTTTAGATAATAACAGAAAACGGAAAGAAACAAAAGAGAAAAATAAGTGGAATGGAAATACATACGTTCCTGAAAGAAAAAAATGCATAACGTGCTTAAAAAGTGAAAAAAATATATCCTTGATAATTAATAGTTAAAATTCTATATATAATATAGTAAAAATAATATGAATATTCAAGTAAGTATATGTAAATTAGACAAGGAGACAGTGTTGGGGAAATTAACAAGGCTTCTGCTAAACAGAATATTTTATCATTGATTCCTAATGTTTTACAACATTTCCGACACTGTTTCAAAGTTTTTACTCATTTTTGTACATTTTAATATACATTATTAACATTTGGCAGGTTTTTATCTTGTTACAGCTAGTGGTCAAAGAAATAAATAAATTGATGGTTTGATACATATTAATTTTTAATACACATATCGTAACATTATTTTTATAATTTATATAAGTTTCTAGCCCTCGTGGCTCTTGAGAAGTCTGACCTTCAGTCAGGATGCTTAACAGCCAAAGGAGGACAGTTGCAAATTTGGGGGAAGGAATTTTAATACGAATTGAGGATCAGGAGGGGGTGGTTATTCCCAGTTTTTTATTTGTCTTTTTGACATAGTTTTATAGTAGTAATCTGCAAGGACACCCATACAGGTAGTCCTCGACATACGACCACAATTGAGCCCACAATTTCTGTTGTTAAGTGAGGTATCTGTTAAGCGCGTTTTGCCTCATTTTATGACCTGTCTTGCCACCGTTGGAAGGTGAATCACTGCAGTTGATAAGTTAGTAACCAAGTTGTTAAATGAATCAGTGGGTCTCCCATTGACTTTGCTTGTCAGAAGGTCGCAAAAGGGGTTCACAGTCGCAAAACCGTCATAAGTACATGCCAGTTGCCAAGCATCTGAATTTTGATCACATGACCATGGGGAAGCTACAACGGTCATAACTGAAAAACGATCCTAAGTCACTTTTTCCAGCGCCGTTGTAACTTTGAACGGTCACTAAACGAACGGTTGTTAAGTCGAGGACCGTATTTGCCTTTCTGCTATTTTCTGGCTAGCGATACAGGTAGTCCTCAAGTTACGGCCATTCGTTTTAACAGCCGTTCAAAATTCCAACAGTGCTGAAAAAAATGACTTATGACCAATCCTCACACTTATTGTAGTGTCTCTGCTGTCACATGATCGTGAATCAGGTGATTGGCAGCCAATAGTGGTTGCAGCATCCCAGGGTCATGTGATCGCTTCTTTCGACCTCGCCAGCTGGATTCCGACAAACCAAAGTCAACGGGGGAAGCCAGATTCACTTAATGACCTTGTGGTTCACCCAACTAGGTAACATCGTCAGTGCTAGAAGAGAGGGGGGGTTTGTTGAGAGGAGGAGGAGGAGGACTGTGAAATCCTTGTGGCTCTCTGAGCTTGCCTGTTTTCTTGTAGACGTTTCATAACCCAACTAGGTAACATCATCAGTGTTTAGGGCCTGGCGTTCTGGAATAATTCCTTCTCTGTTCCTCCAGCTTGAAGAAAAGCTCAAGGAGAAAGTGGACGATAGCTTGGTTGAAAGAATCACCCTGATGGGAGAGATGGATACCTTCAGCACGTAAGTCCCCAGCGGCAGGACAATTAATTTAATTTATTCCTTTGATTCCTATCCCTTACAGTTATTTATAAAAAGGTGCCGAACACACTTTAATACTCCTTCCTCCTCCTGTTTTCCCCAACAACAATCTTGTGAGGTGGGTTGAGCTGAGAGAAAGTGACTGACTGGCCCGAAGTCAGCCAGCTGGCTTTCGTGCCTAAAGCTGTACTAGAACTCACCGTCTCCTGATGAGTTGGCTCAAACTCTCCCAACTGGTTTTCATGCCTGAGATGGTACTAGAACTCACAGTCTCCTGGTGATTGGCCCAAAGTCACCCAGCTGGCTTTCATGCCTCAAGCTGAACTAGAATTCACAGTCTCCTGGTGATTGGCCCATAGTCTCCCAATTGACTTTCATGCCTGAGGTGGTACTAGAACTCACCATCTCCTGGTGATCGGGCCAAAGTCTCCTAGCTGGCTTTCATGCCTAAAGCTGAACTAGAACTCACCGTCTCCTGGTGACTGGCTCAAAGTCACCCAGCTGGCTTTCATGCCTAAAGCTGAACTAGAACTCACCGTCTCCTGGTGATTGGCTCAAATTCTCCCAACTGGCTTTCATGCCTGAGATGGTACTAGAACTCACAGTCTCCTGGTGATCGGGCCAGAATCTCCCAACTGACTTTCATGCCTGAGGTGGTACTAGAACTCACCATCTCCTGGTGATTAGCCCGAAGTCTCCCAGCTGGCTTTCATGACGAAGGCAGGACTAGGACTCACAGTCACCCACAAGGGAGGAAGAAGAGAAAGAGGAGAAGGACTGTAGGCCCTAGGTGCTCTCCGAGCTTCTTTGTTTTCTTATAGACATTTCATGACCCAAGTAGGTAACATCATCAGTGCTAGACGGGTGCAGGATTTCCTCTCTGTTCATATACTTCTGGTAGTGGCTTGTCCTGTCATTGTTTGTGGGTGCGTGTTTTCCTCCTTGATAATTTCTTTTTTTTTTTAATGGAAAAACAAGCTTTATTGAATTTAAAAATATTAACAAGAAAAAAAAGAGAAAATATACAGATTTTCTCACTCATAAAATTTACATTTTCAATCCACAGTTACACTAACATACTAAATACATGTGATTATATAAACACATATATACAAATATACAAACAGTGACTTATTTACCTATTCTATCTATCTGACGGTGTTTTTTTTTTTTTTATTATTATTATTACTTGCATTTCCCCTAATTCTTATCTTTACCCTTTTTTCCTTTGGTTTATTTATTTATTTATTTAATTAAATTTGTATACTGCCCTACTCCCGAAGTGGTATCCACTTATACCATCTATTCCATACTATAAAATATTTTGAGTCTTCCTTGTCTTTTAATTTCAGAGTTAATTTATCCATTTCTGCGCATGTGTAGATTCTTTGAAATACTTCCTGATCTGTTGGCATACATAATTCCTTGATTAGGTTGTTGTCTTTGATTGTTTGTCTGAATTTGTGGTACCTTAACGAAGGTATCGTTTACCAGGTCATTGTTGCTCTGGAACTAAAACCTAAAATCGATGCCTTTTTCTTTGTCTCTTGCAGAGTGATTTCCAGCAGCATCCAGCTTCTGGTACAGGATTTGGACGGCGCTTGTGATCCAGCCCTCACCGCCATGAGCAAAGTAAAATCTTTAAGGAATTTCAGAAGAATTTGGGGGGGTCTTTATAGCCAGCCCCCTCCATGCTCCGTACAGAAATTTAACCAATTCTGCACAGTGGTGAAATCTAAAATTTGTTACTACCGGTTCTGTGGGCGTGCTTGGTGGGAGGTGAGTAATGTGACAGGGTAGGCGTGGCCAACTTTGTTTTTTTTTTTTACTTTTAAAACCATTTTTTCTTCGGCGAAAAGGTTGTAAAAAAAGCTTTCAAAGGGCTCTGACGATCCCAGCTGAGTTGCCTGATCAGCAGAGGCTTTTTTTCTTTTAAATGCCTCTGCCGATCAGGCAACTCAGCTGGGATCGTCAGAGGCATTTAAAAGAAAAAAAGCCTCTGACGATCAGGCAACTCAGCTGGGATCATCAGAGGCATTTAAAAGAAAAAAAAGCTTCTGACGATCAGGCAACTCAGCTGGGATTGTCAGAGGCATTTAAAAGAAAAAAAACCCCTTTTTTTTCTTTTAAAAGCCTTTGACGATCCCAGCTGAGCCGCGCGATCATCAGAGGCTTTTTTTTTTTTTTTTTTTCTTTTAAAAGCATTTTTTCCACAGAAGAGGTTGTAGAAAAAATGCTTTTAAAAGTAAAAAAAAAAAGCCTCTGATGATTGTGTGGCTCAGCTGGGCATGGGATTTTTGCTACCGAAACCACCTGCCTCCATCGCTACCGGATCGGGCGATCCGGTCCAAACCGGGAGCATTTAACCCTGATTCTTCACCTCCTTGGCTTAGAGAATGTATTTATTATTTTGGAAGTACTTTCTTCTCCCTTATCTTCTAGGGACTATTTTTATGTTTAAAAAGGGCCCCGTCTTATTGAGGGTGGGGGAGAAGAGGCTGTCGCAGTTGCAGAGAAAACCTGAAACTTGAGAATTGGGGTTTGGAGCTGCGGGAGGCTTTTTTTTTTTTTTTTTTTTAGATGATTGTCACGTTCAAACCCACAAAAGGCAATTTAAAAAGGGTGTAACATTTGCTAGATTGAAACTCACCCCCAAGGGATTTTTATCTGCCTGAAAGTTTTTTTAAAAAAAAATTGTGTTGTGGGTGGTGCGAACACGGGTTTGTCTGCCAAAAGGAAGGGAGAGAAATACGGAAGGTTTTGAGTGAATTTAGCCTGGGTTTGTAAAGCTTAAGTTTTCTCTTTTTTTTAAACTATTGTATTCAAGTTGAAACAAAAATAGAGAAATACGAATAGGAGCAAAAATAGAGAAAGTTAAAGAAGAAAGTTAAAAAAAGAAGGAAAAAACTGCAGAAAGAGGAAAAATCGGTAAATGAGATGGGCAGCACATAAATCTAATAAATAAAAATAATATAATATAATATAATATAATATAATATAATATAATATAATATAATATAATATAATATAATATAATATAATATAATATAATATAATAATACAATACAATAATACAATACAATACAATACAATACAATACAATACAATACAATACAATACAATACAATACAATACTACTGCAACGCTCTCTACATGGGGCTCCCCTTGAGGAGCACCCGGAGGCTCCAACTGGTGCAGAATGCAGCCGCGCGGGTACTTACGGGGGCGACATGGCGCTCCCACATGACACCTCCTGCGCGAGCTGCATTGGCTTCCAGTGGTCTTCCGGGTGCGCTTCAAGGTGTTGGTTCTCATCTCTTCAAAGCGCTCCATGGCTTAGGGCCCGGTTATTTTCGAGACCACCTTCTGCCACCGATAACCTCCCACCGGCCAATACGCTCCCACAGAGAGGGACACCTCAGGGTGCCGTCTGTCAGGCAATGTTGGCTGGCGACCCCCAGGGGGAGGGCCTTCTCTGTGGGGGCACCCGCCCTCTGGAATGGGCTACCCCCAGGGATACGACTGATCCCGGACCTTCCGCCGGGCTCTGAAGACTTTTTTATTTCAGCAAGCCAGGCTGACTTAAAAATTTTTAATTGGTTTAATTTTATGGGTAAGGGGTTTTAAATTGGGGGAAGCCAATATAGATTTAATTATGTTTTAAAGTATTTTAATGTTTATATTGTATGTTTTTTAATTTTGGCTGTTCACCGCCCCGAGTCCTTCGGGAGAGGGGGCGGTATAAAAATTTTAAAAATAAATACAATACAATACAATACAATACAATACAATACAATACAATACCACACACCACACCACACCACACCACACACACTTCCAACTTTTTTTCATGCAATAAAATAAGTTACAGCCTCAACCTTTGGCTTTATATTGCTAAAGGTTTCAAGCCGTTTCTATAACAACAAAATTTTGGGCCTAGTAGGCCTCCCTGCACTTATAACCCATAATGCAATGCGCACGCATCTCCCCATGCGCCCTGTGCATGCGCAGCAGAGACCCCAAAATCAGCTGGCCAGCGGGAGGCGCGCGCACATACACGGTGGAACTGAGCTTGGGGCAACCGCTCACATGCCCGCAGAGAGGCCTCTGCATGCCACCTTTGGCACGCGTGTGCCATAGGCTCGCCATCACAGAACTAGATGTTTCCTTCTCTTTAATTGGAGTTTTCCCATCTCAGCAGGGGCGAAACGCACAACCCCATGCTGGCAGGGGAATTCTGGGAGTTGAAGTCCGCCCGTCTTTTTGAGTTCTCAAGGTTGAGAAACAATGGAAGAGACTTAATATATTTCTAGCTGTGCCCTTTTTTTTGTTGTTGTTTTTTTAACTTTTGTTCTTTCATCGCCTCTGGTTATCCTGGCTCAGTGAGTGCGCCCAAACCCGCACGTAGTTGGGTGAAAACCTGATTCACGCTGAATACATATTTTAAAGATAAGATTTTGGTTTTTATTTACTTTTCCCAGCCCGTCGCCCTTGGGCTCTTTCACCTGATTTTTTTTTTGTTTTTGTCGACACACAGGGGTGAATATCGCACGCTTCAATAAGATTAGCAGGGCAGTTTGATTTCAAAAAGGAATCAAGGAGTTTTTGGATGTGGGAATTTCCACGTAGCCCGGTTGAAACCCCTTACGCTAAGCGGGCATCTCGTCACCGTGGGAAAACATTTTTTCCGCTGCTGCGCAGAGGTTCAATTAGATAGTACACCTCAGTGATGGCTAACCTTTTTGCCGTCGCGTGCCAAAAGCAAGGGGAAGCGCAGGGGGGGTTGCGCGCGCATGTGCCCACACCCATAATTCTATGCGTCCCACCCCCGCCCATGTGTGCGTGACCCCCCACCCCCCACGCTTCCCTCGCTTTTGGCATGTGATGGCGCGGCGGGCCCGGTAGGCCTATTTTTCCTAGAAAGGCTCTGGAGCCTGGGGAGGACAAAAATGGCCTTCCCCACTTCCCTGGAGGCCCTCCGGAGGCCAGAAATGGCCTGTTTGCCGACTTCCAGTGGGCCCAGGAGGCCCGAAAATCAGCTGGCAAGTGTGCCAGAGCTGAGCTCACGTGCCAACCGATATGGCTATGTGTGCCACCTGTGGCCCGCGTGCCATAGGTTCGCCATCCCGGGTATAGGGAGTCCTCGGCTTACGACCACAATGGAGCCCAAAATTTCTGTCGCTAAGTGAAGACATTTGTTAAGTGAGTTTTGCCCCATTTTACGATCTTTCTTGGCACAGCTGTGAAGTGCAGTTGTGAAGTGCAGAAACAACTGCAGTTGTTTAGTTAGTCGCAAGGTCGTTAAGGGAATCTGGCTTCCCCATTGACTTGGCTTGTCACCCTGCAGCCGTCGCAAATACGAATCCGTTTCCAAGCATTTGAATTTTGATCATGTGATCTTGGAGGGGGTGGGGGACGGTCGTAAGCGTGAAAAGCGGTCCTAGGTCACTTTTTTCAGCGTCGTAACTTCAAACGGTCACAAAGTGGACTGTTGTAAGTCGAGGACTGCCTGTAAGGAGGTTAGGATGCACGTTTAAATTTAGGATTTAAAAAGTTTAGGCTCTGGCCGACCTCACCTCGATTTCCTCACAAGGTTGCTGTGAATATGCTTCACATGGAAAAAGCAAGTATGCGTCTCCAAAGCTCCTTGCAAAGAAGAGAAGGATTTTTAAAAATAACAATAATCAGTGTAATTGATTGATGCGGGAAATACCAGGGATTGTAGAATAGAAGACAATGAATTGAAGAAGATCAAAAAGCATCAAGATCTGAAAATCATAGTTGGAAGATTATGGCATAAACTGGCGGTGGAGGTCCCAAGGGGTTATTCGCATACTGGGTGCCATACGAAAAAAAATATTGGATGGTACCTGGAAAGTTTGGGCATTGACTACATTTTCATCAGTCAATTGCAAACGGCCACACTGCCTGGATCTGCACATTCGTACTAGTTTGGAGCCAGTTAGGTGTAGTAATTAAGGTACTACTGTAGCTTAGAAACCAGGAGACTGTGAGTTCTAATCCTGCCTTATGAGCGAAAGCAGGAAATGGTGAGTTCTAGTCCCGCCTTAGGCATGAAAGCCGATTGGGTGACTTTGGGCCAATCAACCAGGAGACGATGAGTTCTAGTCCCGCCTTAGGCATGAAAGCCGATTGAGTGACTTTGGGCCAATCACCAGGAGACGGTGAGTTCTAGTCCTGCCATAGGCATGAAAGCCGATTGGGTGACTTTTGGCCAATCACCAGGAGACGGTGAGTTCTAGTCCTGCCTTAGGCATGAAAACCGATTGGGTGACTTTTGGCCAATCACCAGGAGACGGTGAGTTCTAGTCCTGCCATAGGCAGGAAAGCCAATTGGGTGACTTTGGGCCAATCACCAGGAGACGGTGAATTCTAGTCCCGCCTTAGGCATGAAAACCGATTGGGAGACTTTGGGCCAATCACCAGGAGACAGTGAGTTCTAGTCCTGCCTTAGGCATGAAAACCGATTGGGAGACTTTGGGCCAATCACCAGGAGACAGTGAGTTCTAGTCCTGCCTTAGGCATGAAAGCCGATTGGGTGACTTTGGGCCAATCAACCAGGAGATGGTGAGTTCTAGTCCTGCCATAGGCAGGAAAGCCATCTGGGTGACTCTCATCAGTCACTCTCTCTCACCCCAACCAACCTCACAGGGATTTTGTGGGAAAAATAGGAGGAGGAAGGCGTATTAGATATGTTTTCTGCCTTGAGTTACTTGCAAATAAAAGCAGGATAAAAATCAAATAAATAAATAATTCTATAAAGCGACATTATGACATCTTAGCTTTTAAGGAAGACCTCGATGTGAAGGGAGGCCAGTGCCAGCCGAAGGACGGGCAGCTGTGGCACAACATGGCTGTGAAGAGAGAATTATAATAGCATTAATACGTATAATAATAGTTTATCCCCTAAATGTGGCAGCCTGGGGATCCCTGCAGTTATTCTCTTAACTGTCCCAGCTTGGGTCGAGCTGTCTCCTTCTTACTTTTCTTATAATTGTTTGACAGTCAAACATTTTTTATTGAATTATAAAGTACTAGCTGGATATCCATGCTTCACTACGAAACTATGTGATGGGGCTTGATAAATCGACACATCTTGAAAATTAATGAATAGTTATGATTGGCCTGTCCTCTCCCCTTCTCTCTCTCAGCCTTGCCCCACAGAAGCCTCCCCTATCCTATCCCTTTCTCTCCCTCAGCCTTGCTCCATGGAAGCCTCCCCTCCCCTTCTCTCCCTCAGACGTGGCCCACAGAAGCCTCTCCTCTCCTATGCCCTTCTCTCCCTCAGCTTTGCCCAACAGAAGCCTCCCCTATCCTATCTCTTTCTCTCCCTCAGCCTTGCTCCACGGAAGCCTCCCCTATCCTATCCCCTTCTCTCCCTCAGCCTTGCCCCACAGAAGCCTCCCCTATCCTCTCCCCTTCTCTCCCTCAGCCTTGCTCCACGGAAGCCTCCCCTATCCTATCCCCTTCTCTCCCTCAGCCTTGCCCCACAGAAGCCTCCCCTATCCTCTCCCCTTCTCTCTCTCTCAGCTTTGCCCCACAGAAGCCTCCCCTATCCTCTCCCCTTCTCTCCCTCAACCTTGCCTCATGAAGCCTCCCCTATCCTATCCCCTTTTCTCCCTCAGCCTTCCCTCACAAAGCCTCCCCTATCCTCTCCCTTTCTCTCCCTCAGCCTTGCCTCACCGAAGCCTCCCCTATGCTCTCCCCTTCTTTCCCTCAGCCTTGCCTCACGAAGCCTCCCCTATCTTCTCCCCTTCTCTCACGAAGCCTTGCTCTATGGAAGCCTCCCCTATCCTATCCCCTTCTCTCCCTCAGCCTTGCCCCACAGAAGCCTCCCCTATCCTCTCCCCTTCTCTCTCTCTCAGCTTTGCCCCACAGAAGCCTCCCCTATCCTCTCTCCCTTCTCTCCGTCAACCTTGCCTCATGAAGCCTCCCCTATCCTATCCCCTTTTCTCCCTCAGCCTTCCCTCACAAAGCCTCCCCTATCCTCTCCCTTTCTCTCCCTCAGCCTTGCCTCACCGAAGCCTCCCCTATGCTCTCCCCTTCTTTCCCTCAGCCTTGCCTCACGAAGCCTCCCCTATCCTCTCCCCTTCTCTCCCTCAGCCTTGCTCTACGGAAGCCTCCCCTATCCTATCCCCTTCTCTCCCTCAGCCTTGCCTCACGGAAGCCTTCCCTATCCTATCCCCTTCTCTCCCTCAGATATGGCCCACAGAAGCCTCCCCTATCCTATCCCCTTCTCTCCCTCAGACGTGGCCCACAGAAGCCTCCCCTATCCTATCCCCTTCTCTCCCTCAGCCTTGCCTCACGAAAGCCTCCCCTATCCTATCCCCTGGTTGCTGCTTTGAAAGTAAAACTGAAACTGAAATGAAACTCCTCTCCTCTGCTTGTGTTTTGCATTTGGAACAGATTTCTTTTCAGGTGGGGAGGGGAAGCAGAACTCCTTAGCATCAGAGCGTGGAACAGATTACAAAATACAAAATACAATCTTAGAATTGTTACGGTCTTCGACAGATGCAGTGGCAAAACGTGGAGCACGTGGGAGATCAGAGCCCTTACGTGACGTCGGTCATCTTGCACATTAAGCAGAACGTCCCCATCATCCGGGACAACTTGGCCTCCACCCGGAAGTATTTCACCCAGTTCTGCATCAAGTTTGCCAAGTGAGTCCCTCGCTCGGGTTTTCAGCCTAAGGCAGGAGGTCCCCAACCTGTGAGCCGCAACTCACCGGTGGGCTGTGAGGGATTTGCAACGGGGCTGCAGAAACAATTTGCAAACCGTGTCCAGCGATCACATGTGTGCGCTCACCCTCGCTTGCTCCATTTAAGTGAATGGCAGTCGCGCATGTCGGCCATTCGCGCTGAACCAACCCCTCTGGGGAATTCTGGCTGGGGAATTCTGGGAATTGAAGTCCACCCAGTGGCCAAGACTGAGAAATACTGGATGAGAAAAATCTGTTTTTCCTTTTAAGCTTCACGGGAAATGTATCCTCTTCGTTTCTTCTCTTCTTTCTTGCAGCTGTTTCATCCCCAAGTTCATTAACCACCTTTTCAAGTGCAAGCCGATCAGCATGGTGGGGGCCGAACAGGTGAGAATCCAAGTTTAAATCTGAGGAAGGGGTCGTTGGGAAACAGCCGGTGTCTTCTGTCCTCCCTTCCCCCACACAGGCAAACACACAACCACGCACGCCTGCCAAGGTTTTATTATGCAATCAGACTAAAATCCCTTGCAGATAAGAGTTTTGGCATTAAACAACGAAATGCCCGCCAAGTCAGTTTTCACTCACAGTCAGCGAGAGAGAGTTTATCCTCAGTCTGGTCCAGTAGCAAAAAAGTAATCCACGAAGCAAGAGTTTAGCCAAGGTCCAATCCAAATATGCCCAAGCCAGATTTCAGGTAACGCGATGTGACTCTCAGGTTTTTAACTTTGACCGTCACAAAGCCTGAAGAGCAATCCCACCCACTGTCAGGTTTCGAGGTCATCTCAAATAAATTGCGTTTCAAACAAAGTCTTTGAAGAAAAACTCCTATTTATTAAGCACGACATTCTAAATCTGGCTCCATTGAAGCCAACACTGACTTCCAGACCCAAAACCTTCCCTTTCCGTTCCCCACTCCTCTGCACTCATTGGCCATCTTCCAAGTCACTCTACCCCTAATCTACTGCTCCAGCTCAAAGGAATTTTCCCCCTCCCATCCCATCTCCTAGGGGATATTATCTCCAGGGAAAATAAGTAGGTGAAAAGTCAAACGTCCCTTTCCAGACACCTCCGCTTCTCCTTCTTATGTCAGCACTAGAGTAAATGCAGTTTGAAGTGCTGACACCCACTTTTATTCCTTGTGGGGTGTGGCTCAGTGACTCAGCTCAACCTCGGGCCCTCCCATGCCTCTTTCGTTGCTGCGCACGCGTCTCCCTCTGACGCTGCCTGGGATCAAGCCAGGATTCATCATCCTCGCTCCCTATCTGATATGCTTTCCTCCTGGCATATCCCAGGCTGTTCCTCCTGGCCTTTGGATGGAACCTGAGGCATTGCCAGAGAGGAGGGTCCTGGAGAGGGAGTCCTTGTCAATTCCTCCCCATCACCTTCTGAGTCCTCTTCCTCTGTTAGGACAGGCTCGGGAGTCGGGGTCATAACACGGCGGGAGGTGGCTCGATCCTTCTCAAAATGTTTTTCAGCCGTCTTGAGTTTGTTGAACACGCTGAAAATCACAGCAAGACTTGTGTTTTCTGTTTGAGGGGTCCTTCGTGTTCTCTGAGCTTGGGGGTTTCCTTGTAGACGTTTCATGACCCCACTAGGTAACGTCATCAGTGCTAGAAGGGAGCGGGGTTTGCTCCCTGTTGATATCCTTGCCGCGTCAGTGTTGGTGGGAGTGTCCTTGGGGATTGGGGGATTGTTTACTGTCGGATTGTTGGATCAGCACCCAGATATGCAGAGATTAACCCCAGGATTAATACCAGGCCAACCATCAAGCACTGTGATCTGTCCCCGTACCCACACACACACAAACGCAGCCAGCCGAGGGTTAAGGAAACACTTTGGAACGCACCCAGGTCTTATCTCCCACTTGGCAGCGATAGACACACCGTCTGCCAAATGCCTTTATTTTCACAAACAGAAAGATAAGGTACTTAACGTGCAAAAAGTCCAAGCAGAACTAATATTTCTCTCCACAGTTCCGAACGAGGGTTTAGTGACTATCCAAGGTTTACTTTTGTTCGTCAGAAGGATCACTGACCACTACCCTCTATTATATAGTCTCTGGGGTGTGGTCCAGTGACTCAGTTCTAATCCCTAGCACGCCTCCTAAGCTGCTGCAATCGTTTATCACGCCTTCGGAGGCGTGCGTCCAGGAATGATGTTTCTCCCTCGCTCTCATCCGAGCCACCTGTCTCCCTACTGATCTCCTCTCCCTCGGCCGGCACCTGAGACAATGCCAGAGGGGAGGGGCCTGGAGAGGGAGGCCTGGCTGACTCCTCTTCCTCATGCTCGGAGCTTTCTTCCTCCGATGGGACAGGCTCAGAGGGCGGGGCCACAACACACTGATGATGTTACTTAGTTGGGTCACGAAACGTCTGCAAGAAAATGAGCAAGCTCCGAGAGCACCAAGGAGCCCCACAATGCTCCCCACTCCACCTTTTCTTCCTCCTCCTCCTCCTCCCCCCCCCGTAGCCTCCCCCTCCCTTCTAGCACTGATGATGTTACCTAGTTGGGTCATGAAACATCTGCAAGAAAACCACCAAGTTCGGAGAGCACCAAGGACCCCACAGTCTTCCTCCTCCTCCCGCCCCCCCCCGGTCTCCTCTCTTCCACTCCGTAATCCCCCCTCCTTTACACTGATGACGTTACTTAGTTGGGTCATGAAACGTCTGTAATAAAACAATCAAGTTCAGAGATCACCAAGGACCACACCGTGGTGGTTGTGGTCATTCTCCTCCCACTCCTCCCCGCAGCCCCTCCTCCCTCCTAGCATTGATGATGTTCCCTAGTTGGGTCATGAAACGTCTACAAGAAAACGAGCAAGCTCAGAGAGTACCAAGGACCCTACAATTCTTCTTCTTCTTCTTCTTCTTCTTCTTCTTCTTCTTCTTCTTCTTCTTCTTCTTCTGCTTCTGCTTCTGCTTCTTCTTCTTCTTCTTCTGCTTCTTCTTCTGCTTCTGCTTCTGCTTCTTCTGCTTCTGCTTCTGCTTCTGCTTCTTCTGCTTCTGCTTCTTCTTCTTCTGCTTCTTCTTCTTCTTCTTCTGCTTCTTCTGCTTCTGCTTCTTCTGCTTCTGCTTCTTCTTCTTCTGCTTCTGCTTCTGCTTCTTCTGCTTCTGCTTCTTCTTCTGCTTCTGCTTCTTCTGCTTCTGCTTCTTCTTCTGCTTCTGCTTCTGCTTCTTCTTCTGCTTCTTCTTCTGCTTCTGCTGCTGCTGCTGCTGCTTCTTCTTCTTCTTCTCCTCCTCCTCCTCCTCCTCCTCCTCCTCCCCTTCTTCCTCCTCCTCCTCCTCCTCCTCTCACAAACCCCACTCCCTTCTTGCACTGATGATGTTACCTAGTTGGGTCATGAAACATCTGCAAGAAAACGAGCAAGCTCAGAGAGCACCAAGGAGCCCCACAATGCTCCCTCTCCTCCTCCTCCTCCTCCTCTTTCTTCTCCTCTTCTTCTTCCTCCTCCTCCTTCCCCCTTCTAGCACTGATGATATTACCTAGATGGGTCCCGAAACATCTGCAGGAAAGCCTTAAGAGAAACTCTTAAGGAATGAATTAAATCAGCCTGGCACCTCTACCCAGGTTGGTAACTGGGGCAACTTCATGACTAAAGTCTTCGGGTGGTGCATCCAAAATTTGTTGAAAATTCTGGGTGTTGAAGTCCACCCAACTTAAAGTTGCCACGGCTGAGAAACACCATGAAAAAGTTATAATACAGGTAGTCCTCGACTTACAACCATTCGCTTAGTGACCGTTCGAAGTTACAGCGGCACTGCAAAAAGTGACTTATGACTGTTTTTTTTTTTTACACTTAACGACCGTGGCAGCATCCCCATGGATGTCGCGGGATCAAAATTCACACACTTGGCACAACTGACTCATATTTATGACCGTCGCAGAGTGTTCCCGGCGGGGTGTCATGTGATTCCCCTTTCTGCAACTTTCTGACAAGCAAAGTAAATGGGGGAAGCCCGATTTGCTTTAACGACCGTGTTGCTCAGTTAACAACCGCGGTGATTCGCTTAACAGCGGTAACCAGAAAGATCGTAAAAATGGGGCGAAACTCACTTTGCAACTGTCTCACTTAGCAACAGAAGTTTTGGGCTGGGTTGCGGTCATAAGTCGAGTGTCAACTTGCAAAGCTTTCAAGTTGCCATGAGCAGGAGGGAAGGAGAACTGATAGAGCTGATTGATTTCCCTAACTGAAGCTACATTCCATAGATGCTTTCTTACCGCAATCAGTCGGAGGGTGTTGGGTTTCACAGCCAGCCAAAGTGATGAATTGGAGAATGTGATTTATGACATGGCCAGGGAGGAGGGGAGAGACAGGGTTAGAGGGGAACGTAAATCTATGTGGGATTAGTTCTAACTGCATCCGAATATTGCCGAAATGGTGCTCCTAATAAATGACTGTATTTCTTTTGAAGTTTGGCTCATAGCTCATGAATTAATTAGAGCATCTTTTGGAAACTTCACATCGAGGACTACCTATATCAAATTCATCTTGAAGTCCTGTGCATACCCAGACAAGATTAATGCCAGACGTACGTTAGGATTTAAACCCACACTACCTAAATTTGACTCCCTGTAGAAAGAGAGAGTGTCACCTCACATCCTGCTACTCCTTGTTTTATTTCACTTAAAAGTTAACGAAAACCAGTTTCAGTTTCCCAAAAGGTAGCTATTTATAGTCTCTTTAATTGTTTTACAATCCACATTGATCTGTGCACGTACACACACCCGGGCTGTGGCTTACAAGTGCAGGAGGACAAAGAATATATTTTTTCTTATTGCATTCCACCATTTAATTCACAGTCATTCCGGGCATGGGTATCTTAACAATATTTATTTGACAGCCTGTAGTGCTTTCATTTATTTATTTTTATGTAGGTACACGGTGGCTCTGTGGCTAAGACGCTGAGCTTGTCGATCGAAAGGTCGGCAGTTTCAGCGGTTCGAATCCCTAGCGCCGCGTAACGGGGTGAGCTCCCGTGACTTGTCCCAGCTTCTGCCAACCTAGCAGTTCGAAAGCACGTTAAAAAATGCAAGTAGAAAAATAGGGACCACCTTCGGTGGGAAGGGAACAGCGTTCCGTGCGCCTTTGGCGTTGAGTCATGCCGGCCACGTGACCACGGAGACGTCTTCTTTGGACAGCGCTGGCTCTTCGGCTTTGAAACGGAGATGAGCACCGCCCCCTGGAGTCGGGAACGACTAGCGCATATGTGCAAGGGGAACTTTTACCTTTAGTGCTTTTATAAAACGATGATCTCTTCATCCGTGAGTGAAGGAAGAAAGCAAGGAAGGAAGAGAGAGATGGATGGATGGATGGATGTGGAATCCATGGTGCTCTCTGAGCTTGTTTGTTTTCTTGCAGACATTTTATGACCCAGCTAGGTAACATCATCAGTGCTAATAGGGAGTGAAGTTTGCTTTCACTTTATTTACTAGGGCAGTGTTTCTCAACCTTGGAAGCTTGAAGATGGGTGGACTTCAAGCTTCCAAGGTTGAGAAACACTGTACTAGAGTATATAAAATATCACTTCATCATCATTCCTATTATCTGCTTCAGCTGCTGCTGGACACTCACTCCCTGAAAATGGTCCTGCTCGACCTGCCGTCCATCGGCTCGCAGGTGGTGAGGAAGGCGCCCGCCAGCTACACGAAGATCGTGGTCAAGGGCATGACGCGGGCCGAGATGATATCTAATACTTCTTCCTGCTCCTATTTTCCCCAGAACAACAACCCTGTGAGCAGCCAGCTTTCATACCTAAGGTGGAACTAGAACTCACCGTCTCCTGATAATTGGCCCAAAGTCATCCAGCTGGCTTTCGTGCTTAAATCAGGACTAGAATTCACAATTCCCTGGTGATTGGCCCAAAGTCACCAAGTCTGCTTTCATGCTTAAGGCGGGACTAGAATTCACAGTCTCCTGGTGATTGGCCGAAAGTCACCCAGTCTGCTTTCATGCTTAAGGTGGGACTAGAATTCACAATCTCCTGGTGATTGCCCCAAAGTCACCCAGCCTGTTTTCATGCTTAAGGCGAGACTAGAACTCACCGTCTCCTGGTGATTGGGCCAAAGTCATCCAGCCTGTTTTCATGCTTTAGGCGAGACTAGAACTCACTGTCTCCTGGTGATTGGCCCAAAGTCACCCAACCTAAGGTAGGATTAGAACTCACCACATCCTGCTAATTGGCCCAAACTCACCCAGTCAGCTTTCATGCCTAAAGTGGGACTACAACTCATTGTCTCCTGGTGATTGGCCCAAAGTCACCACCCTGTTTTCATGCTTAAGGCGGGACTAGAATTCACAATCTCCTGGTGATTGCCCCAAAGTCACCCAGCAGCCTTTCATGCTTAAGGTGGGACTAGAACTCACCATCTCCTGGTGATTGGGCCAAAGTCACCCAGCCTGTTTTCATGCTTAAGGCGAGACTAGAATTCACAATCTCCTGGTGATTGCCCCAAAGTCACCCAGCAGCCTTTCATGCTTAAGGTGGGACTAGAACTCACCATCTCCTGGTGATTGGCCCAAAGTCACCCAACCTAAGGTAGGATTAGAACTCACCACATCCTGCTAATTGGCCCAAACTCACCCAGTCAGCTTTCATGCCTAAAGTGGGACTACAACTCATTGTCTCCTGGTGATTGGCCCAAAGTCACCACCCTGTTTTCATGCTTAAGGCGGGACTAGAATTCACAATCTCCTGGTGATTGCCCCAAAGTCACCCAGCAGCCTTTCATGCTTAAGGTGGGACTAGAACTCACCATCTCCTGGTGATTGGCCCAAAGTCACCCAACCTAAGGTAGGATTAGAACTCACCACATCCTGCTAATTGGCCCAAACTCACCCAGTCAGCTTTCATGCCTAAAGTGGGACTACAACTCATTGTCTCCTGGTGATTGGCCCAAAGTCACCACCCTGTTTTCATGCTTAAGGCGGGACTAGAATTCACAATCTCCTGGTGATTGCCCAAAGTCACCCAGCAGCCTTTCATGCTTAAGGTGGGACTAGAACTCACCATCTCCTGGTGATTGGGCCAAAGTCACCCAGCCTGTTTTCATGCTTAAGGCGAGACTAGAATTCACAATCTCCTGGTGATTGCCCCAAAGTCACCCAGCAGCCTTTCATGCTTAAGGTGGGACTAGAACTCACCATCTCCTGGGGATTGGGCCAAAGTCACCCAGCCTGTTTTCATGCTTAAGGCGAGACTAGAATTCACAATCTCCTGGTGATTGCCCCAAAGTCACCCAGCCTGTTTTCATGCTTAAGGTGGGACTAGAACTCACCATCTCCTGGTGATTGGGCCAAAGTCACCCAGCCTGTTTTCATGCTTAAGGGAGAGTAGAACTCACCGTCTCCTGGTGATTGGCCCAAAGTCACCCAACCTAAGGCAGGATTAGAACTCACCACATCCTGCTAATTGGCCCAAACTCACCCAGTCGGCTTTCATGCCTAAAGTGGGACTACAACTCATTGTCTCCTGATGATTGCCCCAAAGTCATCACCCTGCTTTCATGCCTAAGGCAGGACTAGAACTCGCCATCTCCCATCTTCTAGTTTGTTGCTTTAACCACTAGACCGAACTGGCTCTCTCTCCCCTTCCTCTCCATTCTAATTGCGGGGCGTCTCGAGCTGTCGCTCACTTTTAAAGGCAACCGAGCGCAGAGTCCTTCCCCAAATTCCTTTCCCCGTTCCGGAGTTGAGGGCTTTTTGGCTTTTCCCAGGATGGCTTTTCCTTCGGCATTTCCAATTAGATCCTAGGCCAGGCTGGTGACAGCTGCTTCGTGCCTGCCTGGGTGGGGACAGGGAGGGGTTGCAGGAAATCGACCCTTGCATTTCCCACCCTCCCACCAAACCCCCCTGTCTAGAGCGGCTTCTCATATTCGGGGTTTGGCCTCCGGGATGCCGAAAGGCAGAAGCTTTTCCTGGAAAATCAGAAAGAGGCTGGAACCGGATGGGGGAAACACGGCCAGAGCTTCCAAAATTGCTTTTCTCAAGAGGCAAGTGGACTTTTCTGGTTTTTTCCTTGAAGATGTTTTGCTTCTCATCCAAGGAGCTTCTTCTGCTCTGACCGAATGGTGCGGAAGGGAAGGATTGATTATAAATGACCAGCTGCCTACAAGGAATATAATTCCTTCCCTTCCCCCCACCATCCTCCAGCCAGAGCGGAAGAAGCTTCTTGGTGAGAAGCAAAATGTCTTCAGAGAAAAAACCAGAAACTCCAGTTGCCTCTTGAAAAAAAGCCCCTGTGGGACAACCATGACCTGGATGACGGCGAACCTCCATAAACATATTGTTTGGACTTCATCACCATCCATCCATCCATCTATCATTTATCCATCCATCCATCTATCTATTTATCTATCCATCCATCCACATATCTATCTATCATTTATCCATCCTTTTATCCATCCATCCATCATTTATCCATCCATCCATCTATCTATCATCTATCCATCCATCCACATATCTATCTATCCATCTATCATTTATCCATCTATTTATCCATCCATCCATCTTATCATTTATCCATCTATCATTTATTCATCCATCCATCCATCTATTTATCCATCCATCCATCCATCTATCCATCCATCTACATATCTATCTATCCATCTATCATCCATCTATCATTCATCCATCCATCTATCCATCCATCTACATATCTATCTATCCATCTATCATTTATCCATCTATCATTCATCCATCCATCCATCCTTCTATCATTTATCCATCTATCATTCATCCATCCATCCATCTATCCATCCATCCATCCATCTATCTATCATCTATCCATCCATCTACATATCTATCTATCCATCTATCATTTATCCATCCATTTATCCATCCATCCATCCATCTATCATTTATCCATCTATCATCTATCCATCCATCCATCCATCCATCATCTATCCATCCATTCATCCATCTATCATTTATCTATCTATCTATCTATCATCTATCCATCCATTTATCCATCCATCCACCCATCTACCTACCTATCATGAATCTATGGTCACTATGGATGACTTTATCTATCCATCCATTCATCCATCCATCCATCCATCCATCCTCCATCCATCCATCCACATATCTATCTGTCTGTCTGTCTGTCTGTAATTCTCACATAGTTAGAATTAAGCCCCTTAAAAGCCATACAGGGAGTCCTCGACTTACAACAGTTTGCTTAGTGACCATTTGAAGTTACAACAGCACTGAAAAAAGTGACTCACACTTACGACTGTTTCAGCATCCCCCACGGTCACGTAATCAGAATTCAGACGCTTGGCAACTGGCTCATATTTATGACGGTCGCAGCATCCCGGGGTCATGTGATCACTTTTTGCAAACTTCTGACATGCAACGTCAGTGGGGAAGCCGGATTCACTCAACAGCCGTCTTCCTAAGTTAACAACTGTACTGAATCCCCTTAGCAACTCTTGGCGAGAAAGGTGGCAAAAAGGGGGCAAAGCTCACTTAACAAATTTCTCACTTAGCAACCTAAATTTTGGGCTCAGTTGTGGTCATAAGTTGAGGACCACTTGTATTTTTAATTTTACTTTGCTGGCTGGCACAGGGACAAAAGTGCAGCCAAGGCAGAAAAAAACCAGATTGGATGTTATTTTAGAGAGGAAATCCTTTTTTTTTAATGGTTTTGTTTAGAGCAGGGGTCTTCAAACTTGGCAGCTTTAAAGACTTGTGGACTTCAACTCCCAGAATTCTCCAGCCAGTTTTACAGCTCTCTCTAAAGAGGTTTACAGCATATTTTCCCCCAAACAATCTGGCTCCTCATTTTACCCACGTCAGAAGGATGGAAGGCTGAGTCAATCTTGAACCGATCAGGATCGAACTCCTGGCAGAGGGCAGTGTTTGCCTGCAATCCTGCATTCTAACCACTGTGCCATCGCGGCTCTTCTGATCAGCTGCTCTTCTGCCCCTGCAGGTCGTGATGGCGCCTCATGAGCCCGCTGTGGTCTTTGTGGACAACTACATCAAACTCCTCTCCGACTGCACCACTGACACGTTCCAGAAGATTCTGGAGATGAAGGTGAGTTGGGCGCCAGGGCAAGCAGGCAGCAAGAAAGACCAGTGCTGTTCTATTTCTCTGGAGCATAGCATGGGAAAGATGGGTGTTGAAGGACCTAGATCAGTGATGGCTAACCATTTTCCCATCGTGTGCCAGGAGCGAGGTGGGGGTGGGGGTGGCACACACTCCTGGCACTCAATGACCTGGTAGGCCTGTTTTTCTCTCTCACCATGCTCCAAAGCCTTTCTAGGAGTCTGGGGAGGGTGAAAACAACCTTCCCCCCCCCCCCCCCCCGGGCGCTGGAAATGGCCACTTTGCCAACTTCCGGTGGGACCAAAAGGCCCATTTTTTGCTGTCCTCGAGCTCCAGAGCCTCTCTAGGGGTCTGGGGAGGGTGAAAACGGCCTCCCCCCCCCCGAGGCCCTCTGTAGGCTGAAAACGGCCCGTTTGCCAACTTCTGGTCCCACCCATTTCCGGTCCCATCGGAAGTTGGCAAACAGGCCATTTCCGGTCTCCGGGGGGGTGGGGAAGGCTGTTTTCGCCCTCCCCAGACTCCTAGAAAGGCTCTGGAGCCTAGTGAGAGAGAAAAATGGGCCTTTCCCACCCAACCCCTGAGGCCCTCCAGACGCAGGAAACACTCTGTTTCCCTACTTCTGGTGGGCCCTGGGTGCCACAGGTTCGCCATCACGGACCTAGATTATCTGGGACCAGTTTGATTCCTCTTCTAGCACATCTGGATAAAAAGAAGACAAGTGAGTCTGACTTTGCCCTGCTAAGCTTCATTTTAGAAACATTTAGACTCGGTATAATTCAGCTTTCCTGACGTCCCTTTTAAGTATCATGGTGGCTTTGCAGGATAAGACTCTCAAACGTCTCTGTCATTTGCCATCCTGAGATGTGCCTGGAAGCATCTCTTCCAGATGTCCTGGGTTGTGTCTTCCAGATGTTTTGGTTGTCTTCCTTGTGTTCTGGAGGAACATTTAGTGTGTCGGGGCTTGTCTTTCCCAGATGTCCTGGAGGCACGCCATCCAGATGTTATTGACAGGCTAGATCTTCTGGAAGCACATCTTCCAGATGTTTTGGTTGTATTTTCCAGATGTGTTGGGTCATGTCTTCAAGGTATTCAGGAGACCCGTCTTGAAGTTATGGGGTGTGCCATCCAGACATACTGGAGATATGTCTCCTAGATGTTCTGGGACATGTCTTCTAGATGATCTAGAGGTGCATCTTCCAGATGCTCAGAGGCATGTCATTCAGCTGTTCCAGAGGAGTGTTTTCCAGATGTAATGGGGTGTGTCTTCCAGACATGCTGGAGCTATGTCTCCCAGATGTTCTGGGACATGTCTTCTAGATGTTCCAGAGGCACATCTTCCACATATTCTAGGTGTGTCTTCCAGATGTTTTAGGACACGCTTTCCAGGCTCTGGAACAGTGGTGTGTTGTTCCCGGTTCACACCGGTTCACAAGAACTCGTAGTAAAAATTTGTAGTAGTTACGAAAACCGGTAATAACATTGGCTGGCCACGCCCCCCCCCCCCGAACCGGTCCCCGGACCGGTCTCCGCTCGCTTATCCCGCCCACCTCATCAGAGGCTTTATTTTTTTTTTTTTACTTTTAAAAGCATTTTTTCTACAACCTCTTCGGCTGAAAAAATGCTTTTAAAAGTAAAAAAAAAAAAAGCCTCTGATGATCGTGCGGCTCAGCTGGGATCGTCAGAGGCTTTTAAAAGCATTTTTTTCTGCAACCTCTTCGGCGAAGAGGTTGTAGGAAAAAAAATGCTTTTAAAAGTCTCTGGCGATCCCCACTGAGTTGCCTGATCGTCAGAGGCTTCTAAAAGCATTTTTTTTTTGCAACCTCTTAAGGTTGTAGAAAAAATGCTTTTAAAAGTTAAAAAAAAAAGTTGGCCATGCCCACCCAGTCACATTACCCCCGCCACCAAGCCACGCCCACAAAATAAGCCATGCCCACAGAACCCGTAGTAAAAATTTTTAGAACCCACCCGATGTCAGCGTTCCAGCGCTGACATATGAAAAGAGAGGAGAAGCTTGAACTTTTGCCTACTTAATTCCTTTGAAGATTCTGTTTCCTCGGAGATGGGAGGAGGGGGGGACATTCCTGTGATCTGACAGAGATGGGATGAGGAGAGTGGCTTGGAAGATAGCCAATGAGACGCAGAGAATTGGGGATCGGAAAGGGAGGGCTTGGGGGGCAAAGAACAGTGCTGACTGCGAAAGAGCCAGGGACAGATCACTATCCTCAATAAAGAGAAAATTTCCTCAAAGATCGGCAATTTGGAAATTCATTTATTTTGAGATAGCATCGAAACCTGACACCCCTGTTCTGGGACATGCCTTCCAGATGCCTCCAGATGTTCTGCAGGGACGCAACCTGTCCTTTATCATCCCCTTATCCTCTTTCTTTCTGTATGGCCTTCTCCATCAGTCCATCACGAAACAATAAACCACAGCCTTGGTAGTACAGGGGTTTAAGGCACCCTGTTATTAAGCTGGTTATTAAGACCAGCTGCCTGCAATTACTGCAGGGTTCGAATCTCTCCAAGGCTCAAGGTTGACTCAGCCTTCCATCCTTTCTAAGGTCGGTGAAATGAGGACCCAGTTTGTGGGGGCAATAAGCTGATTTTGTATAAATATACAAAAGGATGAAGGCTATTGCTGAGCACATTGTAAACCGCCCTGAGTCTTCAGAGAAGGGCGGCATATAAATCAAATTAAAAAAACAACAACTGCAAAGCCCATGTTAGCTCAAGCTCTGAAGCCAAATGTGGCTCCTGAGTTTTGCCTGTAGCCGTGATTGCGAACCTATGGCACGTGTGCCACAGGTGGCACGCAGGCCCTCTTCTGTGGACACGCAAGCCATCACCCCAGTTTAGCTCTGCTGCGTGTGCGTGTTTGCCTCCTGCTGGCCAGCTGGGCGTCGAGTTTCTGCCACGCATGCGTGGGGGTTGGGGCACATGCAGGGGCCCTGCGTGCGCATGTGGGGGCCATTTGCACATTTATTATTTATTTATTTATTTATTTATTTATTTATTTATTTATTTATTTATTTATTTATTTATTTATTTATTTATTTATCAATCAAATTTCTATACTGCCCTACTCCCGGAGGACTCAGGGCGGTGAACAGCCAAGATAAAATACAGATAATTAACAAACATTAAAAGTCCCTTAAAATTATTAAATATTTTGGCCGAAACACAGATTAAAACACCCAATTTATAAAACAAATCAAACGATTTAAAAAATTTAAAAGAGGAGAGTTAGGCCAGGCCAGCCTGCTGAAATAAAAAAAGTTTTGAGAGCACGACAAAACGTGCGCAGATCCGGGATCCTCCGTATCTCTGGGGGGGAGCTCGTTCCAGATGGTAGGTGCCCCCACATGCATGGGGCAGGGCACGTACGGGGGTACGTGTGCACACACATGTGCATGCACGGGGCTGGGGCGCAGGCACGGGGGGCCATGCATGCATTGCATTTTGGGGGCTCGGGCACGCATGCACACGCTTTGGGCATCCAGTCTGGAAAAGGTTAGCCATCATTGGCCTATAGTGACCACCTCCTCTTCCTCCCTCTGTCCGTCTCTCCCCCACCCTCCGTGTCTCCACAGGGTCTCAAGCGAAGCGAGCAAAGTAGCATGTTGGACTTATTCCGTCAGAGGCTCCCGGCTCTTCCCTCGGGCGCCGAAAGCGGTGGCTGTGTCTCCCTGGTGGCCCCCACGCCCGAGCAGGAATCTTCCCGTATCCGCAAACTGGAAAAACTGATCAAGAAGAGACTCTAGCTGCTCCCTAGCCCATCTTCTTCTTCTTCTTCTTCTCCAGCTGCTGAAGGCATCGCGGTCCAAACTTAAATCGTTGGTTGCAGGTTGTACCCCTACCCCATCGAGGGCCTTCCGGATAGCAGAAATCAGCCACCAGCTGTCTCCGGCATCCCGGCTTCCCCCGTAGTCTGTCTGGCTGGTCTCCCCGATGAAGTCAAGTACGCCCCAAATCGCAGGACGGTCCTAATCTTTGGCAGGAAGTTGATAATTTTCCAAGGTCTTATCTCAAGATATGAGATCCCTGATATTTTTGCAAGGGTTAATTTTATATTTTAAGAGGTAACCTTGTAGGATGGTTGATCTGTGTCTCTGGGCGTGTTGGAATCTCCTTTTTGCAATGTTCCGAATGCAAAAAAAAAAAAAAAATCCCCCAGGAACAGAGGGTTCTCCTTCTTCGTAGACCCCCTCGCTCCTTCCTCTTTCCGTGGGTGTTTTTTTTTCTCCGAGCTGTTTTCCGGCGTAACTCTGTGACGGGTTTTTTTCTGCTTCGTTACCTAAAAGCATTGTTTCCCAACCTCAGCAACTTTCAACTAGGTGGACTTCCAACTCCCAGAATTCTGAGAGTTGGAAGTCCACACTGTTTAAAATTGTCAAGATTGTGGGGTGGGGGGAAAGGACCTAGACAGTCTTTACGTAGCTCAGAACAAAACTCATTGGGACTCAGTCTGTTTCAGAAAGTGTCAATTCCAGAAGAAATTTCAGTCAATTTCAAAATCAATTCCGGGAAATTTCATAGTCAATTTCAGGACAAAAAAAAAAAAAGCTGCAAAATTCAATTTACGTTTCATTCCTCAGCCCCCCACTCGATAAACCCACTTGACAAATTAATAATTCCTTATTGGGTTCCTTCTACCCCTATCTCCCCACCATTGGTGGGGCAATCCTTTAAACACCCCACCATCACCCCCAAATCTCCCATTTTTCTGCAATTCGGAGAGCAGAAACTAAACTTCTTGTCTCTTTTCCCACCGGCTCACTTGACCCGAGCCAAAATCTCTGCCGAGATTCATCCGGATCTCACCTACCTTGGATCCGGTCCAAACAATAAAAACCTCCCTTTCCTCCAGCCACATTTTATTAGCTACCTGGTTTTTGCCAGGATGAAAACATTCCGGATTTGCACCCAGCTTTTGGATCTTTCCGTGCTCTTTGCGTGTGTGTCTCTGTGTGCTTTTCAAAACTGCCTGCTGTTATGTGTGTATGTGTTTTTTTTTCTTTTTAATTTTTGCTTCCTCTGCCCTTCATTTGTCCTGAGCGGAACAAAGTGGTTGTTTTTTTGTTTTTTGTTTTGTTCCTGAATTCCTGGATCTTTTTTTTTTTTAAAGATAACTTTTTTTTTCCTTCCTGAGAATTTCTGGGATCTGGAACCACCCCAGATTTCTCATTTTTCCTTTTCTGCTTTCCAGAGACAAAAGCTTCGGGAAGCATTCGAGACCTTGCACTCCAAATTTTTAGCCAGGGTATCATCACTCCATGCTAGGGGAAACCCCCCCCCACTCTCCCCCTCCCCCCCACAAATTTCACTCCCTACAAAATCGGGGCATTCATTAAAAACAGGAAACCTCCCAAGAGGGGGGGGGCGCGGAGAGAGAGGTTCATTTTCCTTCCCCAAAATTCTTGCAGCTGCTGGAGTTTGCGTGTGTGTGTTTTTTTTTTGAAAACAGCGAGGGGTTTTCTTCCTTAAGGGGCCTTCGGAGGTGGATCCCGTTTGCAAATTCTGGGGGTTTGAGGGAGGCCGCAGACAGCCAGTTGCTGACCTCCCTCCCCCCCACCCCCATGCATGCACCCTCAAAGCCAAAGGCCCTTGACGTCCCCAGGAAGTGGGGCAGGGTGCCTTGCCCTTGGCCGTTGGGTTGGGTTGCCATTCAGGGTGAGCAATGTTTGCCCAAGGTTGGCTTGCGAAAGGAAAAAAAATCTAATCGAGGAAGGTGTAAACGGGACCTGCCTGGTTTTTATGGAGAGCAGGGCAAGAGGGGCCTCCCAAGAGATCATCCGGCCTGCTGGCATCTGGGCCTTCCCCTCCCTCCCTCCCTCCCTCCCCCCCTCCTCTCCTTCTGCCATCCGATTGCAGGAGGGTTGAACAAACAGGAAGGAGGGGCAGCTCTCTTGAGAAACCTCCTGCCTTGTAAATAGTAATGTCTTCTCCTTTCCTTCCCTCCCTTTTTCTTTCTTTCTTTTGTTTGTTCTTTCTCTTCTCCCTTCCTTTCCTTCCCTCTTTCTTTTCTTCTTTCTTCCTCCTTTCCTTCCCTCATTCTTTATTTCTTTGTTCCTTTCTCCCTATTTTTCCACCATTCTTCCATCCCTCCCCTTTTCTTTCTTTCTTCCTTCCTTTCTTTTTCTCTCCCTATTTTTCCATCCATCCTTCCATCCCCCTCCTTCCTTCCTTCCTTTTTTCTTTCTTTCTCTTTCTTTCTCTTCTCTCTCCCCATTTTTCCATCCCTCCCTCCCTTCCTTTCTTTCCTTTCTTTTTTTCTTTCTTTCTGTCTTTCTTTGTCTTCCTTCCTTTCTTTTTCTCTCCCTATTTTTCCATCCATCCTTCCATCCCTCTCCTTCCTTCCTTCCTTTCTTTTTTTATCTTTCTGTCTGTCTGTCTTCCTTCCTTCCTTCTCTATTGTTCCCTCTCCTTCCTTCCTTCCTTCCTTCCCTCCCTCCCTCCCTTTGTTCCTTCCTTCCTTCCATCATCTGTCTCTCTGTCTGTCTGTCTGTCTGTCTGTCTGTCTCTCTACCTATCTATCTATCTCTCCCTCTCTTCCTTCCTTCCTTCCCATTGATTTTGAATGGTTGCCTAATTTATCTCACCCTTTCTGGCTAATAATTAAGACTCCTCAAGTTGTACATTTCCTGTTAATAAAGTGGATTCTCCGGTCTCTTGATGAGTTTGGCTTCCATTTGTTGGGGTTTTTTTTTCCGTTCAAGGTAAAAGGATGGGGAACACAGGGTTAAGACTGAGCTCGGCGGCCATTTTGTTCTTATTCTCCTCTTTTGTCATTTCTTCCTCTCCTCTTTTGTTCTCTTCCTTTTTGTTCTTGTCCTGGTCTCTCCCAGGCGAGACGGGCGGCTGTATCAATCCACGTGACCAATGAAAATAAAGAAATAAAGATGGTGACAGGTAGCCCTCGACTTATGACCATCATTAAGATGGGAATTACGGTCGTAAGTCATTCTGGTCATAAGCCGAGGCGTTATATGAGAGACGTGACTGAAACCAACTTTTTGACATTTTTTGCGACGGGCATTAAGCAAACACCGGTGGATGTTTTTTCCCAGTTACAGGAAGGAAACGCCAGAAACCACCCAAAAAACCCCTCATTGAAAATTATGGTCACGTGACCACCGACGCTGCAAATGGGTGAGCCCATTGCCAAGTCCCCCAAATATGATCACGTGACACTGTGTCTGTGTGTGTGTGTTTGTGTCAGCGTTACAAGTAATGCACCCATCGACCGCAGAACTCCGAGGCAGGTAGATTCCTCAAAGAACAAATTTGTTGGATAGATCATATTGGCACAACTGGTGAAAACCGACTCTGAAAGTTCCCGTGGTTTTCACCCGATTAAAAGAGGAAATCTTCCCCCTTTTCCCTCAGTTATCAGTCACATGGTCCAATCGAGGTGCTGGCTGGTTGCTTGGTTACTTTGCTCCTCCTCTCCCAGCCACCTGCTGGAATGACCTTGGTTCCCACAGGAAAACTTTTTGCTTTGACTACAAATCCCCCCACTCCCTGTCTCTTCTGCCTTGTGACAACCCTGAAGCCTCAGGGTTGACCCTGTGTGTGTGTGTGTGTGTGTGTGTGTGTGTGTGTGTGTGTGTGTAGCGACTGGTTGCCACTTGCCACAAATAACGTGAAGCTGAGCCTGCGGGTCGATTTCCTCCGAGTGGATTCTGCAAACTCCAAATGCTGCGACAGGTGCTCCGGGTTCGAATGGCAGGCTAAGCCAGAGCTGGCCATGATGTGGGGGACAGGGTGGCCCAGAAGCAGGTGTGGCTTAGATGTCTTGCGAACCCAGCCAGGGAGTGATCTCAGCTGAGCAGGAGGAACGCTCCCAATTTAGAGGGTCAGCAGTTACAACAGTTCCTTTTAGTGACCGTTCAAAGTTACAACGGCACTGAAAATAGTGACTTTCCCCCCCCCCCACAGTTACGACCGTTGCAGCATTCCTGTGGCCACATGATCAAAATTCAGACGCTTGGCAACTGACTCGTATTTATGACGGTTGTAATTCTGAACGGTCGCTAAATGTATTATTCGTTCAATAATAAATGAATTATTGTAAAGTACTCTAGGACAACCTGTAATGGCTGAATAAAAGGATCAGATACTGTACAGGTAGTCCTTGACTTACAACCGTTCATTTAGTGACCGTTCAAAGTTACAACGGCCGTGGAAAAAGTGACGTAGGACCGTCACATGATTTACATTCAGACGCTTGGCAACTGACTCAGATTTATGACGGTCGCAGTGTCACGTGATCCTCTTTTGCGACCTTCTGACAAGCCAAGTCCACGGGGAAGCCGGATTCACTTAACAACCGTGTGACCCACTTAATTAACTGCCGTGATTCACTTAACAAGAAGAAAGGCCGTAAGATGACGTCAAATTCAATTCACGTCTCACTTGGCGACAGAAATTCCGGGCTCCGTTGTGGCCGCAAGTTGAGAACTTGAAAAAGGGAGAAACGAAAAGAGAATGCAAAACAGAAGTAAGAGAGAACTGAACGATAAAAGAAACAATGGAAAAGAACATCACAAGATTTGAGACTCTGCCCCGAAAAAGGACTACAAGGTCGTAAAAAGGGAGCTTTGATTTGATTTGAGAAAATTTGAAAGACCCCCCCTACTCCCCCTTTTATTCAGAGAGGACCCTCTCAACTTTATTAGAATAGAGCTGGAAGGGGCCTTAGAGGTCTTCTAGTCCAGCCCCTTGCTCAAGCAGGAGACCCCATACCATTTCAGACAAGGGACTGTCCAGTCTCTTCTTAAAGACCTCTGGTGATGGAGCACCCACAACTTCTGGTGGCAGGCTGTTCCACTGGTTAATTGTCCTCACCCTTAGGAAGTTTCTTCTAAATTCCAGGTTGCTTCTCTCCTTGATTACTTTTATTTAATTTGTATACCGCCCTTCTCCTGAAGGACTCAGGGCGGTGAACAGCCAACAATAAAATACATACATACAAAATTTAAAAAACAGAACTAAAATCGAATTAAATAATTTGGCCCAGACAGATTAAAACCCCAATCAATTTAACACAGATTTAAACTTTGAAAATTAAAAGATATTAAAAATATTAAAATACTAAAATTGTTTAAAAATTGTTTAAAAAGAGGGAGAAAGTTAGGCCAGGCTTGCCTGGTGGAATAAAAAGGTCTTGAGAGCGCAGCGGAAGGTGCGCAGATCCGGGATCCTCCGTATCTCCGGGGGGAGCTCATTCCAGATCGTAGGTGCCCACACAGAGAAGGCTCTCCCCCTAGGGGCCACCAGTCGACATTGTTTGGCCGACAGAGGAGCCCCTCTCTATGAGAGTGTACCGGCCGGTGGTACTGGTGGTAGCAGGCGGTCCCGTAGATAGAGGACCCTCTCAACTTTATTAGAATAGAGCTGGAAGGGGCCTTAGAGGTCTTCTAGTCCAGCCCCCTGCTGAAGCAGGAGACCCTATACCAGTGATGGCTAACCTTTTTGCCATCGTGTGCCAGGAGCGGGGGGGGGGTGTTGCACGCACGCGTGCCCACACCTATAATTCTATGGGCCCCGTGCATGCAAGCACGACCCCCCTTTCCCCCCCCGCTCCTGGCACACGATGGCATGGTGGGCCCAGTAGACCCGTTTTTCTCTCTCCCCAGGCAAATGGGCCATTTCTGGCCACCGGAGGGCCTCCGGGGGGGAGGCTGTTTTTGCCCTCCCCAGGCTCCTAGAAAGGCTCTGGAGGCTGGGGAGATAATAAAATGGGCCTTCCGAGGCCCTCGGAAGGCAGGAAACAGCCTGTTTCCCTACTTCCAGTGGGTCCAGAAGGCCCGAAAATCAGCTGGCCGGCGCGCACATACACGCTGGAGCTGAGCTCGCGTGCCCACCGATATGGCTAGGCGTGCCACCTGTGGCACACGTGCCATAGGTTCGCCATCACGGGTATAGGGTCTCCTGCCTGAGCAGGGGGTTAGACTAGATGACCTCCAAGGTCCCTTCCGACTCTGATGATGATGAGCCACATCTGCCTATCTCAGATCTTTAGGAAGGTCCCGCTAGGTGGACAAAAATGCCAAATGCAGTCTGAACTGAATCTGGGTGATTGTGTGTCGAACCGTAATACCAATAAAAGAGGGAGTAAATATGATAATAAAGATACATAATAATACTACAGTCACACAACATGCGTTAATATACATAGACATTAGACAGCATTGAGAGAATCGGGTTCAGCAGAGTGATGGCCTGAGGGGAAAAAACTATCCCTGTGTCTAGTTGTCTTGGCCTGCAAGGCCTTTAAGCAGGAGTCTTAAATTTAGCAACTTTTAAGATTTGTGAACCAACTCCCAGAATTCCCCAGCCAACACTTGGCAACTTTAAAACCTGTGGACTTCAACTCCCAGAATTCCCCAGCCATCACTTGGCAACTTTAAGACTTGTGGACTTCAACTCCCAGAATTCCCCAGCCAGCACTTGGCTACTTTAAAACCTGTGGACTTCAACTCCCAGAATTCCCCAGCCAGCACTTGGCAACCTTTAAGACCTGTGGACTTCAATTCCCAGAATTCCCCAGCCAGCACTTGGCAACTTTAAGACCTGTGGACTTCAACTCCCAGAATTCCCCAGCCAGCACTGGCAACTTTAAGACCTGTGGACTTCAACTCCCAGAATTCCCCAGCCAAAACCTGGCAACTTTAAAACCTGTGGACTTCAACTCCCAGAATTCCCCAGCCAACACTTGGCAACTAAGACTTGTGGACTTCAATTCCCAGAATTCCCCAGCCAACACTTGGCAACTTTAAGACCTGTGGATTTCAACTCCCAGAATTCCCCAGCCATCACTTGGCATCACTTGGCAACTTACTTGGCAACTTTAAGACAATGTTGGCTGAGGAATTCTGGGAGCTGAAGTCCACAAGTCTTAAAGTTGCCAAGTTTGGAGACCCCTGCCCTATAGTGCCATCCTGAGAGGAATTGTTGAAACAGCCCAAGATGTGAGGGGCCTGTAGTTATTTTCTCAGCCCTCCTTTTGTCCTGTGTAATATGGGAGGCAGACTGGTTGCAATTATATTTTTTATATTTTTGGAAAAAGGATTCAACTCTTTGTATGAACCTAGCCAGGTTCCCCGTGGGTACCGAGTTCCAATCCCACGACGGGAACCTTTGTGGCCTCGAGAGCATTACCATGTCGGAAAATGAGCTCCGAGAGATGCTCAGCTCCGGGGAGGCCCCTTCTTCGTCTCTGATTGGAAACCATCAAGATGAAACGCAGAAGAGCTGGCTTGCCTGGGCAACGGGGAACATGGGAAAGGCACCTGTTTGTTCAGAGGTGGAGGGTAGAGTTTTCGTCCCTTCAAGCCTTCATTCGCGCTGGACACAAAGAGATTGCAGGAGATGGAGTGGGAAATTCTCTAACGCCATCAAAAATCCTGCACACAAGGCAGAGGAAATGGAAAAAGAGCAAAGTAAAAGGGATAAAGTTATTATACATACATATATAGGTATATCTATCCATAGATGGATAAATGATAGATGATAGATAGATAGATAGATAGATAGATAGATAGATAGATAGATAGATGAATAGATGAATGGATGAATAGATGAATGGATGAATGGATGGATGATAGATAGATAGATGACTAGATGGATGGATGGATGGATAGATGATAGATAGATGGATAGATAAATAGAAACATAGATGGATGGATGGATAGATAGATACAAAGAGAGAAAGAGAGATAGATCAATAGATGGATGGATAGCTAGATGAATAGATGGATGGATGGATGATAGATAGCTAGATGAATAGATAGATGATGGATAGATGATAGATTAGATAGATGACTAAATGGATGGATGGATAGATGAAAGATGGATGGATAGATAGAAAGGTAGATAGATAGATAGATGATAGAAAGAAAGAAAGATAGAAGAATAGATGGATAGATAGATAGATGAATAGATGGATGGGTGATAGATGGATAGATAGAAAGATAGATCGAAAGAAAGATAGATGGATAGATAGATAGATAGATAGATAGATAGATAGATAGATAGAAGAATAGATGGATGGATAGATGGCTGGCTGGCTGGCTGGATAGATGATAGATAGATAGATGCATGGATAGATAGATAGAAAGATAGATAGATAGAAAGAAAGAAAGATGAATAGATAAATGGATAGATGGATGGATAGATAGAAAGGTAGGTAGGTAGGTAGGTAGGTAGATAGATACATATATATGTATGTATATATACATATATATATATATATATATATATATATAATGTTTTTCTTCTAGCCAGGTTTTCCCTACGTAGCCAAGGTTTTTTTGTAGCTCCAGCTCAGTAGAATCACATCTACTCGGTTCTGGGCTTTTTTCCTTTCTAACACCTAGCAAGCTCTAACTGCTAGGTGGGAGACCTAAATAGATCCATTTCTAGCTCGTTAGCTGTCATCAGTAGGCCACACCCATGTCTTATGTATCCTCCCTGTAAAGGTACAGTATCAATTTTCTTACTTCTTCGTAGGGTTTATGTGTGTTTTTCTTCTAGCCAGGTTTTCCCTACGTAGCCAAGGTTTTTTTTATATATATATATATACACACACACACATATACAAATATATATATATATATTTGCAAAGAGCGTAACAAGTGCAAATTAATAATGAAAATTAAAAGCAGAAAAGAAAAAAAAGACAGAAATGCAGAAAGACTAAAAAGAAATGAAGAGAACTAGAAAAAAAGAAGATTCTGAAATCCTTCGCAGTTTTCTTGCCTAAAGCGGGACTCGAACTCTCAGTCTCCTGGTGATTGGCCCAAAGTCATCCAATCGGCTTTCATACGTAAGGCTGCAGCAGGACTAGAACTCATGGTCTCCCATTTTCTAGCCTGGTGCCTTAACCACTTAGCCTTCATAATGGACTGCCATCTGTCAGAAATGGTGTAGGGTCTCCTGCTTGGCCACGGGGGTTGGACTAGATGACCTCCAAGGTCCCTTCCGATTCTGTTATTCTGTCTTTTAAAAGCTCAGCACAACAGCTTAGAGTGGGCTGGCTTGATCCCACTGTTTTCGGTTAAATTGAATTGATTTTAATTGGGTTGTTTTAAATTGTGGCCAAAAATATTTAATTATTTTTAAACTGTTTTTAAATTTTGTATGTTCTGTTTTATTTTGGCTGTTCACCGCCCTGAGTCCTGTCGGAGAAGGGCGGTATACAAATTAAAACAAATAAAATAAACAAATAAATAAATAGTTGGACCTTAAAATACTGAACGCACGGCACCTTCACTGAAGTGACTCCATCTATTTTTTATTTTTTTTTTCTATTAAATAGTAATAAAGTGCTTTTGACCTTTCAAAAAAAAAACACACGCCTTTTCCATGATGAGGGATGGTTGCGTGTGATTCACTGAAAAGTGCAAATTCCACACCGCTCCCAGCTGGCTGGTTGGAGGACGCCTGTTTTCAATTTGAATTATTTTATGCTTGCAGATGGCTGCCCTTTGCGCCAATGTCCCTCCCGGAGACATCCTTTCTCCTTTTTTTTTTTTTAAAAAAAAAATAAAATCATAATTTTATTGATTTTTAAAAAATGGAAAGATAAGTCAAAAAAAAAAAGAGAAAATGGAAAAAATGAAGTGACGAGGAACAACTTCTGTCTTTCCTTGGTAAAGATATAAGTAAAACAAAAAAAAAATTACCTCAAACTTTTATTCTATATCGAGGGTGTCAAATTCGATTTCATTTATTTATTTATTTGTTTGTTTGTTTGTTTCCATTTCTATACCGCCCTTCTCCAAACAGGACTCAGGGCGGTGAACAGCCAAAGTAAAAAACAGAACATACAAAATTTAAAAACAGTTTAAAATAATTAAAGATTTTGGCCGTAAATTAAAACAACCCAATTTAAAATCAATTTAAAAATTTTTTGAGGGCCGCATCAAGGTCGTGTTTGACCTCGGGGGGTGTGTGACACGGGTTTCATGTCGGGGGCACCTGTGGTGCAGAGGTGGGATACACTTACCTTCCCTACTGGTTCGCAAATGTGTGCGCCCACACGCACACGCATGATTCGCTCGCATGCGCCACCTTCCACGCGTGCTCGGCCTCCTGCTCATGCTCTTTGCTTGCGTGTGTGCCTCCCGCGCATGCGCGCGGCCTCCAAAACTTGGCTAAATAGGACGGCGTTACATCCGGGCGGGTGGTTGGGGCCTATCACAGTCGGCGCTACCCGTTCGCTCAAACCGGACAGAACCGGCTGAATCCCACCACGGCTGTGGTGGCCGAGGGCTAAGGCAGGAACTAAAGCAAAACGACCAGCCCCTTCGCTTGGCCATTGCTTCCCCTGCTCCCCAAAACCTGGGGGGACCCCCCCCTTCCAAACTGGGCTGTATGAGTGGGGGGGGCTCATCTGCCAGGGATGCGGGGTGTCCCTGGCTCCCCCCCCACCAGCTGTTGGTGATGCTGGCGACCCTCCCCTCCCCTGAGCTTGTGTGGACCACTCCTCACTTCAAGGTAGGGCGGGGGTGTTGTCGAATCAGGGGTCTCCAACCTTGGGCATTTTAAGCCTGGCGGACTTCAACTCCCAGAATTCCCCAGCCATCACTTGGCATCATTTGGCAACCTACTTGGTAACTTTAAGACTTGTGGACTTCAATTCCCAGAATTCCTCAGCCAACACTTGGCAACTTTAAGATCTGTGGACTTCAACCAGCTGGCTGGGGAATTCTGGTAGTTGAAGTCCGCCAGGCTTAAAGTGCCCAAGGTTGGAGACCCCTGATTGTAGATGACTCCCCCTCCCTCCTCTCCAGCTCTGGATTTCCCTCCCCCTCCCTCTTGGCGAGGGGCGTGGCTTAGCCAGGCTCCACCCCATTCCCAGGACCAGCCTGGCATTGCATTGCATTGCATTGCCAGGTTTAAAGTGCCCAAGGTTGGAGACCCCTGATTGTAGATGACTCCCCCTCCCTCCTCTCCTGCTCTGGGATTCCCTCCCCCCTCCCTCTCGGCAAGGGGCGTGGCTTAGGCAGGCTCCACCCCATTCCCAGGACCAGCCTGGCATTGCATTGCATTGCATTGCATTGCAATTGCATTTGCATTTGCATTGCAAGCGGGCGGCCGGGCAGGCAGCAGCAGGAGCGAAGCCGGGCAGGGCGCAGCGATGGTGGGGCGGCTGAGCCTGCCGGAGGAGGCGCCGGAGCTGCCGGATTCCAAGCGTCGAACCGAGCGGGCGTTGGACAGTCCCGACTCCGGCTTACCTCCCAGTCCCAGCCCGGCTAGCTGGCTCGCTCAGGGGCTTCCCGAGCCGGAGAGCACCACCAAACCACCGGCCAAGGTGAGCCGATCCCCCCCCCGCCCCACGATGGGAAAGAGTTGCGCCAGGTTTGCGCGCGATCCAACAGGGCGGGTGGGGAGGGGGGACTTTTTTGCAACCCCAGAAGTCGATGGACCTCCCACCCCCACGCAAAAAGCCGATGGGAAAGAGTTGCGCCAGTTTTGCGCGCGATCCAGCTGGGAGGGGGGGAGTTGTTGCAACCCCAGAAGAAGCCGATCGACTCCCCACCCCCTTAGCAAAAAGGGAGCCTGGCTGAGCTTGGCAAGCGGGTGGATCCCGCAGTGGATCGGATCTAGTGGGGATCGAGCCAGGATCTCAGAGCCTCCCCCCTCCCCTCCCCAGCAAAGGGAGCGAGGACAGCCGGACGGGTTGGAAGAGGAATTGAGGAGGGGAGAGGATGCCAAGGGAGGATCATTGAACCCTCCCAGCTCCCTGGGGAAGGGGTGAATTTCCCCCGCAATCTTAATCCGATTTAAGTGTGGGAAACAGTAACGGAGTTGGAAGGGATCCGTGAGGTCATCTAGTCCAACCCCAGCTTACAGGAGACCTGCACTAGGGATTCAAACTGCCAACCTTTCTGATCGACATGCTAAAGAGTCTTGTCCACTGAGCCAAACCTAGGATTGGGGGGAAACTTGCATCCCGGATCTTGCGGGGAGCTGTATTGGGGCACCCACGACTTCTGGTGGCCAGCAGTTCCACTGGTTAATTGTTCTCACTTTGAGGAAATTCCTCCTTAGTTCTAAATTGCTTCTCTCCTTGATTAGTTTCCATCCGTTGCTTCTTGTCCTGCCTTCAGGGGCTTTTTGGAGAATAGCTTGGCCCCCAAATCTTTTTTGGGGGGCAGCCCCTGAGATATTGGAACGCTGCTATCACATCACCCCTGGTACTTCTTTTCTCTAGATTAGTCAAATCCAAATTTCCACTTTGAAATTGGGTCTGGGAAGAACCTTCCTATCCACCTGATTGTAATCTGATTGTTCACTTATTTAATCTTCCTTCGTTTTCATACTTACCTGTTTTTAATGTTTTGAACTTTGGCTTCGACGGTGTTGTGAGCTGCCTGGAGTCACGCAACTGTGAAATTGGGGTACACGTTTTGTCCTCAACTTGCTGCAGTTTGTTTAGTGACCGTTCGAAGTTTTTTTTTTTTTTTTTTTTTAAATTTGATTTATATGCCGCCCTTCTCCGGAGACTCAGGGCGGCTTACAATGCGCTAAGCAATAGCCTTCATCCTTTTTGTATATTTATACAAAGTCAGCTTATTGCCCCCACAATCTGGGTCCTCATTTCACCTACCTTAGAAAGGATGGAAGGCTGAGTCAACCTTGAGCCTTGGAGAGTTTCGAACCCTGCAGTAATTGCAGGCAGCTGGTCTTAATAACCAGCTTAATAACAGGATGCCTTAAACCCCTGTACTACCAAGTTGCAACGGCACTGGGGAAAAAAAGTGACTTACGACCGTCTTTCACATTTTACGACCGTCGCGGCGTTCTCTCCTGGTCACGCGATCAAAATTCAGATGCTTGGCCGCTGACTCATCTTTATGACGGTTGCAAGGAGATTACCTTTCACAAGCAAAGGAAAAAGTTTCCGACAAGCGAACTCAACGGGGCAGCCAGATTGATTTAACAACCCGTGTTACTAATTTAACAGGTGCAAATGATTCACTTAACAACTGTGGCATGGAAGGTCGTAAACTGGGATTCCCTTAACAAATGTCTCCGCCGCAGAAACGTTGGGCTCCATTGTGGTCATAAGTCAAGGACTGCCTCTATAAATTCTCCCTGTCTCTTGCCATCTGTCTCTCTATCTTTCTATCTCTATCATCACTATTTATCCCTCTCTCTCCATCTGTTTGTCTATCAAGATGTCTACATCTATCTATCTCTCCAGCAATCACTCCATCTCTCTCTGTAACTCTGTAGCTCTCTCTCTTTCTCTCTCTTTCTCTCTCTTATTGATTGATTGATTGATTGATTGAAGACCCTTGGTAGTACAGTGGTCTAAGGCACCCTGTTATTAAGCTGGTTATTAAGACCAGCTGCCTGCAATTACTGCAGGTTCGAATCTCGCCAAGGCTCAAGGTTGACTCAGCCTTCCGTCCTTTCTAAGGTAGGTAAATTGAGGACCCAGTTGTAGGAGCAATAAGCTGACTTTGTATAAATATACACAAGGATGAAGGCTATTGCTTAACGCATTGTAAGCCGCCCTGAGTCTCTGGAGAAGGGCGGCATATAAATCAAAATTAAAAGAAAAAATTGATTGATTGATTGGTTCGATTTATATGCCGCCCTTCTCCGGAGACTCAGGGCTGCTTACAATGTGTTAAGCAATAGCCTTCATACTTTTTTGTATTTACCTGCTTAGTAGGGCTTTCGCCCCCCCCCCAAGCGGTGTTCTTTTTTTATACAAAGTCAGCTTATTGCCCCCACAATCCGGGTCCTCATTTTACCTACCTCGGAAGGATGGAAGGCTGAGTCAACCTTGAGCCTGATGAGATTCGAACTTGCAGTAATTGCAGGCAGCTGGCAGCTAAGTGCTACTTTAACAGCACTTTAGTCCGCTGCGCCACCAAGGCTCTTTTCTTCTTTTCTATCTCTATCTATTTATCTGGCTATGTGTCATCTGTCTATCAAATCTATCATCTATCTCTTATCTACAGTAGTGGCCAAAATTGTGGAAACCTTTTGGGGAAAGTGTATTTTCTAAAACTAGCTAATAACACCACTTTTTTGGGGGGGAGTAGTACCATAAAATTATGTATCAGTGGAAAGATAATTGAATCCAGAACGTAATGCAATAGCTTTTAGGAAGGATTTGCTCTTAGAATAGCAGTTACACTATGAAGAAGAAAAGTGACACACGTAGAAAAAATGAGATATAAAAAAATGATCACCATTAAAAAAAAAACGAGATATACAAAAATTATTCCCATGTCAGTTAATCCTTAGTTGGGTCATCTTTAGCATAAATTACGGCCTTACAACGTCTTCCCATGGAGTGAACCAAGTCTTTGAGTTCTGCAGATGTTCTAATGTGAAACCAAGTTTGAATGATGGCTTCTATTAACTGGGTTTTATTGCTGGGTCGCTTCTGACGAACAAGTTCCTTTAGTCGGTTCCCTAGATTTTCCATTGGGTGAAGGTCTGGGCTATTCCCAGGTCATTCAGTAGTGGAATAGGATTATCTTGAAACTCCAAAAAAAAAAAAAGTGGTGTTATTAGCCATCAAACCTCAAATATACAACTTTTCCCAAAAGGTTTCCACAATTTTGGCCACAACTGTATCATCTATCTGTCCATCTATCGCTATCCCTCTACTACCCCTCTCTTTCTTGCTCTCTCTCTCTCTCTCTCTCTCTCTCTCTCTCTCTCTCTCTCTCTCTCTCGCTTGATATCTCTGTGTGTGTGTCTCTCTGTTTCTGTCTTTCTATCTATCTATCTATCTATCTATCTAATCTATCTTCTATCCATATCTATCTATCATCTATCTATCTATCGCTATCCCTCTACTATCTCTCTCTCTCTCTCTCTCTCTCTCTCTAGCTTGATATCTCTGTGTGTGTGTCTCTCTGTTTCCGTCTTTCTATCTATCTATCTATCTATCTATCTATCTATCTATCTATCCATCTATCTATCTAATCTATCTTCTATCCATATCTATCTATCATCTATCTTTCTATTTATCTATCTATCTGTCTATCTATCTATCTATCTATCTATCTATCTATCTATCTATCTATCCATCTATCGCTATCCCTCTACTATCACTCTCTCTCTCTCTCTCTAGCTCGATATCTCTGTGTGTGTCTCTCTGTTTCTGTCTTTCTATCTATCTATCTATCTATCTATCTATCTATCTATCTATCATCTATCATCTATCTATCTATCCCTATAGGACAGGCTTAAATTCTGGAGGACATTCCTCCAGCTTGATTGACATAATTCAAGAAATTAGCACGATGCCCTTGTAAATGCAAGGGAGCATTTTATCAGAAGAAGGACCTGCCTACTGACTCGGTCACTGAAATGAGCCCTGATCCAGGGATCTTCCCAATGCATTGCCTTTAAACTAGCCATAAAGGGGACAACAGGGTTGTGTGAATCCCAGCCACTGGGATTTTAATGGCTTGCCTTAAAAGGAGTGTAAAGAGTCCTTATTTCCAGGTTGAATCTCTCTTTGATCAGTTTCCATCCATGATTCCTTGCCTGGCCTTCAGGTGCTTTGGAGAATAGCTTGACCCCCCTCCTCCTCTCTGGGGCAGCCCCTCAAATATTGGAAGATGCTCTCCTGTCTCCCCTGGTCCTTCTCTTCACTAGACTAGCCATGCCCAGTTCCTGCAACTGTTCATCGCATGTTTTAGCCTCCGGTCCCCTAAAATCATCTATCATGTGAATCTACTTGGGTTCAGGGAGAGGAAGAAAGCAGGAAGGATCCCCCCCCAAATATAAGAGGGGTTCATAATGTAACCTCGATCCCTCCCAGGACTGTAGCCAGGAGACCACACCAGCTGCCTAATTTATAGAGGTAGTCCTTGACTTATGACAGTTTGTTTAGTGACCATTCAAAGTTACAGTGGCACTGACAAAAGTGACTTACGACCACTTTTTTCATACTTATGAGTGCTGCAGCAATCGTAAGCATTAACAAAGTCCCAGCGGATGGGCTTTGTAATACTTGAAACATGGTTTTTGTGTAATGAACCTGGGTTTTCTTGCATTTTAAATCGAAAAGCCAATTTAAAATACAAGAAAACGCCCGTTGATTAGCCAGTTGCAACCGTACTACCCGAAAACCATGTTTCAAGTATTACAAAGCCCATCCTCTGTGGCTCTCAGTGCTCACCGGATCAGAATTCAGGTGCTCGGCCACTGACTCGTATTTATGACGGTGGCAGTGTCCCAGGGTCACATGATTGCAACCGTCTGACAAGCAACACTTCAATTGGGGAAGCCGGATTCACTCAACAGCCGTGTTAACTGACTGCTGGCGATTCACTTAACAACGGTGGCAAGCAAGGTCGTAAAATGGGGCAAAGCTCACTTAACAAATGTCTCATTTAAGCAGCAGAAATTTTGGGCTCCGTCGTGGCCGGGAAGTTGACGACTCCTTGTACCCACTGGGGAAATCCATTTTTTTTTTTTACTACCGGTTCTGGGGGTGTGGCTTGGTGGGCGTGGCAGGGGAAGGATACTGCAAAATCCCCATTCCCACCCCACTCCTGGGGGAAGGATACTGCAAAATCTCCATTCCCACCCCACTCTGGGGCCAGCCAGAGGTGGCATTTGCCGGTTCTCCGAACTACACAAAATTTGCACTACCGATTCTCCGAACTGCTCAAAATTTCCGCTACCAGTTCGCCAGAATCTGCTGGATTTTATCCCTGCCTGTACCCCAATGGGCATTTTTTAATAAGAATCCAAAACTTTTTTTTAGTGCGAAAAATCAAGTCAGTGCAGTCTTCCCAAACTCTCTTCTGGGAATTTTTAGGAGGGGGGCCCTGCAGTCTCAAGCCCCGAGCTTTGTCTTTTAAGCCTCTTGCCCCCCCTTTCTCTCTCTCTCCCCTCCCCGCAACCCCCCACCCATGAGATCCCCTTTCCCTGGCCAGGAAAGATGTGCCTGTGCAATCTATCGGTCGCCTTCACAGCTGCAAGCAACATTTGTTCGGCAACTGCTGTGTTGCCAACATCCGTAACCGGATTTCGGTTTGGGGGGGGGTTGTGGCGGGGGGTGGGGGGGGGGGGGGGGCCACGCAAGTGGAACTGTAGGGGGGGGGGGGGGGGGGGGGAGGGAGGAACCTAGACGAAATTCAGTTGTACCGTAGCCACTTCCTCTCCCCTTCCCGGTTTAATACTTTTGGATTACAACAACAAAGTCAAGAGGAAAAGCGACATGACTTCTCTACGAGTTTCCGATTTCACGGCGGAGGGGGGGGCTTGCGAAGGCACCCACGAGCAGAGGGAAGCCATGGATTGTGGCTAAATGATCCTACGGGTGAAGCGACGGCTTAATGGGAGAGGTCGGGTAGTGGGGGAAGGCACCAGGCTAGAAACTGGGAGTCCGTGATGTTTAGTCCCGCCGTAGGTATGAAAGCAGACCAATCACCAGGAGACTGCGAGTTCTAGTTCCGCTTTAGGCATGAAAACTAGCTGGGGGGACTTTAGACTCATCACCAGGAGATGGTGAGTTCTAGTCCTGCCTTAGGCATGAAAGCTAGCGAGGGACTTCAGACTAATTACCAGGAGATGGTGAGTTCTAGTCCTGCCTTAGGCATGAAAGCTAGCTGAGGACTTCAGACTAATTACCAGGAGATGGTGAGTTCTAGTCCTGCCTTAGGCATGAAAGGCATCTGGGTGACCTTGAGCCAATCACCAGGAGATGGTGAGTTCTAGTCCTGCCTTAGGCAAAGAAGCCGGCTGGGTGCCTTTGGGCCAGTCTCTCTCTCCTTCAGCCTGGCCCACCTCATAGGGTTGTTTATAAAGTAATAAAGGCGGGAAAAAAAATCTAATATAAATGTATGTATATATTTTCTCAAAACGGTGCTCTCAGACTCCTGATTTCTGACTCTTATAGACAGACATAGGCTCCCTCCTACAGTACAACGGCTATAAACAGAAAAGTTTGGGGTTCACCTAGCAAATATGCATCCAGCCTGCTGCTGCAAAATCCTTTCGGAGCTGTCCCGGTCAGCGCTGCCCATTCCGAGCTGGAGAATCGTCCTTAAACTTTGCTCTCCGTTGAACGGAATATTGGTAGTTTAAGGTTGAACTGTGAGGTCTTTTGTGTACTCTGAACATGGATAGCACTGATGATGTAACCTAGTTGGGTAATGAAACGTCTGTAAGAAAGGAACCAAGCCAGAGAACACCAAGGACCCCACAGTCTTCCTCCACCACCACGTCCTCCTCCTCCTCCTCTTCTTCCTCCTCCTCCCCTAACTCCCTTCTAGCACTGATGATGTAACCTAGTTGGGTAATGAAACGTCTATAAGAAAGCAATTGAGCTCAGAGAGCACCAAGGACCCCACAGTCTTCCTCCTCCTCCTCTCCCTCCTCCTCCTCCCCCTCTCCAACCCTAACTCCCTTCTAGCACTGATGATGTAACCTAGTTGGGTAATGAAACGTCTGTAAGAAAGGAACCGAGCTCAGAGAGCACCAAGGACCCCACAGTCTTCCTCCTCGTCCTCCTCCTCCTCCTCCTCTCCCTCCTCCTCCTCCCCCTCTCCAACCCTAACTCCCTTCTAGCACTGATGTTGTTTGCTAGTTGGGTCATGAAACGTCTCCAAGAAAACCACCCAGCTGAAGAGAGCACCAAGGGATTGCACGCTTTGCTTCGCTCCCTAACCTTAACGCTGTCGTTCAGCCTCTCTCCTTTTTTTTTTAGCCGAATTGCTAAAAGCCAAACGGCAGATAAACTGGATTTTTAATCCTCTCTTCGGTGCCCTCTTTCAAACCCCCCCACCCCCCTCTCCAGTGGCATCGGTTTCTCCTGAAATGGCAGTTTTTTCCCTAACTGGAGAAAGAAGGAACGGTTTGGCACGGGTGGGAATGCGGCTCTGCTTTGGCCCCAGCTCAGACAGGAACTCAAAATGGTTTCTACGCAGCTTGAAGACTGGATCGAATTAAAGGCTGGGAGTGGTTAGCAACCGGTTCCAGCCGTTTCTCCCCCGTGCCAAGACAGTAGCCCTTTCGGTTCCCAGTTGGAGAGAGCCAGGTCGGTCCAACATTGCCGGAGTTCATAATTCACTCGTGGCTTTGATCACTGGACCTTAGAGAGGCAACGACGGTCATCAGGCTAAGGAGTGGTTGAAAGTCAGGGTTTGTTTTTTTTTTTTTCCTATGCCCTTGTAACTTTGGACGCTTTGTAAACAAATGGTTCTAAGTCGAGGATTATCCTTAAAGCATTGCTGGCTGGGGAATTCTGGGAGTGGAAGTCCATCCCTCTTAAAGCATGATGGCTGGGGCTTTGTGGGGTGGAAGTCCACCCATTTTAAACCATGCTGACTGGGGAATTCTGGGAGTGGAAGTCCACCCTCTTAAAAGCATGCAGACTGGGAATTCTGGGAGTGGAAGTCCAACCCTTTTAAAGCATGCTGACTGGGGAATTCTGGGAGTGGAAGTCCACCCATTTTAAAGCATGCTGACTGGGGAATTCTGGGAGTGGAAGTCCACCCCTCTTAAGCATGCTGGCTGGGGGATTGTGGGAGTTGAAGTCCACCTATTTCAAAGTTGCTGAGTTTGAGAAACCCTGGTTTAGCTGCTGCAAACAACCTGGGACAAAAATGAGCCAGCCCCACAGGAAATCTACAAAGCTGCACATCAAAAGCAAGACAGCATCTCCGGCTGGGGTTTCCCCGCTGGAATGTACATTATGCGTGCTGGGAAATAACAAACTGCCAGAGATGCTGCAAAGTGATTTTATTTCTTCTTCCAGAAAGTGGATTAGAGGCAGCTGTTGAGTTGCATGTGGAGTATTGCTGGTATGTCATGACCGATGAGCTGCAAGTAAATACGCTGGCAATGCAGAAGACATCAAATAGCTCATCTCCCATCTCAGTCTCACCTTTTTCGTACGTGGGTTGGGACTCTCCCCTGCAATGCTTCAACCATTTTGCAGATACTGGTTTCGAAGATTCAGAGGACAGATGGTCTAACTAAACCCCACAACTTTAAGACGGGTGGAGTCCAACTCCCAGAATTCCCCAGCCAAGATGTTTTAAGATGGATGGACTTCAATTCCTAGAATTTCCCAGCCAGGATGTTTAAAATGGATGGACTTCAATTCCCAGAATCCCCATTCCAAGAACAGCAATTAGGTTTAATGCTTTGTAATATTGATAGTCCTTGACTTACGACAATTGAGCACCAACCTTTCTGTTGCTAAGCCAGACAGTTGTTAAGTGGGTTTTGCCCCATTTCACGACCTTTCTTGCCACGGTTGTTAAGTGAATGACTGCAGTAGTTAAATTAGTAACCTCGTTGTTCAGTGAATCTGGCTCCTCCGTTGACTTTTCTTTGGAGAAGGTCGCAAAAGGGGATCACGAGACCCCAGGACTCTGCAAGCATCATAAATAGGAGTCAGTTGTCAAGCAGCTGAATTTTGATCACCTGACTGTGCAGATGCTGCAAAAGTTGTAAATGTGGGGGAAAAGGTCATAGGTCACTTTTTCCAGCACCGTTGTAACTTTGGAGGGTCACTAAATGAACTGTTGCAAATCTAGATTACCTATAATTGCTGAATAAAAGGATTAAGTATTTGTATTTGTATTTGTATTGTATTTGGCTGGGTTTTGCTTGCTCTTGGGTCAGACGTGACTTTGTTCTTCTGAGTCTGTTTTTTCACATGTATTTTTTTGTCCCTCAAAAAAATTTCTTGTATTGATTGTTTTGTAGGACATTTCGTCTCCTCCTAACCCCCTGCGGCTCTGCCCACTCTCCTTTGGCGAAGGGGTGGCATTTGACCCGTTGCCACCCAAGGATGTAAGGTAGCTTATTTGTCTTTATATTGCCTTTTTTTTTGGAAAGAAAGAAGAAGCAGCGAGGTTGAAAAGGAAATGGCTGAAGGACCGTTGAATGTATTCAACATTTAAGACCTATGGACTTCAATTCCCAGAATTCATCTGCTGGGGAATTCTGGGAGTTGAAGTCCACAAATCTCTTAAGATGCCAAGGTTGGACAGCTTTGTAGTAAGCCATCAAGTTTGGGATTAGCTTAATGCTAATGGGATTAGCATGATGTGCCAAGCCATTTGAGTTCCCTCAAGATATCATGGTTAGAATCCATTGAGTTGGGATTGGGGTTAATAAGCTTTGAATTGAGCTGTTTTGTGGCCCTGTCTCCTATTTCAGTCATGTTTTTCTCTAGTAGCCACTGACTGAACTATCTTCAGTTCATGGTTGGGTGGACTTCAGCTCCCAGAATTCCCCAAAAGCCATGCTTTCAAATGGGTGGATTTCAACTCCCAGAATTCCCCAGCTAGAATGCTTTAAGATGGGTGGACTTCCACTCCCAGAATTCCCCAGCCAGCATGCTTTCAGATGGATGGACTTCCACTCCCAGAATTCCCCAGTGAACATACTTTAAGATGGCTGGACTCCAACTCCCAGAATTCCCCAGCCAGCATGCTTTAAGAAGGGTGGACTTCCATTCCTAAAATTCCTCAGCCAGCATGCTTTAAGATGAGTAGACTTCCACTCCCAGAATTCCCAAACCAGCATGCTTTAAGATGGATGGACTTCAATACCCAGAATTCCTCACTCAATTCCATGCTTTAAAAGATGGAACTTCAAGTCCCACGGAGTCAACTCAGCATCTTTCCTGAGGAATGCTGGGAATCGAAGTCCACTGTTCTTAAAGTTGCCAAGTTTGAAAAACATTAAGCAGCGCAGTGAAATGGGAATGGGTCTCAAGTTACAGCTTCAAATAGATCATAAAAACAGATTTCTTCGCTAAAAGAAACAGAACAGCTGTGCGAGTCAAACTTCTCCCTTGAAATCGTAAGCCTTTTGGAGATGGGAATCGTTTCAAAGTCTCTCTGCGTGGAATCCCACATAAAAAAAACCCTCCCATAATAGTCAGCTAAAATAACATTAAACCTGATTAAAAAAGACACAATAGAAATCTTCAAGGTTTAAGTCCTCGACTTACGACCCCAATTGAGCCCACGATTTCTGTGGCTAAGTGAGACAGCTGTGAAGTGAGTTTTGCCCCGTTCTACAACCTTTCTTGCCGCCGTTGTTAAGTGAATCACTGCCGTCAGTAAGACGGTTATTAAGTGAATCGGGCTCCCCCATTGACTTTGCTTGTCAGAAGGTCGCAAAAGGGGATCACGTGACTCTGGGACACTGCATGACGTCATAAATGCGAGTCAGTGGCCAAGCATCTGAATTTTGATCACTGGACTACGGAGGTGCTGCAAAAGTTGTAGCTGCGAAAAAAGGTCATAAATCACATTTTTAGTGCTGTTGTAACTTTGAAAGGACATTAAATGAACTGTTGTTAAGTCAAGGACTACCTTACTTCTAACTATAGATAGTCCTTGATTTACAACAGTTCATTTAGTGACCATTACAAAATTACAGTGGCACTGAAAAAAGTGCCACTTATGACCAGTTTTTCACACCTCCGTCACAGCATCCCCATAGTCACATGATTAAAATTGAGATGCTTGGCAACTGATTCATATTTATGACGGTTGCAGTTTTCCTGGAGTCATGCCATCCCCTTTTTGCGACCTTCTGACCAGCAAAGCCAATGGGAAAGCCGGATTCACTTAACAACCGTGTTACTAACTTAACAACTGCAGGGATTCACTTAACAACCGTGGCAAGATAGCTCGTCAAATGGGGCAAAACTGACTTCACAAATGTCTCATTTAGCAACAGAAATTTTGGGCTCAATTGTGGTTGTAAGGGAATGGCACGGTGGCCTAGAGGTGGAAGCGCTCGCCTCACAATCAGGAGGCTGTGAGTTCGATCCTAGGTAGAGACCGATATTTCTCTCTTGGGGCACGCTGAGAATATATCTGCTGAACAAAACTCCTCATTGGCGACAGGAAAGGCATCTGGCCAGTAAACGCTCTCCTAGCTCCATTCAGTTGCCCAGACTCCACCCCGCAAGGGATTATGGTGTCGTTAAAAGAAGATGATGATGAATTGTGGTTGTAAGTCGAGGAGTTGCTGTATTTTTTCCTCCCAAGAAAATGATGTTAATCTGTATTTATTTTTTTCTTGCCCAGATACACCTCCTCGGTTAAGTACGACTCCGAAAAACACTTCATTAATAATGTTTACATGCCAGTCCGGCTTGGTGTGTCGTCTTGCAGCCAAACCATCATCTGTGTTCCCGACAGCACATGGCGCAGTTACAAAGCGGAAGTGCAATTCCACCTTTGCAACCGACCTGGGAATTTCACAAGCACCACCATTGTGTACCCAAAGCACACCAAAACTGTGTACACCACTACCCTGGATTACAACTGCAAAAAATTCAACCGGAAATTCTTATCTAGCGTGGAGTTGGAATCGTCCGGAAATGAGAACCACTCCGAAAGCTGCTGACTTCCAATTCTCTCTTGCTGAAACTCAGGTGGCTTCTACCCTGCCATCTTTTTCATGCTCAGAACTAAAAAAAAAAAAAAATAGCATCAGAGTGACCTGTTGGACATCTGTACCACTATGGATTCAACAGGCAACAGGAACGAGGAAGGGAGAGCATCCGTCAACGGTTACTTTGCTTCCTCCTATTTGTTACAGGCCATGGAGTTAAAAAAAATTAAGCCTTTAAACACTGATTGCTCCAAAACATAATTTTTTTAAAAAAAAAAAATCAAATTTCCCTCCCTTCATCCATGTTCTTACTTCTCGTCTTGTTGAGTTCAATGGGGGAAAAAAAATCTGAACGGTTGATTGGAAGTGGTTGCAAAGTTGTCAAGCCGCCATTCCTATGAAAGGACCTGTAAAGTTAGCTGAAGCCCAAGGCAGGGGGAAGAATGTTTCCATGAATGGGAAAATGGGAGAAGAGAGAGAGAGAGAGATGGCATTTCAGAGTCTTTGGAAGAGAAAGCACTGCTTTTATTAGACACTTTCAAATAAATCTCGAATAACACCAGGAATAAATCAGCTTTCACCCGCCACTGATGTGGTGGAATTGAAAAAAAAAAAAAAAATCAAGAGCTGCTTTAAACCAGCATGGAATCCTTGTGTAAAGAATCTCACGTTTCACCCACAGTCACATTAAAAGTTGGTTCCCTTCTAAAATGCCCCTTTTTGCTTAAAAGTTCCCGTACTTCATTTTTGCTTTTATGTATAAAAATAGCAATTTCCCCCCTCTCTTTTCTTTTCTTTTCTTTTTTTTTTTTTTTGCTTTCCCTTAAAAAAAAATGACTTCATTGGTGATTCTGATATTTTTTATACAGGGGTGAAAATCAGGATGTTTTTTCAGAGGGAATTTATCTTAAGTAACTTAATTTTCCTCTTACTTAAAGTAAGAACTTTTAAGGGATTGTGGAAACTGTATGGTTTTCCTGATTCGGAGAGTTTTAAAAAACAAACCTTTTTAAAAAAAATCTCACCTTTTAAAGCCATTGTGATTTTAAGGCTAAATTCAGCACTTCCTTTGTTAAGTTAAAGCAATATTTTTTTTTTCAAACATGGCCACTTTAAAAGGGGGTGGGCTTCAATTCCCAGAATTCCCCAGCCAGCATGGCTGGCTGGGGAATTCTGGGAGTTGAAGTCCACCCATCTTAACGTTCCCAACTTTGAAAAACACAAGAGCTAAAAAGTATAATATATAGATTTTGCTAGAGCAGTTCCTAATTTTAGATGGATGTAAAATTTTTTACAAAAATTAGCTGTTCTTCTATTCAGGATGTTTGAAGAATTCGGAATGCCTCCAGGCAATTTGTCTGAAATGATTTTACATTTAAAGAAAAAGACCAATGAGAGATAGATGTACTTTAACCAATATATCTTATTTGCTCAGAGGTGGTATTCAGCCGGTTCGGGAGAGCGGGTGAGCCCACACACCCGCCTCGGCGCTATGCCGTTCTATTTAGCCATGTTTTCTAAGCCGCGTGCACAGTGGTGAAATCCAAATATTTTTATTACTGGTTCTGTGGGCATGGTTTGGTGGGCGTGGCAGGGGAAGGATATTGCAAAATCTCCATTCCCACCCTACTCTGGGGCCAGTCAGAGGTGGTATTTGCCGGTTCTCCGAACTACTCAAAATTTCCGCTAGCGGTTCTGCAGAACCTGTCAGAACCTGTTGGATTTCACCCCTGCGCGTGGATGCGTGCAAGCCGCCCGCGTGAGCAAAGCAATGTGTGGAAGGCTACGCAGAAGGCGTGCGCGCGTTCATATTTTCGGTGCGCGGTGTACTGGTGGTAAAATTATCTGAAACCCACCCCTGTATTTGCTATAAAATTAGCTGTCCGTTCTTTCCCCGTGACTTTTGCTAGTTCTGTTTATTATAACGATCGAACAAAAGCATTTTTGATTCAGACAGGCCTTTTAATCATTAATTCCAAAACAATGAGACAATTAAATGCTACGGCTTCACTTTTGATTAAAAAAATTTACTTATCATGGGATAATTTATACAGACAAGGCAGAAGAGAGGAAAAATAGGTAATTTCGTGCACTTGTGGGAATTAGCCATTCATTTTTGAGAAAGGGACAGCTGCAAAATTGTTTCCCAGGGTAAAGTTTTTACATCTGAAGCTCTTCTTTTTTTTTACATTCTTGAGTGCGGATTAAATGTGATGTGTGTTTTATTGTCTTCCAGCTGTTTTTTTCTGTGTGAAACAAGTGGTGGTTTTAGGATCAATACAAAATGTGAGGGAAAAAAATCAGCAAAGGTTAAGAAACAAATATTTTTTTACTTTTGTGCGTTCAGGATCAATAACCCCTAATCACAAAATGAGAGAAAAATTAAGCAAAGGTTGAGAAACAAATATTTACTTTTGTGTTTTCAGGATCAATAATCCCTGATCACAAAAAGTGAGAAAAATTCAGACAAGGTTCAGAAACAAATATTTCCTTTTGCATAGGCAGTCACGTAACTAAGTTAAGGCTGGCTTTATCATGGTTTATAAGAGAAGCCACAGTGGACTGTAATCCATGGTTTAGGCATCTTTGGTGAATCCAGAAAATATTCATAAAAGTGGTAGAAAAAACATTCGAAAAAATGTGTGGTTTTTTTTTTAAAAAAAAACAGCCCACCTCAAACAGATTTAATGGATGGAATATAAATAATCTAAAATGTTGAGTGAAACTCAGTGCTTTAGCTTTAATTGAGAAAGTTTTTTTGAAAGTGATAATAAGAAGGGAGAAGTATTTTGTGATATTTGTGTTAGGTCTGATTCGTGGGGAGGATTTTGTTGGAGCAAAGCTGTGTTAATTTATGACAATGTTTTCCAATTTTGGCAAACCTTAAAATGGGTGGACTTCAACTCCCAGAATTCCCCAGCCGACTAGGCGGAATTCTGGGAGTTGAAGTCCTTAGTTAAAATTGCCAAGTTGGGGCGAAAAAAAATCAGGAATTAGTAGGACCTGTTTTCCCCCAAAAATTTTATTAAAAGCTTTGCGAGTCTTTTTAACAAAATCACACTATTTAACAAAACTTGGAAAATCTCTATACTTTTAAGTCAAATGTGTTAGGACTCTTGATTTTCACTCACGGGGAGGATTTAGAGCAAGTTGCTTGTTAGAACTGATTTTTTTTAATTTATTTTTTTGCTGGATAGGAAACCTGAGAAGTAAAGAAAAAAGCGCATTTTAGGGAGAGCAGTACATTCCTTTATGCAAACATTGGATTTCTCCAGGCAGCTTCTCTAAAATAGCCTCTGGCTGAAAGACAAATTCAGTTTTGGAAGTCCTGAACTCAGGACAGGGTGCAAATAAATTATGAGATCTCAGCTATCACGTGTAGTTTTAACCTTGCCAAAGAGGGGAATAATAGAGTTATTCTTTAAAAAATAAATGTTCCTGAAAGGAGCATGTTAAGGGAAACTGCCGTGGGCTGTTGTAACCCAGCCAAAAACTTAAAAGTTGCTCCGAATTGCTTACACCAGCGATATTTCAAGCCAACTGCCTTGATTTTTTCCTCCCCTTCTGGCAGCAGAAAGGAATTCCTTAAATTTGTGAAAGGACCTGTTTGAGACCTGCCAGCTATTGTCTCTCTTGCGGCCTCGGGTTTAAAAAATGAGGAATATTTTAGTAGGGCACGGTGTTCCTTGTAAAGGAACATAACTCAAGTCATCGGCAGTGCATTCCAGCAACGGGGTTTTTTTTTAAATTTAAAAAAAAAAAATTCTAAAAACGATGTAAAACGATCCGAGGATGGAAAAAAAATTAAAAATAACAAGTTTGTTATGCTACTGCAAGTTTTACGGGAGAGCTCTGGTTATTTTCACTGTGCAAAAAAAAAAAAAAAAAAGTAGCTTTCGGCTTTCTTTTTAAAATTGAGAATAGAATAGAGCTGGAAGGGACCTTGGAGGTCTTCTAGTCCAGCCCAGAGTTGAAATCCAGCAGGTTCTGGAGAACCGGTAGCGGAAATTTTGAGTAGTTCAGAGAACCGGCAAATATCACCTCTGGCTTGCCCCAGAGTAGGGTGGGAATGGAGATTTTGCAATATCCTTCCCTTGGAGTGGGGTGGGAATGGAGATTTTGCAGTATCCGTCTCCTGCCACACCACGCCCACCAAGCCCCGCCCACAGAACCAGCAGAGCCCCCTGCTCTAGCAAGAGACCCCTATGCCATTTCAGATAAGTGGCTGTCTAGACTCTTCTTAAAAATCTCCAGTGATGGAGCACCCACAACTTCTTGTGGCAAGCTGTTCCACTGGTTAATTGTCCTCTTTGTTAGGAAGTTTGATTAGTTTCCATCCGTTGCTTCTTCTCCTGCCTTCTGGTGCTTTGGAGAATAGGTTGACCCCCTCTTCTTTGGGGCAGCCCCTCAAATACTGCAATATAAGCCTTGGTGGCGCAGAGGACTAAAGTGTTGTTAAAGTAGCACTTAGCTGCCAGTTGCCTGCAATTACTGCGAGTTCGAATCTCACCAGGCTCAAGGTTGACTCAGCCTTCCATCCTTTCGAGGTAGGTAAAATGAGGACCCAGTTTGTGGGGGCAATAAGCTGACTTTGTATAAAAAAGAACACCGTTTGGGGGGGCCGAAAGCCCTACTAAGCAGGTATATAGAAAAGTATGAAGGCTGTTGCTTAAAAGCATTGTAAGCCGCCCTGAGTCTCCGGAGAAGGGTGGCATATAAATCGAACTAATAAATAAATAATAAAGAAATATTGCTATAATGTGCCCCTTAGTCCTTCTTTTCTCTAGACTAGCCAGACTCAAATCCTGCAACCGTTCTTCATATATTTTAGTCTCCAGGCCTTTGATCAATTTAGTTGCTCTTCTCTGAATTTTTGGTAATCCTCGACTTACGAACATTTTTACCGATTGTTTAAAGTTGCCACGGCCCTGAAAAAAGTTTTTTAGCTTTTTAAATTGTCAATGGGTTTTAGTTTGAATGTTTTAAATTTTGGGCCAAAGTCATGTAATTCTTTTAAAAAAAATTTAAATTTTGTATTGGTATGTGTTTTAGTTCTGGCTGTGCACCGCCCTGAGTCCACTAGGAGAAGGGCGGTATACAAATTGAATGAAATAAAATAAAAAAATAAATAAAAAGTGACTTATGGCCAATTCTCACACTTAAAAGATGGTTGTGGTATTCTTAAGATACCATGATCAAACTTGTCCATGGATTTATGTTTACGACGGTTGTAGCATCTCAACGCTTACGTGATCAATATTTGTGACTTTTCCAGCCAGCTTCCAACAAGCAAAGTCAAAGGGGTAAGATGGAAGCCGCCTGATTCACTTTAACAACTGCAGTGATTTCCTTAACACCGGTGGCAAAAAAAGGTCATAAAATGGGGCACGGTTTACTCAACCACCAGTAAGCAATGGAAATTCTTCGTAAATTGAGGACTGCATGCATATCCAAATGAAAATCGTCGTAAGTCAAGTTTAAGAAATTGTGCTTTTGCATTTTATCGGGCTGTTTCCCCATCTTAAAATTCTTTGCCATGATATTTTGTCCTGCAAAATTACTTAAAAAAAAATAAGTAAAAATAAGACTTTGGGGGGGGGGGTTTACCTGCCCAGCCAAACTTGGAAGCCAGGGTTCAAAAATTATCTGAAAGGGCCCTTAGATTCTGCTAAATAAATAAATAACTAAATAAATTCCTCCATGTTCATTTGACATGTTGTAACAACAGTTTTCTGTGGCCTCCTGGTGTGCATTTTGCACACACAAAGGCACACCTGGTGAGATTTTTCACCATCTGGCATTTTCCCAGCGTGAATTTCCCTAAAGACAGCATCAGTTTTCATAGGATATACAGAATAGATTTTTTTAAAAAAATACATCTGTTTTGCAAATGTTACTCTCGAATAGGTGTGCTCCGGGTTCTTTTAAGTTACATTGCTCAAGAGTTTTGAATAAAATAAAAGAGTTTTGAATAAAATAAAAGCTTTGCATAAAACCTTGGTGTTTTTTTTTTAAAGAAAAAAGTCTCGCTCTTGTGTCATTTTCAACGTGAATGCTTTGAAATAACTTGTGTATTTTTAAAGGAGGTTTCAAATGTGCGATGTAAAGTTTGTCAGGCCAAAGATAATTGGCTATTGAAATCCCTCTTTTTCATGTTGTAATAAATTATCAGAAGAAAATAGCCCGAGCTCTGCTGTTGTATGACGGTGGTGGGTTAAATGGCTTAGCGACTTTCTCAACTTTTAAGATGTGTGGACTTCAACTCCCAGAATTCCCCTGGCAGCCATGGTTTATAACCGTGATGGTGAACCTGTGGCACACGTGATGGAAGTGGCGCACAGAGCCATCTCTCCGGGCACGCGAGCCATCGCCTAAAAGCTTCCAGGTTCCGGCGTGCTGGCCAGGGCCACCTGGTCTTCTGGTTTCCGGTGCGCATGTGTGCGCGAAACCACTGGTCAGTGAGCATGCAAATGCTGGAAACCAGAAGATTATCTTCCCGGCACCGGCCAGCTGGCCTTCACACATGCATGTCCGCCAGAAACCGGAAGACCAGGTTGCTGGCGCGCATCCGTGCACTGCAAACCGGAAGATCATCCTCCCAGTGTGCACATGCATACCAGGCGGCTGCTCTTCTGGTTTCCAGCACACACACACACGCATGCACTCCCATTTCAGCACTCGGTGCCGAAAATGTTCGCCAACACTGGTTTATAGATAGTCCTTGACTTACAGCCATTTGTTTAGTGACCGTTCAAAGTTACAACGGCACTGAAAAAAATGACGCATGACCAACTTTTTACACTTATGGCCGTTGCAGCATCACCTCGGTCACATGATCAAAATTCTTGGCAACTTGGTTCATATTTGGGACGGCTGCAGTGTCCGGGGGTCACGTGATCCTCTTTTGTGACCTACTGACAGGCCAAGTCAATGCCTGAGCTTCTCTTAACCACTGTGTTACTAACTTAATAACTGCAGTGATTCATTTAACAACTGGCAAGAAGGGTCGTAAAATGGGGGAAAACTCACCTAACGACTGTCTTGCTGAGCAACGGAAATTTTGGATTCAATTGTGGTCGTAGGTCGAGGACTACCTGGGTAAGGAACATTTCCTAACAGAGGGAAAGAGAGTTTGAGAGAAACCTGTCCTTAGATGTGTTTTATTCTTTCCCTTCCCAGGACTACAGGTAATCCTCGACTTACAACAGTTCATTTAGTGACCATTCAAAGTTACGTTACTGAAAAAAGTGACATATGACCGTTTTTCACACTTACGGCTGTTGCAGCATCAACGTTCTCATGTGATTAAAATTCAGACGTCGGCAACTGACTCCTATTTATGACAGTTGCAGTGTCCTGAGGTCATGTGATCCGCTTTTGCGACCTTCTGACAAGCAAAGTCAATGGGAAAGCCGGCTTCTCTTAACCACCGTGTTACTAACTTAACAACTGCAGGGATTCACTTAACAACCGTGGCAAGATAGCTCGTAAAATGGGGGAAAGCTCAACAGCTGTCTTGCTTAGCAACAGAAATTTTGGGCTCAGTGGTGGTCAAAAGTCAAGGATTACTGTATTATCATTCCAGGAAGTACCGTATTTGCGTTTTTGGGGAAAAAAAAAAAAAACGGACCCGAGCCCTTGGATCTTATCTCTTGCTCTATTTATGCAAATAAATTTCTGTTCGTTCAGATCCTGCCAACCTGTTTGCCATCCTGAACACACCTGTGAAGAATATCCCTTTTGTATGAATTTCACACGCTCCCCCTTCCTCCCCTCGCACACAATTTATGCAAACACAGGGCAGGTGCGACTGTCAAACACAGCGTTTTATTCTCCAACACACAATTTGCAAAAACTGAAAAATACACCTGGATCATTGTGAGACCCCACACAGGCAAAAAAAATATATTATTAATAAGAATTCTGATCTCGTGCTTTGGCCGTAAAAATACAAAAATCGTGCTCAAATTCGGAGCGTTTCACAGAACTCCCTGAGATTTACTGGATGGCAACGTTGTCGGCTGCTTCTTTGGGGTTTTGCTACCTTGCTTTGAATTTGGACGCCTTTTGTTTTTGGTGGCCATGAGGGAGGATGATTTACTCTTGTGTAAGGAACGCTCTTTCTCTGCCTCGGGGACTTTATCCAGATCGGGCAGCTGCTGGCACGGAAAGGGCGAATCCAACAGGGGGTTTTGCTGCAAGAATTCGCCATAGCGTTTTCTTCGGCTTAACCGATAGTTGCACAGCCTTTCCTCTTCGGCTTCGGGGTCGTCCAAAACGCCGTCCCAGCGAAGGCTCTCGTTGGGCAGGATGGCGTCTCCTGGGGTTGAGATCGAAGTGGACGACGAGCAGGCCGAGAGCGAGTTCCTGGTGGCTTTGCCTGATCCTCGCCTGCTGTGACCTTCCTGCGGGGTCCCGTCGCACTTCCAGCGCTGCAGCAGATCCAGTGGAAATATGGCAAAAATGGATTTTTTCTTGACTTGGCTGGAATGTTTGTCTGTTTTTTTTTAAAAAATCAAAATCAAAAGTGAGCAATTTTGAATTTTTACAGGACAGGGGGTCCTTGACTTACGACCACAGGTGGGACCAAAATTTACACTGCTAAGTAAGATGGATGTTAAGTCAATTCTGCCCAATTTTACCATTTTTGGCATGGCTTTTAAGCAAATCACTGTGGTACTTTTATTTTGTTTTATTCGCTCAGAGTTGAATGTTACACCCTAATATACAACCATGTCAGGGAATTTCGCAGCCGGTATCCAAATGGAGTCAGAGGCGCTGACATGTACTTGTATTTTTATGTAAATAAATATATTTTACAACTGCATACACAGCAAACTAGGAGCATCCTTAAGACAGAGCAGGAGCATCCTGAGGTAAATCAATAAGGCAGGAGCATCCTGAGGTAAATCCAAACAGCAGGAACATCCTGAGGCAAATCCAGATAGCAGGAACATCCTGAGGTAAATCTAAACAGCAGGAGCATCATGGGGTAAATCTACACAGCAGGAGCATCATGAGGTAAATCAATACAGAAGGAGCATCCTGAGGTAAATCCACACAGCAGGAGCATCATGGGGTAAATCTACACAGCAGGAGCATCATGAGGTAAATCAAGGCAGGAGCATCCTGAGGTAAATCCACACAGCAGGAGCATCCTGAGGTAAATCACAGAGCACAAAAGGGGACACAGAAGAAAAAGGTGGGAAAAAAGGGAAACTCCCCCTTTACATCCACAGCAACCAATCGCAGCGCAGGTTGCCTCACGCAAGAGCCAGCACTCTCCAACTAATCAACCACAGTTGTGTGTTCTGGCTCACTGCACAACCCCACTGTTCCAGCTACTAAATTTAAACATCTTAACAAACTGTCTTGCTTAGCAATATAAATTTTGGGTTCAATTGTGGTCATAAGTGGAGGAGTACCTGTATTTCGATTGTATCCTTTTCCCTTATCACCCAGGCCAACCATCAGTTTCCAGAGCCCATAGGAATCCCTCCGGACCATCCTTGTCATGCCAAAGGGATGGATCTGTGACGGATGAAATCTAAAATTTGTTACTACCGGTTCTCTGGGCGTGGCTTGGTGGTGGTGGGGTAATGTGACTGGGTGGGCATGGCCAACTTTTTTTTTTTAACTCTTAAAAGCATTTTTTCTACAACCTTAAGAGGTTGCAGAAAAAAATGCTTTTTGAAGCCTCTGACCATCAGGCAATTCAGCTGGGATCGCCAGAGGCTTTTAAAGGCTTTTTTTTCCCCCTACAACCTCTTCGGCTGAAGAGGTTGCAGAAAAAAATGCTTTTAGAAGCCTCTGACGATCCCAGCTGAGCAGTGGAATTATCAGAGGCTTTTTTTTTTACTTTTAAAAGCATTTTTTCAGCCGAAGAGGTTGTAGAAAAAATACTTTTATAAGTAAAAAAAATAGCCTCTGATGATCGCGTGGCTCAGCTGGGCATGGGGGGGAGCGCAGGGATTTTTGCTACCGGTTCTCTGAACCACCCACCACCATCTCTACCGGATCGAGTGATCCAGTCCGAACCGGGAGCATTTCACCCCGATCTGTGAGTTTCCATGATAAATTTTCCTCAGTCCCCGATTATTGAATTACAGGTAGTTCTTGCCTTACTACTATTCGTTTAGTGACCAAACGGTCACTAAACGAATAGTAGTAAGGCAAGAACTACCTGTAAGTTACTGAAAAAAATGACTTATGACCATTTTTCCCAATTACGACCACTGCAGCATCCCCACGATCGCATGATCAAAATTTAGACATTTGGCAACTGACTCATATTTATGACGGTTGCAGTGTCCCGGGATGGTCGTGATCCCCTTTTTGCGATCTTCTGACAAGCAAAGTCAATGGGCAAGCCAGATTCACTCAATAACCGTGTTGCTCACTTAACAACTACAGGGATTCATTTAACATGTCTGGCAAGAAAGGTCGTAAAATGGAGCAAAACTCACTTCAAAACGGTCTTGCTTAGCAATGGAAATTTTGGGCTCCATAGTGGTCGTAAGTCGAGCCCTACCTCTTCCTGCCATGCTGTTAGTACAGCCACCAACTCTGTGAGAATCCTAGAGGTTGCTGAGCTAAAAAGTGGGATTGCTAATAGCCCCTTCAGAATAACAGAATAATAGGATTAGAAGGGACCTTGGAGGTCTTCTAGTCCAACCCCCTGCTCAAGCAGGAAACACTATACCATTTCAGACCAGTGGCTGTCCAATTTCTTCTTAAAAGCCTCCAGTATTGGAGTACCTACAACTTCTGGTGGCAAGCTGTTCCACTGGTTAATTTTTCTCACTGTTAGGAAATTTCTCCTTAATTCCAGGTTGTCTCTCCTTGATTAGCTTCCATCCATTATTCCTTGTCTGGCCTTCAAGTGCTTTGGAAAATAGGTGAACCCCCTCTTCTTTGGGGCAGCCCCTCAAATATCGGAAGCTATAACGACTGAAATATCACTTAGATTCTATATAGCTACCCACCAGGGCCTGGAACGGTTTTCTTTTTCTTTTTCTTCTTGCTGACTTTCTTCTTACTGGGCGAAGGGGGCAATTTTGCTGTCAGCTTGCCGCCTTTCGCTCCCTCCCCATCAGACATGGCATCCTGCCGGCTCGTCTCCATCCTTCCGGGAAACCGTTGTCGCCCGCTGAGCCTGAACCCAAGACAAACACAAAAATA